TTAATTGAAGTTACAAAACCAACTCAACCAAAACCTGAACAATCAACAATTAAAATTTCTCAAGCTCAAAATAAAGCACGAAAAATTCACCCTCAACCAAAACCTGAACCAACCCAACAACCAAAACAGGAAACTAAACATTTAGAAACTCCTCAACTCAAAATTGAACAAACTGGTCAACCCAAAAACAAAACTAATTCAATCTCAATCTACTCGGACAGCAATATCTCATCCTCATTTTGTTAAATTTATTCTAAAAAGATTTGAATCAGTTATTGAACACTGGTACATCCCAGACAGCAAGACCAACACTCTCAATTTAGTCATTCAAAATGCCGAAACTCAACAACAAATACTAAAGAAACTTCATTCACTAGCCATGACAGAAAAAACACAAACAAAATATTTCGCCTCACCAATGATTTTTACATCATCTCCAACAACATTAATAGCCAAAGAAAAATCAATTTCGAACATCCAAACTCTCATCAAGTACTCAATCAATCAAAAGAAATGTAGAATTGAACAAATGTGCCTAACATTCAATCCACAAGAAACCTTGTACAAACTTAAAATTAACACTATGCAAGAACACAACCATCAAATTCGAAAAAGAGAGACTCAGTATTAAGAAAAAGGTAAAAGATACCTACTCATACCTAATTGTTGAATACAAGCTTAATGACATCAATGAATTGAATCGACTAACCTCAACAAGATTTATATGCTCCACAGAATTGAAACCAATTTCAAGACAATTCAAGCCAAAGACAACCGCATGAACGTGCGTTTAATAGTTTTACCAGCACCAATGGTGCTAACAATAAACTAATTAGATTTTTTGAAGAGAGGTGGTGGTGTTGTTGTTGTGTGAAGGAACATGTGCCTTGGGTTTCTTTGGTAGGTGGAGTTGTAGTCCACCTACGAGTTGGTGATCGGAACCGTCACGCGCAATAGGGTTCCAATCACCACCAACCACACCAACACCAACAACAACAACAACAAAAAAAAAATGATTCCAACAACAAACAACACCAATGATCATCATCATCACATTATGGAAGACTCCCAAGTATCCTCACCTCCATCATCATCAGCAGCAGCAGCAGTGGTGAGTGAGGATGCGATGCAAGATTCTCAAGTGGATGAATCTTTATCCACCACCACTCTGACCACCACCACTCGTACCACCACCACCTCTTCTTCTTCTTCTAATAACAATCATAACAACACTCCTCCTCTTCCAATTTCACCTTCACTCGTGGGTTGGACTGAACCCTCCACACTTCAAGAAAAGAGATCTCTCTATGCATGTGGCAATGATTTTGTCACTTTGGATCAATTAGAGTTATATCCATCGTATGCTGAAAAGAATCGACTTGAACAACCATCGATTGAAGGTATTAAAAAAGTATTCTCTTCCTATCTCAGAAATAGAGAATATCCAATATTATCTCAATTCAATCCTGAACATGATGCCATCAAGAAGGGTTATTATGACTATAATGAAGCAATTAATAAGAAGATTTCTTTTTTTAGAGGTGATGTCTCTCAATTGGAAATTGATGCTGTGGTGAATGCTGCCAATGAATCCTTGTTGGGTGGAGGTGGTATTGATGGAGGTAAGTACAAGTGTTATAATAATGGTAATAGTACTATTGTTTTATATATATTTGTATATATTTGTACATATTTGTATATATATATATCTATTATTGATATTACTGATTCACACAATACCATGTCATCATCTGACGTGATCCTATCACTACTACTACACTTGTATCATCATCTGCTTGATGATCACATAGCCATTCATAGAGCTGCTGGTGGTATCTTGAGAAAATACAATGCTCTTCTTAATGGATGTGATACTGGATGTACAAAGATTTCACCTGGATTTAAATTACCAGCAAAATACATTCTTCATACAGGTGAGTACAATGATACATCTTAATGGATTCAATGAATATCAATGAATAATAATATTTGATTCAAATGATTTCAATTGATTTTAATTTTATTTATTTTATTAATTGATGAATTAATTTTTTATGATTTGATTCAATTTAATTTTATTTAATTTTTTTTATTCAATGAATTTATTTAAACATGTATTTGAATATAAATGTTTAATCTCTTTTTGAATGATTCTAATAATAATACCTACTCTATACTATGCAACACACAGTGGGTCCAGTTGGAGAGAATCCTCAAAAACTCACCAGTGCTTACACCACATGTCTTGAATTAGTTGAACAATACAATATTAAGAGTGTTGCCTTTTGTGGAATTTCTACAGGAATATTTGGTTATCCATTAGATAAGGCCACATTCATTGCCATGCACACTGTACGTCAATGGATGGAAATTCATCATGAAAAGGTAGATCGAATTATTTTCAGTAAGTATCATAGGATGAGACTACTAACAATGACACACTCTACTTTCACACATGATTGACAATCTCCATAGTCACTTTTTTGAAGAAGGAAGTTGACATGTACAACACTGTTGCTCCTTATTTCTTTCCTTTTAAACCTTTACAAGAGAAATAAATTGTTGTCGTGATGTATAGTCATCTTGCCGAATATATTTGCATGAGTGGGCGGAACTAATTTCAATCGCTCCTTCTATTGTGATTCTAGCTCGACATCCAACCTCCTTTTAGAGACCTCTTTGATCATGTCGTACGATTCATGAGCGGTGTTGTGTCACGCTGGACGCGGTGCAAATGTTGTTCTTGGTGTTCCATCATTTTCAACCCCGTGTGTGTGCAGCACGATCGATCAGTTGGTCAAGTCAATAAAAAATATCATCATTTTCATACAATCTTTGTGTTGTTGTTGCCTTTTAACACACACACCATCACCAACAATGTCTGATCAACAACAACAACAACAACCTGGAGTGGTCTATATGCAACAACCACAACAACAACCCATGATGATGATGACCTATCCTCCACAACCAATTCCACAACAACAAGGCTATCCACCCGTTCAACCCATTCAACAACATCAACAACAACCACCATCGGGAGTTGTTTATATGCCACCACAACAACAACAACAAGGCTATCCACCCGTGCAACCTCCATATGGTGGTGGTGGTGGTGGTGGTGGTGGTGCACAATATGTAATGCAACCACCACAAGGACAACAACCTCAAATGGTTACTACTACTACTGCCATGCCAATGGTTGTTGTTGGTGGTGGTGGTGGTGGTGGTTCACTACTCGATCAAATCTTTGCTCCCAATCACAAGGCCAAAGTCAAACAAAGAATTGAACCTTTTGAATTGTTGACTGGATTTGAAACTGAGAATCGTTATGACATTTATTTTGAGAATGGATATGAAGCTGTTGCATTGGAAGAATCTGATTGTTGTGCTCGACAGTATTGTGGTCCAAGAAGACCATTCAAGGTTGGTATAATTTTTTTATTGTTGAATATATTGGTAATTTTATTCAATTATTTGAAAATCAACCACCCCATCACTGGTTTACTACTGTTCTGACCCTATTTGAATTTGACATCACTGCCATATTGTTCAATTAATTGAAAATCAACCACCCCATCAACACTCTCTCAAACAACAATAACACCACTGCCACTACATCAACCACCACCACTCTCATAGATGCACATTGCTTTAAAAGGCAATGGACAAGAATTCATTACTCTTGATCGACCATTTTGTTGGATGTTTCATGAGGTTAATGTATTTGAGACTGCTACTAACACTGCTTTGGGTAAAGTTGAATTGAGATGTTCATTCTTCTCTCGTGAATTGAATATCTTTGATGCAAGTGGTGCAAAGATTTATGATATTGTGTCACCATGTTGTGAGTGTTGGACTTTTTATATTGAAAAGAATGGACAACGTGTTGGTGAAATTCGTAAAAAGTGGAGCGGATTCTTGAAAGAAGCTTTTACCGATGCTGTAAGTTTGTTGATGATAGAAGATATGTCCACAATTTAACAATTTAACCATTTGTTCATTCTGAATACTTTATCATGATAGGATAATTTTGGTATCGAGTTTCCAATTAGCTCAACCACTAAAGAAAAGGCAATTCTTCTTGGAGCCTTATTCTTGATTGACTTTTTGTACTTTGAAGAAAGTGCAAACAATGACAACAATCGTCGTATTTTCTTATAAAATAACACAATAGTCATTAAATAAAGCATTGATTGTTAAGACAACATATAGTGTTTTCACTCCATTAACAGTTCTTTGGTTCGATTCGTTTAAAGTAATCTCTTATTACACCTCCAAAACCTCCAATTCACAAGCAACCCAACTTCGCAGCAATCTGTGTCTGCTTCGACACCCATCTCTCCCATTATTAAGAGAGATTGCTGGTTCACAATCTCAGAAATTGTTTGGAAAGAAGGAAGCAACTAACAATTCTTCATCAATTAATTATCGTTGACTTACAATTGTAAAAGTTACTTATAAAATATTAAAGAATAAAACACTAACTAAGAAATGTCTCCTATATTTTTATTCGGAAGATTACTCTCAAATATTTTTGAACATTATTGATGCATTATTAGAGAAATAATGTATATTCGTGCTCAGATAGAGTTTCACTTGGCAATTAGTTGAACCATGTATTGACTCATCATAAAAAAGATATAACTCATAAAGAAACATCTTCTATCCGATATATCTTCACTATCTTTGCAAAATGTTATAATCTTACACTCTCATTCCTTTTGTATTATACTATGCTTTTCATTTCTTTTTACCATTTTATTTCAATGGTAATTATATCATTAATACAAAGAGATTATTGATATTTTATCATCTTATAATGAGATTACAAATTATTTTATTTAAATATGTTTTGTCATATTTCTGTATTATATAAAGCTATTAATTTCTTCTGAATAAATCTTTTCTGGATGTTGAAAAAAATTAGTTACCTATTAATTATGAATGAATCTGATATGTAACTCAACAATAATTAGTTAATATAGATGGGTTAGTTCCTCTCCAAACTACCACTTTTTGCAGATGGAGTGTCAACCAACAAGCTTTATTTGTTGTACAGTTGTTTCGAGAAATGATGGAAGTACGCGATGAAAATACTCAATCAGTTCATTGAGAAAAACCACATTCAGGAATGGATATCAATAACCTATACATATTAATGAAAAAGATTAGAATTAAAAATATGCCAAAACAATGCCCACTTCTGTATTGATGTCAATATTCAATAAGGTTAGTTCAGAATAATTAAAAGAAAGAAATTAAAATGACCATGTGACTTATAAACATCGCAACAATCAATGACGAGTAAAGAAATAAAAATTAAAAATCCAATGATAAAAATCGAAGAGTTATCCAAATTCTGAATTGTCAATAAATTGAGCAAATCAATTATGACGAATAATGACCAAAGTCAAAGAAATAACAACAAGTGTTTGAAAAAAAATTCTCTAGTATTAATGGGAGGGAGTGGTAGGTGTCAAAGCAGATTGCTGTGAGGTTGCAACTGGGTTGCTTTGCTCTTTGTTTTGCTTGTGCGTTGGAGGTTGACATATTTTTAGAGATGAACCTCCAATTATTGTTTTCGATACAAAACACTTCTGTTCTTTTCCAAAGAGCTATCAATGTCCTATTAATATTTTGTCAATTAAAGGCATTAAATCGGTGTTTTCAGAAGTATCTGGTAAAATTTTTGATGATCAATTAACATGCAGAAAAACGTTTTACTTTCATGATTGTGTATTATGCAGCGATGAATGTACTAATCTGTTGACAACTATTTCATGAATCATTATGGTAGTACCTCAATTAGCGTTGTGTAAACTCTGAAGCGTATATTCGAACATAATTATCGCATGGAAAGAGCCTGACACACTGATTGCACTCGTGATGGGTTGGTGCAACTGAAAAATTCCTTAATTCCTTCTAAAATCAATACATCATCATCATTATGTTTCAAATTACATTCCTGTTCTGCTTCTTCTTGTTTTTCTATTGAGGATATATCATTTCTTAAACCTTTTCTATTCAATATCCAATAATCCAAGACAAACACAAGAAAGAATTTCAATCGAGGATACTTGAAATTCACAAAATCCACAAATAGTTTTCTAAGAAGGTGAGGTGGATTCACTGTGATTGTTGTTGAATGGTTGGTTGAACAATGATCTTGTTCCTTATTTGGAGAAGATTTATTATGAATATCATCATCATTCACTTCATTGTTGTTCTCTCTTCTGTTGTTCATTCACTTGAAATATTGTGAATCATTTTGATCATTCTCACCACCATTCTCATCACCACTACATTTCAAACATTCTCTAAATATGAATAGTGATCGTTGGCATAGTTCTTCAAAATATTGAATAGTTTCTAAAACTACAGTATTCACACATTCTTGACTGATTTGAAATGGATGATTTGTTGTCATCGTTGTATTACATAACGAGTATGTGAAATGATTAGAGTTGTTCCAAATACTTTCACAATCACTCTTAATACTCTCCTCCAAATAATGATGATATTCATTTTGGTTACAATAATTATTCATCTCAGATTTAAATTTCTTAATACTCTCTAAATGATGATGTTCATTCTCAGATTTAAATTTCTTAATATCATTATTCTCAGATTTAAATCTTTCAATTAATTCCATACACCATTGTGAATTCATTCGATACATGTTAAAACAATTCTTTTGTGTTGTTTTTAAATGATTGGTATAATAATTCATATTTAAAAGTTCTAAAAGATTGGTTAATTGTGGATGATTGAATTGATACATTCGATGAGTGGTGGTGATGGTTGTTGAGGTGGTGGTTGTAGCAATATTAGTAGTGCTATTATTATTATTACTACTACTACTACTACTACTAGTTGTTGTTGTTGTTTTGTTTAAATGTTGATCATTCATTTCAACATGATTCATAATAATAAATCCACTTGAATCACGCCACAAGGGATGAATATACTTTCTGAGAAGAGTTCGAAGAAATTCTTCAAAATCTTTCACACACAGAATCATCATCATGTTATTGTCATTATCATTACTAGTAGTAATTCTATTCCTTATTATCATAGTATTATTATGATTGGAATTTAAACATTTCAAATCAATAAATAATGAATTCAATAACAATGGAGTGGGAATGTGAATATCATTCATGATGAATTCTTTAAATATATTGTGTGCATGAACAAAAGTATTCATAATAGTTGAACAAGTAGTATTAGTAGTAGTAGTATTAGTAGTAGTATTGTTAAAAGAAGTAGTAGTAGAACTAGTAGTATTCTTCATGTTCCTTATACTATAACAACCATGTAAATATAATTTTGCATATGACTCATTTTCCAATAATGGTGTTCTTGGTAATGGCTTGATGTTTTAAAATATTAAAGTGTAAAGTAAATAATTGGTCTTGTTCGAGAGTGGACTCTGTCGATTGAGTATATTCTTGTTGTGATGGGCTTGTCCAAATGTGATTAGTACTACTACCACTACCACTACCACTACTACTTGAATCATGTTGATCATTATCACTACGTAAACACAATTCAAAAATATAGCACTTGGATGATGTTTCATCCCAAAATGGTAATTTTCCACCCATTTCTTGAAATGTTTTCCAAAAGATATGAGTGAAGGCTTGTCGTTCTTTTCGTATTTCATCATCCATTTTGGTCAGAGGTAATAATGGTGCTTTTGATGATCCATTTGATACATTCAAGATAGGTTCATTTATGATAGTTTGACTAACTATATATGGATCATTATGAGAGGAATGAAACAATGTGGATGATGATGAACAATGACTTAATTACTCTCAATCATCACTCTCCTATAAACACCTAAATTCCAATTCTTATCTTTTGAAAAACGTTGTTTCTTTTGAATATCTGGACAATAAATGAGATAATCATCAAATTGTTGTGAATGAGTAATAGTCTGATCGGGATGATTCATGATGATACAAAATTGAATGGAAGGATGAGAAGTAGTATTTGTAGTAATCTTATCAAGGTACTTCTTTTTAACTATATTAGGAAATACCAGACAAGTCAATCCATCTACTTTTTCATAGATTAATGTTCCTTTTTCAAAATCTAAATCAGTACTTTTCACTATTAAATCACTATCTAATCCATCATCAAAGTATAAATCAATCATTGGTCTATGATTAACTGCAACTAATTGATAAGAAGAAGAAGATTCAGTGGTGGTGTTAGTGGTGGTGTTGGAGTTGTTCATGGTATTCATTGAAGAAGAATGGTTGATGTGGTTGTTGGTCATGTTGGTCATGTTGGAGGTACGAGTGGTAATAATAGTCATTGTTTTCAACAATACCATACTGGTACAATATTGACATGGATTCTTTTCAACAGTCATGGGACATGTCGTAGAGGTAGTAGTAGTAGTCGCATTAGTAGTAGTATCATTGGAAGGATTTTTTTGTTCTTGTAATTTAAATCTTTTTTCTTGTGTAGTAGAAGTATATTGAACCCATATGGGTGAACATTGTTTGTCCAATGTACAATAAATATATTCATACAATGTTAATAACTTCATTCCTTGACGAGTAGTAGTAAATTGATGACCATGATCATCATCATCATCATCACTACTACTACTACTACTACTACTACTACTACTACTATCAATACCATCATGGTGATGAGTGGTGGTGTTGCTGGTGTTGTTCAAAGGAGTGGTGGAATGCATGTCAAGTGGTTCATGGGGTTGTTCTACTAATTGTTGTACTTGTTCAACATTTTGAGACACAACCACATGCACACTTTGATGTTGAATGAACATGGAGAAATCTCTTCTCAATGATTCCACTCCATTCTTTTCAACGTATTGAATAAGATATGAAAAATCATTGAGAGAGTTCTCATGAGAATTATTACTATTACTACTACTACTGGTGCTACTACTATTACTACTACTATTGTCACTACTATTAATATTACTATTAATATCACTACTACTACCTGTACACATCCTCCTGATTCGATCATGATATAATTCACTTCTCTCCAAATAGACCATCTTTTTACTTCTATTTCCTCGAATAGATTTTGAACTACTTGTATTCTTTTTACAACAAGTTTGTTAGGAGGAAGTGAATGTTTTTGGAAGTGAGAAGGATGAATGTTTAACATGTCTCCATGATGAGAACTTGTGATTGAGGTTTTGGTTGTTGTGGTTGAGTTGGTGGATGGATTCTCCAAGATTCCTCTCTCATCGTCATCCATAAAAGTAAAATGAAATAAATCATGCATTTCTTCACTTAATCGCTCCTTATATTGTTTTTCTAAAATTTCAAATGTCCATAATCGAAATGTAGATTGTTGTAGTGATTGTTGTGGTGTATCTTTCATGGAAGGATTGTTGAATAATTCCAATAAATCTTTTAACATGATTTGATAGATCCATAGATAGTGTTGAGAACAAGGAGTAGAATGCTTGTTGTTGTCTTCATCGTCGTCGTCGATAAGATGATTTGGAGAAGATGATAAGGACAGCATGTTGTTGGAAGTGATTGAAGAAATGTGTTTCAATTCCTCTTGAATCAATTCTTGTGCTTGTTGATGAATCCATGTTGAAGTAGTATTGGTGGTATCAATAGTAGTGGTGGTGCTGTTGGTGGTGTTATTAGTAGTAGTATTCATATTCATAGTAGTAGTATTCATATTCATGGTAATATTCATAGTAGTAGTATTCATATTCATAGTATTAGAATCCTTATTATTATTATTATTATTAAATAATAATTCTTCCATCTTGTGAATGAATATATGATAAGGTCTTGAAATAAATTCCCATTCCTCATTTCCAAATGAAAAATTAATAAATAAGAATGAATCATGTTCATTATTGGATATGTTGTTACAACAATGGTGATACTGCTGATGGTGCTTCTGTTGCTGATGGTACTGCTGTTGCTGTTGCTGTTTCATGGAATAATTCTTCAATTTTGAAAGAATTTCATCATTACTCTTATAGTGAGAATGTAATTGATTCCCTTGTTACCAATTTCAGATTATTGTTGTGGAGTGATGGGAGCGTGTGCTGCATTGGATGGATTGTATCGTCGATGTAAATATGGAGGATCTTATTACATGACCACTTCATTGACCAAATACAATGATTGGTTACAAGAGTTGGGCATGTATCCAGAGGAAGTGGTAAAGGAGTTGGTTCAATCTTTTGGAGTTTCATACCCTTGCCATGACAACATGATGGCTCAAACAACCAAAACCCTCGGCGGCTTGGTGAAGAAAATTCCACAAATAATGGTGGGAAATTTTGGCAAATTTGAAGAGACACCTTTTGGAATTCCAGTCAAGTATTTGAAACATGTTATTTCGATTCGTGGCACGGTGAATGAGTTTTTGTGCCCTCCAAGACCGCACGGATATGGTAAGCCAGAATTTCCAAAATACCGATAAAAGTATAAATTCATCAGAACATTGTTTTACATCTTTGTTGAATAAGGATTTGAAGATGATTTAAATCTTCGGAATGAATTGTGTGTATGAAACCACTCTTCAACTCTCAGCAAGTGGATTCTTTCATGGGACTCTTGAAACATTTCTTGTAGATAGGAATTTATGGTGAGAGAGAGTTGGAAGTGTATTTGTTGTTGTTATGTTTGTGTACCGAATGAAACCTTGCCTTAAGATTCTCTCGCAACAAAGTTTTAATAACACGACCCAGTTGAAGTAAAAAGAATGAAAAAAAGCTACAGCACCGCAGGTTCCCAAGTTGTCTCCAACCTCAGTACTGATGCAGCTCGACGATGCTTGACTTCTCAAATCGGACGGGATGAGGTGCATTCATCGTGATATGGCCGTAGCCACTCACATCCCTTAATTGCTTCTTTTGATTACTCTCTTACCATTGATTCGCTGTTCCTTCATCGAATCCTCGAACGATTCACGAGATTGAATGTCGAATTTTCGTGAACCACAAAATAAAGCACCCATCGAGTGTGGTGTGAAGCCAATCTTTAAAATCAAGAGTGCATGTCTACTAGCCATTCATTGCTTGCATTTCAATTTGATACTCTGAAAGATTTCAACCAGGGTATATGTTTGTCGTGAAACACATAAACCTCCGCATACAAGGCTGAATAAACAATTATCGTCTGACTATCAAACGGTACCTTTTGCAATGAATCAATTTTCATGCACAACGATACAAAGTCATCCATACATTACTCTTTTTCTCATACTATTCACATGCCAGTTTTATTTTAATAAGGCCCTTTGTAATTTCATATTCACGTCTTGCGTTGTTCTAATGATGTAGCAACTGCTCGCACAAACGAATCATGTGTTCTGCAGGTTTATCATTCGTGTTGCTCTGATAAAATTCTTGGAACATTTCTAATGCACCTCTGTAATCCTTTTCAAAGTACAACTGACATGCTTGATTATAAGAATTCCATTTGTTCTTCTTTTGTTGATCTGCCAATTCATACATCCACTCATCTTTTTTCACAACATTTACGTTTCAAACAAGTTTTTAAAAGACCATGTGTTTGTGTTAAAACATTTCACCTTTTCAAAATGCAAACCTACCTTGTGAAACAGTTAAAGAACCTCCCAATTCATAAACCTTTGTGGAATGTTGTGGAGGCAATTCTTGATTCGAAGTAATAACAGACACAATGAATGTATCATCTACACAATTCTTTGTGTCGACAAATCTTTGCACCTTTTCGATAATCACCTTCATGTATCCATAATCTTTTAGCTTTTGCAATGTGATGAGAAATATCAGTGAGTGTTGAATTTTTAAATTTCACTAAATTGAATCCACCCAATCCAGAAGAATATTCCAAATTAGGAGGAGAACAAGTATGATTGAAGTTTGAATGATCACCATGATCACCATGAACACCATTAGAATGATTCTTAGTATCACCATCAATACCAATTGTAGAATCAGCATGCAAATGATGATTACTCTGATCATCCAATAAGACCATCATTACTAGAGGTTCAATTCGATTTGGTTCATATAATTTTCGAGTTAAACAAAATTCTTCTTTCCAAATGTATTGAGATCGATCACTAAATGGATCTTTCAAATAACATAACATGAGAACCCAAATATATTGTTCATTCAATAAGTGCATGAAATAGTCTAAATGATAAATATTGACATTGACATCAAAGGAGGAGTGTTAGTGTTGATGGTGTTGACGGTGTTGATTGACACACAATGCTCCTTCTATTAATAGAGATCCATCAAAGTAATAGGAATGAGAATTGACAATCATGATAAAATCATAATCGGAATGAGAAGAATCACACGTTTGATACAATCGACTACCAAATAAATAAATATTTTGAATATCTGATTCTTGAATGGTGAATGGAAGAAGAGGAGAAGAAGCACATTGAGAGTTCGTATTGATTGTTGTTGTTGTTGTTCGAGATGATGATGATTGAGAAAGTTGGACTTGAGAAGAACAATAATTGGGAGTGATTGTTGATGTTGGAGCACAAAATGAATCACATCTTGAACAGTGAAGAGAGTAAAAGTAGTAGTAGTAGTAGTAGTGGAAGGATTCGATCCATCCTGATGATGATGATGATGGTGATGGCTCTTCATTCAATTATGATTCCAGGAGAGTGATAGTGAGTCCCTAGAATCTGAATAGAAGGTAGTAGTTTTTCAAGGTGTGAATTTTTTAAAGATCTCTCCCTTTTTTTTCGTTCATGCACTACAACATAAACGTGTACAGAGGTGGTATTGAGAAAAAAAAAATTAAATTTCCCGTCCAACCAATTTTTTCTCCTGGCTCGAGAGATCTCGTTACCTGTCACTCCCACCCTGTAAACGTTACTATATAGGGGTTCTTATGTTGTAGTGTGTGTGTGGGAAAGTGAGCTAACATCGATTGGAATTGAGTGACACACGAGAGAGAGAAGTGCTCAAAAATCCAAGTGATGAATCTGACTGAGAGTGTGAGTGCGTGAAAGAACAATGTTGAATGATAATATACTTACTCTATTGATCCAACATCTCGAGTACAAAATATATGATGAATATGTCCCTTACTCCCTTTTTATCCATACCATTCCTTTTTCATTCCTTGTTGATGTATTGTGGGTGGAATGAATTTATTACATGATGACTGCCAACTGTCAAACCGATACAAAAAATGTCTCAACAACTCGATGATGATCATTCTCACACTATAAATAACACTACCACGAGCAACAACAACAATAACTCCACCACCAACACTACGACCACCAACTCTACAACATCTACTTCCATGATCAATGATTTGAAACAATTATTGAATCTATTGCATGTCATTTTCATCATTCCCATCCTTCAATTCATTCAACATCCACAACTTGGTTCTTATTGGAAGATTCTGAATAATGATGATGATGATGATGGGAGTAATGATGATGATGGGAGTAGTACTGCTAGTACTTTGAACTCTTCAACAACAACATCAAAACACTCTCCTCTCATTAGTATTGCCAAATCTCATTTATCTTCTTCACTCGGAGGAGTCTCAACACACACTCCGAGAGGATCCAAACGTATGATGGTTGGAGAAGAGAATCAACAAAACAAGGCACAAATCATTCGAGAGAGAATTATGAATCTATCGATCAGTACACAACAGGGATCATTGCTCCATGATGATGATGAGGATCATGACATGATGGATGAAGAGAACGAGGATTATGAACAAGATGATGATGATGATGACATGGAAGATATTCAAGTGAGTGATCATGAAGAAGAAGACTCGAAGGAAGATTCATCCTCCTCTTCCTCTCTCAGTGATGGTGCTAGTACTACTACTACTACTACTACTACTGCTGCTGCTGGTGCTGCTGAGAAGAACAATTCCTCCACCATCAACACCAGCACCCCCAGCACCACTTCAATCCTCACCATTACATCGTCGTCATCGTACAGTACTGCTGATCCGTCTGCTTCTTCTTCTTCTATCAATACTACTGATGCCACTTCCACACCAACCACCCTCAAAGTTCCAAAATTATCACTTCTTGGTTCATCATCACCCTCATCATCATCATCATCACCTATTCACGTACGATCACGCTCCTCAGGTTTAACCATTAGTAGTAGTACTACTACTACTACTACTGCTAATACAACTACTACTAGAGTTGGTGGTGATGGTGGTGGTGGTGGTGATACCTCTTCCATGGTTCCAACTCTACAAATTGGTTCTCTTCCTGTCACTTCCAATTATCTTTCCAATTTGACAGCACCAAGTACTCTCTCAGCACGTGGTAAAAGTGCAAGTAACAATCGAAATTGTATCATCATCAATGGTGGTCATGGTCATGGCAGTGGATTGGAATCTTCTCCTCACATGAGACTTGTGAACAATGAAATTGAAAGAATCCTCCAAACACCCAATGCCTGTGATTTGAAATTGAATTCTCTCACATTGACCATATTTCCACACAAATTATTTAATTTATTTAAAACACACAAAATTACCAAGATTGATGTCTCTGATAATAGACTCACTTCTCTCTCCTATCACTTTACCAATTCATTTCCATATTTGGAAGAATTGAACCTTTCTAGAAATTTATTTACATCCATGTTCAATGATTTTAACAAATTGAAATATTTAAGAGTATTAGATTTGAGTTACAATGGATTTGAAATTCTTCCTCAAAATGTATTACAATGTACTAATTTACAAGAACTCTATTTGAATCACAATTCATTGATTGCCTTGCAACCTGACATTGCAAAATTACAACAATTACAAGTGTTAGATATTTCTAACAATTTACTTTCAAAATTACCAGATGAATTGACTCAATTGAAGAATTTAAAGAAATTGAATGTATCCAATAACAAGTATATTGATTCAGCCATGAAGATTATTATGGATTTGTACAAACAAAATCCAAATTTAGAAAGAGACATTAAGAGTGAAGATTTGGGTGATAATAGAGATGTTCTTCTTGTTGCATCATCATCACCTTCTTCTTTGACTACAGCCCCTACTACTACTACAAATACCACCACTACTGCTAGTGCCACTACTCACACTTCCAGTACAACTACTACTACTACTAGTACTACTACAACCACAACAGCAACTCCCACCAAAACTGATCGCAGTGCAAGCATGACCAATTTGTCAAAAACACCACCACCACCACCACACACCATCAGCCCTCCTAACAAGATCATGACCAAAGTGGCCACTACTACTACTACGACCACCTCGACAGATTCATCACTTTTAAAAACATCATCATCCATGGATACTTCAGATGCACTCACAACCAAACGTGTCTATTCCATTCTCGAATTGATTGAATCTGAATTCAAATACAAGAATTATCTTGAAACATTATTCAATGAATTCATGTTACCCATTAGTAATTGTGATGATTTACAACAACAAGGTCAATTGAAGTTTATTGGATGTGGAATTCAAGATGGTCCACAATTTGTGAAAAAGATATTTCCACCAGATTTGGAAAATATTTTGAAATGTTCACAAATGTTTTATAGAGAATTGGTCAAGATTTTACTAGAACCAACCATCACCACCACCACGACCGAGGCGACGAGTACAACCCAGACTCGATCCCAAAAAAAGAGAAAGAACTCTGAACTTCATCGCACATTATTCCTTTTAAAGAATCAAATCTACGATTATCCAGTGGGTCAAATATTCCAAAGATTTATTCCTTTCTTTAAAGTCTATATTGACTATCAATGCCACTATTCACGAACAGTTCATCAAAATCTACCACAAGCCTACTCTCAATATCCAAAATTCAAACAAGTCATTGAAATGGCAAAAACAGTGACAGGCACTGATGGTTTGGATATTTCAAGTCTGTTGATCATGCCATGTCAACGTATTGTAAAATATTGTTTATTGCTTAAGGCTATTATGAAAGAGACACCAACAGATCATCCAGATTATCCTCTCTTAGAAATTGCTTCTACTAAAATGCAAGCAACAGCACATGAAATTAATCGAAAGATGAAAGATATTGCCAACTTGAGAAATTTAATTGATATTGCCTCACAGTATTCCATTGATGGATTGGTCGTCTCTACACGAAGATTTATCTCAACGACAAGTGTCAAGATTTATATTGTGCCATCAAGTGGTACTAATAGTAGTAGTAGTAATAGTGGTACTAGTGGTAGTAATACTAATAGCTTGATTCTTCAAAACACTTCTGGCACTAATATTGTCACTCGTGAGAAGGCTAAAATTCATCTCTTCAATGATCGAATTCTTTTCACCACTATTGAAGACTCCCATTATTACTTTAGCGTTGGATCATTATTGCAATTGGGAAGAAATCCATCCGAATTGTACAAATTATCTGAAGTGGAATTGCCCTCGATGGACAACACAACAATGGACAAGACCAAAGTATCGCTGAATATTCTACCCAAATCGTCTCAATACATTTTAGAATGTGAGAGTGAGAGTGTGTGTAATACTCTTACACAACAATTGAAAGATTTGTTAACCACCACCACCACCACCACTGCAGTGCAAAAGTAGAAACGATTTTGACCATTTTGTCGTGCTTTCATGTAAAATAAATCAATGTTGAACCATGTTCAAACTACAATGCAACTACTAGTTTTACTTCTTGCTACTGATACTACTATCACCACCAGTACTACTTCCTGCACCATTATGATCCATTTCCATCACCTTTTTATACCTCTCAATTAATTGTGGTGTAATTGGCCACTTTTTCTTTCCTTCTTCATTTTGGAGAAAATAGACATGTGTTGGAAATGGAAGAGTCCAATACCGTTGATCATTCTCTTTAAAATGTTGCATTCCAATCACATATTCATGTTTTCCTTGTTCAGCCAATAAATGTCCCGTACAAAATGGAGTATGATCAGGATGTAAAATATTTCCATATTCAGTATCTGTCCATTCTGGTACAAAAACAGCAAATGCGAGTGGTTCATTAGAAGCTTTCAACAACTCGAGACAATACCTAGCAGTCTTGTTCATCACCTCTAAGGTATAGGGTGGTCCACATTCAAAGAATCCTCGTGTAGGTCTAAATTCAAAGAATGATCCTCTTGAACCAAAATACACATCCGTATCTGGAAATGCACTACAAAATGAATTAAAATAACAATTAATGGGTGATGCAAAACATTCATGACACACTTGAAATTCTCGATATAAAAAATCAAATCCTTTCTCAGGAAGAGCTGCATGGAAATTAGCTCCTTCTTCACTTGATGAATCTCCAAAGAATGTTTGATATCTTCTAATGAGAGTATAGAGTCTATATTTAAATTCTTTCATTTCTGGATCTCTCTCTTCATTGCATTTCTTGTAGAGTAATCTCAATTTGTTGTAATGAATTAAATTCAACTTGAAGGTATCCAATGGATGTTGTGAGTGTTGAGAGTTTCCATTGGTGGTGTTACTGTTACTATTGGTGGTGTTACTGTTACTATTAGTGCTATCACTGCCATGACCACCATCATCACCATGACTATCATGACCTTCATCACTTCTACTCATAGAATACAATGTTACTTTACAAAGTAATTCTTGTTCATTAAATTCCAATTGAACATCCATCGATTGTTGAGTAAAGGATTCTTTCAAACGCTCTGTGCTCAATGATTCTGCAATTTTCTTAGAATTATCAACAAGTCTCTGACACACTTCATCCACTCGATCCTTCAAAATTTGTTTAAATAAAATGGTACAATTTTTTGTTAATTCTTTTTGTTTTTCTTCTAAAATAGATAAATAATTATTAGAATATCTTTGATTATTGTTGTTGTTGTGATTCATCCAATCTCTTAATTGTTTCAATTGTTGTTCAATTTTTTCACATTGTTGAGGTTGATTTAAGGTTCTAACTTTCCTTAACCATTCCCATCCATTTTTGTAATAATAATCTAAGGAGGTGAGTGCTTGATTGACAGTTCGACATCTCAAACGACTTGGAATTTCAGAATAAATTTCAGCTCTCAATACCTCACTTTCTAATGCAAATTCAGGTCTTTTCAATAAAAAATCAGAAGTAGATTGTTTTTCAATGAGAAGAGTTTGTTCAGAACATGATGATTCTAATAGAGATGAATCCACCGATGATAACTGTTCAAATAACCATCGATTCAAAGATTCTTTTGGAGCTTCTAAATCAAAGAGTAATTCTTTCACATCTTTTTCATAGGCCAATCTCAATTGTACAATTTTCTTGTATCTATGATATTCAATAAAAGATGCAAAAGCAGGATTGTCTAGAGTTCCTTCTTTGGCATTGATCTGAAAGAATCTTTTTCGTTGTTCCTCTCCATTGGATTTAATATCATATTGAGAATGGTCGATTGAAAAATTCCAAATTGGAATTCCATTTCGGAGTGGAACCTTATCATCGTTAGCCTTTAAATGGATAGTATTAGAATCAAGAGGAGGAGGTCCGCTTTTATCATTCTTTCTGTACTTGTTTTTACCTCCATAAGAAGTATTTCTAGTGTAATGATCAAAATTTCTTTTTTTTTGATGTTCGGAGGATGAATCATACTTTCTAAAGCCTCTTTCACCACTCGTGGAGGTATGACTACTATTACTATAGGGTTTGTAATGCTCGGAATAGGATGAAGGATGGAAAGAAGGATGAACATGTTGTTGTTGATATTGATGATGGCTCGGAGGTGGTGGATAATGATGATCACCAAGACTAGTACTCGTCGTCGTGTCCAATGTTCCTCCTCTTCCTCCTCCTCCTCCTCGAGGACTACTTTGATAACCGTAATAATATCCTCCCAACGGTTGTCTTGGTGGTGGAATGTGATGAACAATATTATTATTATTATTATTCGGATAATGATTTGATGGTTCTCCTGAGAGATCACGGTCGTCTTGCGCCATATTTTGTTGTGTTCGCCTGTTGTTGTTGTTGTTGTTGGAGTGATGCGTCGGTTGCTGCTGAGTGGCCATCGATGGTTGGCGAGAGTGAGCATGATGAGAATGATGAGAAGGACTCATTTTTTTCGAGAGTGTGGTGATGGAGTGGTGATGGAGTTGAATTCATGACCCTCCAGGAATTATATCATCAACCCCCAAGAGAAATTCCCTTTCCAGAACCAAATCAGTCCTCAAAGGTCTTGACCATGGAATCTCTATTGACAATTTTCATTTCGAATAGAGATACATGTTCTTTATGATCGTACAATGATGATAAAAGTCCCATTCGGTTTTCTTTCAATTTGAAAATCATCAAGTTCATGGATAACTTTAATTCGACAAGTCAACCACAAGACAGACAACAAGAGTAACACATCTTTCAACCTTCTCATCGCACTCTTGATTTTAAAGATTGGCTTCACACCACACTCGATGGGTGCTTTATTTTGTGGTTCACGAAAATTCGACATTCAATCTCGTGAATCGTTCGAGGATTCGATGAAGGGAACAGCGAATCAATGGTAAGAGAGTAATCAAAAGAAGCAATTAAGGGATGTGAGTGGCTACGGCCATATCACGATGAATGCACCTCATCCCGTCCGATTTGAGAAGTCAAGCATCGTCGAGCTGCATCAGTACTGAGGTTGGAGACAACTTGGGAACCTGCGGTGCTGTAGCCTTTTTTCATTTACAAAATAAAACGTTTTATTTATCGTTCACTATTTCGTCTTTCTTGTAACACTTTTCGTGACTTGCATTGACCATGTAATTGATTATGTCTAAAATTTAATTGGAATGCATTACAGCATTACAGCCGACTTGAACTCGGGTGTTTAAAGAACCAACAAAGGCTTCTCTGCTTTTGTCACTCACAGTCAAAGACAAATCAAGAGAATTAAAACTAATCCTCCCCAGAAATGATTCAGTCCGACCTCTCCGACTTGTTTGCAAGAAGAGTGAAGAACCTTTAATTGACCTTCCACTTTCTACATGAACTTTCACAACTTGGAACACTTCAATAGTTTGTTCCTCCTTTGAAGAATAAAGCAAATCAATAAAATATTAAGCGTACTGTAGTGCCTTGAACGCTGTCTGAGTGGTATTTCTCAAATTGAGATGACATTCTAGTGAACATGGAATTCCAACTTTCATAAGTGGAAGCAACAAGTAATGCTTCATGACTCGTTGAAAATGATGGTTGTTGTGGATCGTTGCTGTTGAAAATCGACTTCCTCTCATTCCAATGTGAATATTATTTCTGAGCTTTTCAGTATGCAGGATACAACTTTTGAAGTTTTCACATTGATTTCTAAGTGCATTTAATACTTTTCTGTTTTCTTTCTAAATTCTGCAAGTCGTTGTTTATAGCTCACATGATGATGAATGGGAGGAAGAGTAAATGCTTCTTCTTCTCCTCCAGGAATTGCATCACCACTACTGGATGTCAGGTGGTGAGTGGTTGGGGAAGTGGTTGGAGAGGAGGTATTATTACTGGCATTCACTGCTGGAGATGGAGAGCAGTTGAGGGAGGGAGAAGACTTTGAATGATGATGTCCACCACCACCACCACCACTCTGACTCTGACCACCACTCTGACCACCACTAGAAGCAAGTAAATCATTCGTGGATCCCTCTTTTCGAATGTTCTTTCTATCAAATGTGTGTAATTTAGAGAGTAAAAAGCTGAATAATGTTTCTCTCTCTTGTACTGATAATTTGGTTAAATTCATGGGTATGACATCTTTTTCTGGTTTCCATTGATCTCCTTTTTTCTTATTGTAGACCTCTCGAGTTTCTTCTCCCTTCTCTTTCCAATAACCTAATTTGATATCATTCATCACTTGAAGGATAAACTTTCCAATTTCATCTTCTGTTTGAATTTGTGCTTCATACTTGGCCATGGACTTTTTATACAAATCTAATCGATCTTTGAGAGTTTCAATTTCCTTTCGAGCACTTGCCAGTTCCAAATCTTTTTCTTCTGCCAATTTTTTCATTTCTTCGAGAGTGTAATTTTTATACTTTTCTCTGGTGGGTGTATCGATGTGTTTTTGCGCTTCCATTTCCTTAATCTTTTGAGAGAGAGATTTAATCGTTTTGAGATAGGATGCTAATTTCTTTTGCATTTCATCCATTCCAATCTTTTCCATGTCTTTAAATGGTGATCAAAAAATTCTATGCATCATCATCACCAACACCATACAAATACCTACTTGTTTCATGTCTTAATTGTTTGTTTTCTTCTTCTAGTCGCTTATTTTCAGATATTATTTTTCCAGCCTCTTGGGTACTATGTTCAATTCTTTCTTTCAATTGTTGATTTTTTTGCATGGTTTGTAGTGTTTTCTTTGAAATAACAATGAAATTCAGATCATAAATAGAATTATCAAATTTTCATACCTTACTTAAATGTTCATCTGTTGATTTGATGATTGCTTGTTTTTCTGAAGTGAAACCTTCTATTAAATTTTGTTCTTGAGCTTTCAACTCTTCTTCAAAAGTCTTTTTCATTTTCATAATTTCAACAAAATGTTCGTCTTTCAGTCGTCGTATCTGCTTTTTTAAAGATGAATTCTCGTTTTCCAATTCGTTTTTCAGTTTCTGAATATCTTCTACTTGTGTTTCATTATGCTTGGTGGCGTTCAGCAAATGCCTCAACTCTATAATTTCTTTATCTTTCGTTCGATTTATCTCAAAGATTGTGGTCTCATAATGATATTTCATTTCACTAAGTTTTTGTAATAAATTATCATTTTCTTTTTGCAAATGCTCTACTGATTGTTCCGATTTTCTTCTATCAATATCAAATTGTTCCAAAATTGCCTTCTAATTGGATCAATAATTATGGTGAGCACTTTTATCACTTACATTATCCTGAATTCTTGCTTCTATTATTAATTTTAACTCTGCAATTTTCTGCTCGAGTCGTTGACATTCCTCGGTCCTGAAATCAAAATCAATTGTCGAGCTTTTCAAGACAACTGATCATACTTACTTTCTCTCTACTTTTTTGGTAAGAGTTTGTACTGCAAGTGAAAGAGTAGTTTTTTCGGAATTAAATTGTGATTTTAAATCCTCGAGTTGCGCCTTCAATTCTTCGGGTGTTTGTTCTGCAGTTGATTTCTACATTTTTTTGAAATAAAATTTAGCAATCCTAGTATTTCCGTTCTAAAAGAACATTCAATTCATTCGGATTCCTTAGATGATGAGCCTTACCTTTCTTACCTTCTCTTCTTTCTTTTTCGGCATTTCGGTTGTTTTTCATGAATGAATTTTTTACGATTTTGAAATCGTACTTTCTTTTTTTTCCCGCCAAAGTCCACAAAAAAGAAGTACAATAAAAATACACGAGTTGTTCATTTTATACAATGGTACGTTCAGCAAACATGATCTGCGCACAATGAGAGGATGGAACAATTTGTATTCATCGTTTTGTATGGAAATAGAGCGAAATTGATGAAACGTTAAAGAGAATTAAATCCCATAAAGGAGTTGAAGGGATTGTTATTGTCAACAGTGAAGGAATACCTATCCGATCGGATTTTATGAATGATGATGTAAAAGTAAAATATGCTGCCAACATCACTCAACTCGTTGCAAAGGCAAGATCTGTTGTCAGAGATTTGAATCCTCAAAATGATTTAACGTTTTTGAGAGTGAGAACTAAATTGCATGAAATTTTGATCGCACCAGGTAAGTTAAGAATCTTTGCTGGTTGTCCGAGCTCTGTGATTTCAAAACTGCCTTCGAAATCAAAAGACAAGGAATATATTCTTATTGTTGTACAAAATACAAACTTTGAGTAAAACATTGTTCAAGTCATTTGTTTTAAATTTCAAGAGTTAATTTAATAAATAATTTTTTTAGAATTGAGTGCTTTGGTTGATAATGACATCATCAATCTTCAAAATCATCTTTACAACTTGAGTAGCAAGTCTTAATTGTTGTTGCTTTCCTGCCAATGTTTCGAACACTCCTTGTTCCTTCATGTCTCTAGTACCTCTATTCATACAATCAACACCTAGACGTGGATTCTTCTTCTCCAATTGCTCAACCTTAACATTGGAGACACACTCAATGGAGTTATAACCACTGTTTTGAGCAAGAGCGAGAGGAACAAACTCCAATGCATCTGCAAAGGCTCTGATAGCATATTGGTCAACATTGGTAACCTTATCTGCTTCATCTTGTAATCTTAAGGAACAAGCCAACTCTGCTGAACCACCTCCATAAACAATTCTGTTATCTCTTACCAAGTTTCTAACCACACACAAAGCATCATGGATAGATCTCTTAGCTTCATCAATAATCATTCTGTTACCACCCCTGATAAATATAGTAACTGCTTTCGTGTTTGCACAATTCTCAATGAAAATCATCTTGTCTGAAGTGGTACCAAAAGTAACTTCTCGCACTCTACCTGCTGAACCGAGTTTTTCAGAGCTCAATTCTTCAAATCTTGGGATGATTCTACCACCAGTAGCAATAGCAATCAATTCAATCTCAACACCACCAACCCAACGAACTGCTGGAAGTTGATTTTGCAAAAGTAAGTGATTGGCCTCATCGTCAAATCCCCATTGGCAAATAATCAAGTTTGCTCCAGAGTCTTTACATCTCTTCACTTGATCGATGAAATAGTTTTGTTCAATCTCATATAAAGTATTGTACTTTTCAACAGTGTCAATTTCAACAGTTCCCTTGTTCTTTGTCTTTGGAGGTTCGAATGGGCAAGTCAAGATTGCAATCTTGGCATTTTCAATTTCTTTCACCATTTGAGGATGACTCATTTCCTTGTCGACAACAATACCGTCAACAAGTTGTGAATCCTCGAGTTTACCACCTGTCTTTCCTTCCACTTTGATTAAATCTAAATTGACGTCCTTTCTATCAATATCTGCAACACTCATAACAGCATCAACACACATCTTGGCAAACTTTTCTCTGAATTTGTTAATAATCTTAGAGTTCAAAGTAGTGGAAGCAGTCTTCAACAATGGTTCAAGATTATCTTTAGAAAATTCAAGTCTATCACAAATTCTTTCCAACTCTTCACAAGCAATATCAGCTGCCTTTTCATAACCATCAGAAATCTTTGTTGGGTGAATACCTCGATCGAGTAATTCCAAAGACTTTTCAAGTAAAGCTCCAGCTAATACAACAACACCAGTGGTACCATCTCCAATCTCATCATCTTGTGATTGTGAGAGTTCAACGAGGAGTTTTGCAACTTGGTGGTTGACTTGCATTTTCTCGAGAATAGTTGCACCGTCGTTAGTGACTGTAACATCACCATCGGGACTCACTAACATCTTATCCATACCCCTAGGCCCGAGAGATGTCTTTAGTGTATTTACAACTTTGATAGCTGAATAAATATTGGACTAAACAGCAAATGATGAGTGAATGGAGTTGTGGTTGTGTGGTCATGATGATGATGTGAGTGTTTTGTATAAGTATTTTGGAATAAAATTGTGTGATGAGAGATTACGTTTTGTAATAATCCTACAACCTACCTTTATAGCATCAACACCCTTTAGTCTTTGTTTCTTGTCTTGTTCTCGCAGGATGATGAATGGTCTGCCGAATTCGTCGTATACAAGGCTCATGTTGATGGTCGGGAGATGGATTTGTGAAGACTGAAAGGGATATTTTTTTGTTGTTGTAGGCAAGCTTTCCGAGCTTCGGTAGAGGCTTCCTTTCTCTACTGCTTCGGTTCCTTTGCTTTGTAAAAAAACAAAATGTCAGCCTCAAACAAGAATACGCTGTCTGAGCTGAGGAATCTTCTTCAAGAATTTCAAACGTGCAGTAAGTCAATTATATTTGTTTTTAGCAAAAGTCCTAAAATATTCTTGCATCAGGCGAAACTCTTGATGAAATAATTGAGAAGGAGAAGAAGTAAGTCCCTTCTTTCGTTTTGAGTAGCATCATTGAAATAATGTTGAAGGCTTCATCAATCTTCTTCCATAATGCAGTTTGGGATTCATCATTGCCAAATTCAAATAGAGAAATATTTGAGCGAAAAATTACCTCTTCGCAGGAGATACAACTCCAACGAAGGGTATTGCAACTCGGCAGCATCTTGCAAGAAGTAAATCTTTTTAGTACCATTTACTTTGGTTGTTCATCAAAAAGATCATCATGCACCCTTGATTGCTAGAGCTGTCCAATAAATTTTTGTAAACGCTCTGCTCGCTGAATGACGTGTTGTTGCTTTCAGCTCAAAATTTTTCAAAACAAAAATCAAAGCATAAAAAATGGCCACAAAACAACAATCAAAGAAGGAGGACGATAAAATTTTGAGTCAATTCGTGAAAGAAGCTAAAAGAGAAAGAACGATTGATACAAGCAAGAACTTTTTCTTTTACTTTGTAGCTTTGTTGACTACATTCTTACCATCATGTTAGTATTGCTTTTGTTTTTGCGATCGTGTTGTTTTTACCAATTTTTGATTTTTCTGGCACGTTCAATGGTTTTGGTGTTGACTTGTGTGCATCAATCTCTTGATTTGATCGAAATTGAAACAAACATCAACAAAATTATATAATGCCTTTCTCATCGTTCAACATTTTAACTACAACATTACCCATCAACAACAACCACAATTACACTCCTTGTCATCGTATCGCTGTACCATCATCATCACCATCATCAATACCATCATCAATAACAATAATAATTTCTTCTTCTTCTTTCCTAAACATAGATCTTTTCCAAGGAGTTTTGAATTTGGAATTTTCAGGAGCTACCATTGTTCTCTATCTTGCTGTTTCGAGCGCTTCAGCTTACTTCCTCTCTAAAGCCTATGTTTTCTACTATTTACGTAAGAAACCAGTTTTGAGTGATTCCTATGAAAAGGTTCTCTCTTCCTCAAAGGGAGCCATCAAGAAAGGATTGGGTGAAAAGGAAAAGTTGGCCGATTTGGGTGCTACCGGACATGCTTTGTTCATTTCCAATGTCATCTTCTTTGCAATTGCCTTGTTCTTGAGCTTCTACTCTTTGAAGAGGCTTGATGTCCGTATTAATTATATTGCTTCATTGACATTGGCTTCTTTGGCTACCAATTACATTTCAAAGCCAAGAAACAAGTAAATGTATTGATAGATGATACTATAAGTAGTCATTAGTATTAAACACTAAAGAAATTAAATTTATAAATTATATCATCATCTCGAGAATCAATGTTTTGGAATTATTCGTCTTCCTCTTCGGATTGTGGAGCTTTGTCTTCGTTGGTTGCCTCTTCTTCGGAATTTGGAGAGGTTGGTAGATTCTCATTGTTCGCCTCTTCTTCTTCATCTTCGTCCTCATCATCAATTCTCTTCTTCTTTGTTGAAGGTTGATGTTGTTCATCTGTTGCTGCTTCTTCGTCAATACCTAATCTGACTTCCTCTTCGGAATCTTCACCATTGCGTTGTTGAGCTTCTTCCATGTCTTGGTCGCCACCTTCTTCGTCCTCGTTAGATCTTGAACCCTTAGTGTATCCAGAAGAGCTTGAAGCTTTGGTTTGGAATTCATCCACACGTGACAACACATTTTGCATGTCTTCGAATGGAACATCTTCGTCCTCATTACCCTTGGCTGCCAATTTAACTTTTGTGAATACTCTACGTTTTCTCTTCTTTGCAACCACCTTAAAGTTAACTCCTTCCTTGATGAAGGTGTAAAAACATTTTGAGTTGTCTCTATCAAATTTCATGGCAACACATGGTTCAATTTCAGCTTGAGACATTTTGTCACGGGCAAGCAGACGGTTTGCCAATTTGAATCTTTGTTGATTCTCGGCAGACATATTCACACTACATAAATTCTTCTCATAGATTGTACCAGTGTATTCACGAACCATTTCAACAATATTTCCAACATTCTTTGAAGGGTCGAGAACAGCATCTTCATCTTGAGTAGAGGCAGATACCGGAACATAATATTGTGCACAATCTACAAATCTATCATCATTGGTCTTTTCAGAGTCAATAATATCTTCAGTTGGCCTAATAAGTAATAATGAATCACTTGCATCCTTAGGTGTTAACTCAGATTGATGTTTGCGACCTCTCTTTCCTAGCAAATAATGGTTATCACTTCCAAAGTTAACTGCTAAATAATTTGTATTCATTGTGTCCATATCAGGGAGAAGAGAGAAGCAAGCAACAGCTTTTGACTTTCCACCTCCAGGTAAAGTTTTGCAAAGAGTACCTGCAGCAAACATTTCATCCAATTGTTTTGCCTTCTCAAATCTAAGTTTTTCTTCTTCTCTTCGAGAAATGGTTCTTCCTTTGATTTTCACAACCTTTTCTTCGGTAGCCATCATTTCATCCTTTCCACCATATCCTTTCACAGCATTCTTATAGTTGATCATATCAACATAAGTTGGAGCCTTTAGCCATGATGGTCTTGCTGTTTCGAGTACTTGCTTTTCAGCTCCAATAGCCTCAGTTTTGGATTTCACAGGTTTTAGTAAAGCTTCATCCTCGGGATCTAGTTTGTTGCTGCCAGTGCTATTACTATATACAAATGGATTAATTAAATTAATATTAACACCCATAGTGGTTTCTGTCAATAACTCGAATTTGTGATTCTTTTCCAAAGATGTAGTGTTGTACTCAACAAGATTTGATAAGTCTTTTTCAACTGGATATTCCAAAATAACAGGATCTAATTGAATTTGAGGCAATCCTGTTTGAAATCTCATGTTACAAAGGAATGCACTTTTCATTTCTTTGAGAGGATGTTCAGATATTTTGACAATAGGTGCTTTCAATACACTAGATGATGTACTAGCTTGTTGATTGGATGATGAATGGTGGCCCTTACTTTTTGAATGATCTCTACTTGAAGAAGTTCGTCTTTTATCCTTGCCATGTCCTTGTTGATGATGATGGCGAGAAGCAGAGGATGAGCCTGATGAACGGTCTCTACCATCCGAGCGAGATGTCCTGCTAGAACTTGGTACGGAAGAACCATTATTGTTGGTATGTTGAGATCTATGATGGCTACTTGAACGGGATGATGATCCGCTGGTTGATGAAGATCGCTGATGATGGCTTGATGGAGCACCGCTGCCACTGATGCTTCTTGATGAGGAGGAAGCATGTGGTGCCGAATAGGCTTTGTAGTGGGTACTCGTGCTGCTCATTTTTTTTCTGTGTTGCATTTTGTTTCAATCACCAGAAGAGCTTTTGAGTGCGTGAAAAATTCACCCTCTTTTTAAAAGTGTAGTGGTTCATAGAATGCAACAAAGACAACAAGCAAATGGGCAGGTAATACTCGTGTGATTGTGTGGAATTGGATTTCATGATTTATTGTTTTTTATTATTTATAATTATATGAATAATTGAAAAAATGAGCAATACTGCCTCTTCGTTTCCTTTCCCAACACCTTTCATGATAACGAATAGAAATCATCAAACAACAACTCTTCCTCCTCAATATGGCTCAAATTTACCACATGCTCCACCTATGAGGATGATGATGCCATACCCACCTCTCAACACTCCTCCTATTCCGAAACTTTCTTCTGCAATAATGGACACAACAAACAATACAAGCCTTTTCTCTCAATATCACTCGTTCTTTGTGGTACTGTCAGATTTTAGTGTAGAGTTATTTTCTGAAGAAATCCGTTCTCTACGAAACAATCAAGCCTCCTCTGATGAAAAAGTTTCTACTTCTAAACATAGAGATGTCGCTTCTTTAAGAATGAATTTTGCAAATTACAAACAATTTATTACCTCAAATCAATCCTCTTGTAAGATCAACATGGATACATCCACTAACACTTCAGAGTCTAGCACTAACAATACTTACAAGTATGAATGGCCATCATTTAAACAACAGTTCTATTATCAAACTGGAATGATAGATTCATTGAAAAAGAGACAATTTGTGATACAATGTTTTGATTTTAATAATTTACCAATTGGAAATACTATTAATTTTAATCTATTATCGATCTGTACTGGAAATGTCCATCAAGAGAGTTTTATTTTGAACAATAATCAATACATTATTGGAAAAATTCAATTCAAATGCCAAATGAAACAATTTAGCGATGTTGAAGTTAATTTGAAAAATTTAAATATTATCTTGCCATCTACTTTTAACAAAGAAGAAACACAAGATTGTTACCTATCTTATGGCTTTACGAGTGGGGAGAACAACACTAATGGCTCTTTTAAATCATCACCAAATCCAAATCAATCCTTCCAATTAATTGTTCCATGGACATTACCATGGCATTTCATTCATGGAATGGCACCTCCAAATCCACAACTCTTGAAGCCAATGATGGACACTCAATTATCTTTGGTTTGGTATGAATTATCATCTATTTACTTGACACAAACATCACTGAAAGAATTATTAGAAAAGAATTTAGTGATAAGACTCATGAAAAAGAAAAGAGATGTATCCGTAGCAGAATTTTCTATTCCTTTAAGTTCAATTATCAAATCTGGAATTTTGAAAAATTCGCAATATCCATTTAGACAAAGCGAAGGCACACCTTCAACAGTTATTTCTGGTGTTGTTGAATTCAATAATTTACCCTTATTTATCCAACAAGAATCTCAACACATTAAGGAGGACATAACTCCAGAGAAGTCTGTAATCACGGACAACAGATTTAATCAATCATCATCATCACTACCTTATGGTGTAAATGTGCCTCAACTTTTCCAAACCACCACCACTACCACTAGTACTACAACGACCACCACATCAACGACAAGCACTTGGGATGAACAGCAGCAGCAACAGCTACTACTACCACCAAGAAAGGTCTTTTCTCCCGCACATATTGCTTCCACCAACAGCACAACTATGACCACTACTATTCCAACTCCTTCCTCAAGTAGTGATGATTTTCTTACACTCGATCAGACATCTTCCTATTCCACTGGACCTTCTCAGATTGTATTGGAATGTACATTTAAAGACATGCTTGATAGTGATGGACTCGGTATGACTCATACTCTCACGATTGAACAAGCAGTGCTTGCTACCAGCTCTGTTACAGTTCAACAATCACCATTTAAATATTTTGAAGTTCAAATTTTAGATGAAGGAGAATCTGGAAAATGCTCCATTGGCCTCATCTCAAAAAGTAACTCTAGTGAGAAGGAAATGTTTGGCAGTGCCACCAATACTGCTAACACTGCCAGTATTGAGCATGCAATGAACGTTGGATATTCTTCTATGGATGGATATTTATTTGGAAAGAGTCAAAACAATCGTTTCAGAAGAAGACCATTTGGTCCACAGTATCGATGTGGAGATGTGATTGGGTGTGGATTAATTTCCATTCCAAGAATTGTTGATGAACCTTACGGGTTTTCGAGTTCTGTTCCTTCTCAACGCTATCAACAAGTTGCATATTTTACGCGGAATGGAAAGCTTGTAGGATTTGCTCCTTATCAAGTTGAAGAAAAGGATTTAGCGTTTGCAATTGTATTAAGATCTAAATATATGAAGGTATATGTAAATTTTGGACAAGAGAAACAACCATTCCAATTTGATATCCACCAAGCAGATGTTTTGTACTTTAATCAAAAGTTGCAACAGTACGCTAATGTGTCAAGTGGTAGTGAAAAATCTATTAACATTGGAGTTGATTATTTCAATAGAGTATTTATTCAGAATACGTTTAACAATAAGAATGTGTTCACAACGAACCCAATGCATACCATTCTTATGGAGGATTACGTTATGCAAAAAGTTCATAACAAATCAAAGACTAAGCAATTACCAACAAGCAAATTGCAAGAAATTAATCAGAAATTGATTAATACCATAACTAATCCTGTAACAATCAAATACAAGACTCCTCGTAAAAATAGTGAGAAAGAAGAGAAGGTCAAATGGAATGGTATTGAGTCGAATAGAGTTTTGTTATCACTGTTGAATATTCCAAAATCCTCCTTTTCCCCTAATGAATTTGCTAATGTAGTCAATTATGGACAATTTGTCATCGATTACCACCTAACACCAGAAGGTTATAATGAATCTATTCAATTTAATGTAACTCCTACATTAGTGGCCATTAGAGCATTGGAGGCTCTTCAATTATCAAAAGGAATGAAATTCTTAGAAGTTGGAAGCGGATGTGGATATGTCACTGCATTGGTATCATTTATTGTAGGTGAAGACGGATTTTGTACTGGAGTTGATATTGATGAAAATGTTATTGGATTTGCCAAACAAAAACTATTCGAGTTTAGTACGAGTTCACATGGATGCCAATATGCCTCCCAAATGTGTGAAATAGAATTTATCAAAAAGAATATTCTATTACCAAAGAGCCTTAATATTCCCATACTTTCTTGTGAAAATTATGATGCTATATTCTGTGGATTAGAAATTACAACAGATACTTTAAAGTATTTTGAGAACGTGATCAAAATGAATGGAAAGCTAGTTGCAGCTCTTCCTGACAAGTGTTTATATCTTTTCGAATTTATTGGAGATGATAATTGGAAGAGAACTAAATTAATGAAGAATTGTGATTTACCAATTGTAGTTTTGCCATCTACAGATGATATTGACTTTGAAAAGAGAGAACGAATTAGAGAATATGTGAACAACAATTTTTATTTCTCCAAAAAGGACATTGATTTGGCTTTGGATACTTTGGGAATGGACAATCTGGTGAACATTTGTCAATTCTTGATGCTCTACTCAGATCCCGCACTTAGAGCAACAGAAACTTCATTGGATCAAATTGTTCATGCTTTGAAGTTGTTTGAAACTCCTTGCAACACCAACCTTCCCGTGCAACAACACATTCTTCTCTTTCCTGTTCAAGCACACTTTTACTTAGTGCATGCTAGAAATTTGAGTAACTTCTTCCAACTACCCCTCAACTTTGTCGAAGATTGCTTGGTGAAATATCAGTGTAACATGATGCAGCTCAATCCAATTCTCGAACAGATATCTAAACAAAAACTGTCATCATCCTTCTGGGACGAAGATGAAGAAGAGAAAGTATGTCTTGAATTGCTGAGCAAGTTTGCAAAATAATTAATTGAACCCAAGTGTTCTACTGTTAAATTTTGGATTTGAGTGGAAATCTATTTTGAAGTTCTTTGACCAATTCGTGATACATGTCTATTTGGTCCTTATCTTTAACAATAAATTTCAGCTGGGTCAGATATTTGCTCTTTTTTGCGAATAAATCTTTCATGAGTTGTCCATCCATAAATTTAGGTGTTTCAATCTTTAAATATTCCAAGTTTGTACAATCTCTAAACACAGTGTAAACTGTAGACTTGGAATAAATATCAGAAATTTCTGAATAATCGGAAGTTGTTGAAGTTTGTGTTGTAGTGGGAAAAAGAGGAGCTATGGATTGAATGAAATTATCAGGGAAGGGCGAATCCGTTTGTAATGAGATTTTCCTAATCGAGGTCATTAAAAACAAATAGGCAATCCACAGACTGTTGTCAAACACACAATGCCGCAATGTCAAATTTTTGAGTTGATGTTTGTAATATGTGAATAAGTGTGCAAAGCATTTCTTCTTCTTAAAGTTTGACCATTTGAGAGTTATTAAATGTGGACAATTTTTTCCTAATTCCTCTACCAATTCAGGAGCTACCGATGAATCGTGTTTGTGACAATGTAATAAATTTAAAACCTTCAAGTTGTGAAAACCTAGTCTATTAAACACATGATGTCTCAAATAATCCAATTTCACAATTCTTGTCGTTGAGAGATTCAATGTTTCTACACAAGTCAAGAGTAGATGTGATTCATCATGATTTGTTAATGCTAATGGAAATGCATGATTCATGATACTTGTTAAAAATTGTGGTTCATTTTGATCCACATTGTTCTTTGACGCAATTCCAATTAAGAGATCGCGTAAATTGTGTATTCCTTTCAAATCTAAACTGTCCAATTGATTTTGTGACATTTTACATTGGAGATTCACACTTGAAGAAGACTTGGGTGAAGAATCATTGGTTACTATGGGATAGCATCGAAGTGTCAAACTCACAAGAGATATCAAGTTTGAAAAATCTAAATTAGTTTCCAAACATGTTGGTTCAATAATTTCTAATGTGTGTAATTCTTTAAATCCATGATCATGATTACCACCACCAACTAGACATTCATGAATCGCTCGAGAATAGGGTAGTTTCACAATTGCTAACTTTTCTAACTTTCCTTCTCTTCTAAGAGCTGTGAAAAGTTTCACTAATGGCTTGTCACTACTCACTAATGAAGAATCTTTTTCTAAATGTAATCTTCTCAAGGACCTAAAGATTCCTTCTTCATTGAGCTGAGAAGAGGAAGGAATGGGTGTTAATTGTTCAATCAACGAGTCACAGGTGTTTGGTGAGGGAATATTCTTATTGAGAGAAATGATTAATTTTAAATCCGCGAGATTTTTGAGTTTGGAAATTTGATCCAATCCAGATTTTAGATTCGAGCTCGAATTGAAAACAGTCATGTGAAGTTTTGATAGAGAAGAACATAGAGGCATTAGAGAATTGGTCAGATCAGGCGAAATTCCATAATTTTCTAAACTTAAAAATTTCACACATTCTTTCGATTGTAAATGATTGAAAATATAATTGTTGATCTCAGAGGAATGTGATCCTTCTAAAGAAATATTTTCCAAATATAGTACATTGGTGCCTCGTCTGTTACGAGTCGTGATGTGATCAAACGAGAATTCACTTGAAGGATTAATTTTGATATCACATCTCTTAATACCTCTCAAATAAATAAAAAATAATAAATCCGAATGCATCACAGGAATCTTTCTCTCTTCTTCCTTCTCTAGATGTAACGTATCTTGAATTAATGTTGTGACACGTGTTCGATGCAAGTGTTCGTAATGTTCATCGGAACGAATTAAAAACCTTCGATTGCTTTTAGCTCCACCCACAACAAGTTGACCGTTGAGAGAGTTTTCAAAAGAGTTGTTGAGTGAATCTCTATGCATTGACCCATTTTGGTCAAAAATGGAAGGATAAGGAATTTTCCATTCCAAGTAATTAATATCAATAGTTCCAAACATGAAATTAAAAGTATCCAAATGATGCAACCAAAGGATCATTTGATAATAATGTTTGTGTTTGGATTGTTCTCTATTGACAAAATCTTGATCAATCGTTAAAGAGAAATTCTTAAATAAAATCGAAACAACACCATTTGTGTAGAAATTATTTTTAGAATCATTTTCATTGATCTGAACGTCTAAACTGTGACTGGTCTGTTCATTCAATGAATTGGATGATTGATCTAATTGTTGTTGTGATTGTGGTTGTTGTGGTTGTTGTTGTTGTTGATTGGTGGTGGTGGTGGTGGGAATGAATTGTCTTGCTGAAGAAGGAGAGTCAAGAAGAGCTGAAGAAGGAGTGTTCGACATGTCTCTTTTAAATTTCCCAAATAATAATTTCATCATCAAGGTGTTTACATTTTTGTTATTTCTAAATTTGTGATAAATCATTCTCACAATAATGGTAAAATAATTTCTCAAATCTAAAATATAAAAATCATTCAAGATTTTCAAAACGATGGATTTAGGTAACTTGCCAAGTTGATCAATAAAATTTGGAGGATGAACATTAGAGGCTTGATCTTTTCTTCCAACCAAGGATTCAAATAAATCCCAACTTGCGGATGATGTAGAAGTTTCCGATGAATAGAATGTTGAGAGACCATCATCATCCGTTTCGCTTGGTTGAGAGAAAAATTTGAAGAATGAGGAGACTTGTTTGTTGGATGGTTGTGGTGGTGGTGGTGGTGGCGATTGAGTGGTGTGAAGATGGTTGTGAGGATGTGACATTTTTTTTCCTTGACAAGATTGACAAGATTGGTCACACTTCGTATGTACACCTAATGTGTATCTGTATGCATGTACGTGACCATCTTGGATTAGTTTTGAGTGAGTGTAACATGGTGAGTGACATTTCTACTTGTCCTTCCACCCCATCTAGATGAATGGTTCGTTTTATTAATTTCAAAACTAATGAATCTTTTTTTTTACAATTTAGTTCGTAAATATATTAGTAAAATAAGCACATGCTCTGGTCATTGAGAAGACTATTTTGTTCATATTAAACTTTATCATCATGGAAAAACCATCGTGTTTGTTTTGGACTTTTTGTGCATGTCATGACATAGGTATCATTGTCTTTGGGTCTCTTCTTCTCAGTTGCTGAACTCAACATGGATTGTATCGATAAACAGATCGTTTGAATATTCATCACAGGACTCCAACCATCATATAACACATTTCTAAACACAGAATGGAAATTCAATTTGTGAATAATTTTGTTGATGACTTACAGACAAATATGACCATTGGAATAAACATGTTCATGAATGGGCGTTTTTGGTGGAATAAAAACAACCTCGGGACTTGACAAGGGATAATCATTTGAAAAAGTAAATCGGAGTAGAAATTCTTCACCTTCATAGATTGTTCCTTTTGCACCAAAAAGTGTACAATAGATGGTTTCAAGATTATCAATAGGTTGTTGAAGGAAGATGTCAATTCCCATTCCCGATTGTTGTCGGAGAGCTGTGTTTCCATTTTGTAAATCTTTTTGGTTTTTTTCTTGCTCGTTAATGAGCCTTTGAATTTCTCTCTGAATTCTCTTGATGTGCAACATTTTGGTTGTCGTCGTTCTCGTTCAATCCAAGAGTAAAATTGAAAAGAATTGTTGTGATTCAAGCCTTTCAAAGGATGGATTCGGAAATGGTCGCGTGATCACTCTTCCGATATTTTTTATTAAAAACTTTTATTTGATCGAATCGCTGAATTCTCTTTCCGCTCCGTGAGACACTTGCAATTTGGTGTTACCACCAAGAAGTACTTACTTCTCACACTCATCTCCATTTCAGACACCACTGCGAGCTCAAATGTCCTCCATAATAGTGGGGTCTGTTTGTTGTTGTTGTAGTTGTTGTTGTTGTGGATGTTATTGTTTTGAAATATTCTTCCTATATATGGGAACAAACAAACACACCAAGTATTTTATTGTTGCAACCATTTGCATTGTTCGACAACATACGCTCTTTGCCAACGAGCAGATGGATCTGTTTCAAATTTAGACCATGGCAACCACTTCTTCACAGTCTTGGCACAAATTTCTTGAGGGAAGTGTTTCTCAAAGATGGATCGATAGTAATAAGCTTCCTTAGAAATTGGAGTGTTGTAAGGGAATCTTTCCGATGCCTTTGAAAATTTCTCATCACTCACTTGTCGATCACAAAATTCCTTCAAAGAATCAATCCAACCATGTCCGACGCCATCTCCGAATTGAACTTTGGTGCGCCACAAAATTTCATCTGGAATCAAATTCAATCCATCAAAGGCCTTTCTGAGAAGGAATTTCTCCATGTTATGTTCTTCACCATCTTGACCATGATAGGAATGTAATTTATGATCGGGATGAATCATCATGACAATATCCAAAAAGTCCTTATCTAAGAATGGAACTCTTGCTTCCAAACCATGAGCCATAGTGGCACGATCACATCTCATTACATCTGCCAAATGCAAGTTTCTAACTTTGGTGACCAATTCAGTTTGTAATTGTTGGCTATCCTTGGCATCTCTAAAGTAAACATAACCTCCAAACATTTCATCACTTCCTTCACCACTCAAAATAACACGAATGTATTGAGAAGCCAATTGAGAAAGTAAAAACATGGGAGTGGTGGCTCTCACGGTCGTGACATCATACGATTCCAAATGATAAATGACCTTTTCCAAGGCAGCAATTCCTTCCTCAATTGAAAAGACATGTTCATGATGAACTGTTCCCAAGTGAGCAGCCACTTTACGAGCAGCCACCAAATCCGAACTCTCATTCGCTCCAATACCAATTGAAAAACTATGCAAACGTTCTTGAGTGGTGAATTTCTTGACCAAAGCAGCCACGAGGCTCGAATCTAAGCCTCCACTCAAAAAAACGCCCAACTCCACATCGGACATCATTCGTTTCTGAACCGCAGCCTCAAAGCCTTGTCTGATTTTCATCAAATCGGTTTCTTCGGGTTGCTTATAAACAGTGGAGTCAAACCAGATGGGATTGTAGTATTGTTGCATGGTTCCAACAGGTTGAGAAGCGTGTTGGACATAGACCATACCAGGTAGGAAACTCTCAATTTCATAACAACCCGCAGCACTCAAAACCTTCATCTCACTTGCAAACCAAATACTGTCCATGGCACCCTCATTCTTCTTCTTGCCCATGTAAAGTGGTTTGATTCCGATACGATCACGAGCAGCCACCAAAGTCTGGGTAGTGGTATCATAAACAACAGTAGCAAAGTAGCCATCCAATTTGGAAACAAACTCAACAGCATCTTTCATGTTGATGATCGTGAGAGGATCAACATCAACACCACTTTCTAAACGTTTCTTCTTTGCTTGTTCATACAAGTGGAGAATACATTCCGAGTCGGAATGAGTACGATAGACGTAGCCTTCCTTCTTCAATTCTTCATCAATGGCATCATGATTGTAAATTTCTCCATTGTGGATGACCGCACAGAGTTCGTCCTGACTGAGAATGGGTTGTTTTCCAGTGGTGAGGTCAATAATGGACAAACGTTCATGAGCCATACAAGCAAATGAATATGGAGATGATGATGACTCAAGAGGCCATACACGAATGTCAGATTCAATTGGACCACGGTGAGCTAATAATTTGGAATAGGCACGAACTTGTTCAAGTGCTAATTCACGAGATTCCTGCTGAGAAGCAGCAGAAGTCAAATATCTCAATACAAAGGTAATTCCACACATGTTATTGATGTTGTTGAGGCTAATTGTCAATTGGCGAGGTGTTCTTCTTTGGCAACTTGGAGGGGCTTTCTAAAGGTCTTCTGACTGAGGGAGCAGACGATGAGAGGTTTGAGTGGTTGATGAACGGTGGAGGTAGTAATGACTGTAACTTGTTGCATAAAAGGCTATCTTGAATGCTCTGGATTCAAAATATATGAAAAGAATCTTTCGTGAGAGAGAGATTGGATAATGCAAAACACACACTAATAATCACACCGAGAGGATGATGAGATGTTTGGTTGTTTTTTTGTTGTCGTCCATCTGTTAAAGGGGAAATCAAGTGTAGAAATTCATAGTGTTTCCTTAGGCTCGAATTGTTGAAATTACCGAATAAAAGAAATCTCCGGAAAAATGCACTTTTTGGCATTGGGTGCAAATTCATAGAGGAAGTCAACTCGCGCATTTTGTTCTCCTTTTTGTAAAGATGACGACCATGTCAACATCAACATTGGAGGTGCTTTGACGTTTTGATTCCTATTGGTTCTGTGACTTGTTGAACAAACTCCAAGTTTGGCTAAAATGTTCTATATATCATCAAGATCAGCAGTTCAAGGCCTTCCATCGTTGAATGATTTCATCAATGTTTATTCTGCCATAAAAATTGTTTTCCATTGATTGGAATTCCCATCATCTTCAAATAAATATTCATGCCAAGTGTTTACATTAAATTTTTCTCTGTGAAGTCCCTGTCTGTCTAACAATTGAATAGGTTCGTTCATGTTGAAACGAGAAGGGATTTCACAACTATGATATTCAAACTCGAGTCTTGATTGTTTCCATTTCATAAAAGTTCTTTTGTGTAGTGACTTTTCATAAAGAACACCACCATACTTGGCACAATCCCCGAACAAAGTGTGATCGTTTTGTAATTCATGAGAGGCATATTTCAGAGACTTGGGATTTTGAATGATTGCTTGCAGTACAATCTCTCGATTGTTTCTCAGAGCGTCTGATGCATAGGTCAAAAACAGTCCATTACGTTTCACAGCATTTAAAACAATTTCAAAATCGTTTTGTAAATCTGTTGATAATTCTGACAAGGAAAACCTTTTCGAGTCCATGAATTTCAAAATAAAATTTCTATCATTTCGCAACTCGTCTGGAATATCCCATAAATCGATAAAATCCTTATTCTTCAAAATAAATTCTTCATCATGTTTCAACAGTGTTGAGGCATATTCAAAACAATACTCTATCCGAATACAGGCTTCAACAATTTGTCTATCACTACGCAATTCTTCAGGTAATAGTTTTAAAATACTACATGTACCATAGCGATTGTTCACACAACGAGCAACTGACACCAGTTCTGCTTTCATGATTTCTCTACTTTCATTACAATCAAAAATGTAAAGCAAAGCATCACGGTCATTTCCAAATAACCTTAAAATCACATCTCTCTTTCGAATCGGTCCAGAGAAGGACAAAATAATATCAATACATTGCTTCTTGAATTCCATCTCATGTTTTAGCTCCTCAGATGCAAATTGATAGGCAAGCGGGTTCTCTCGTATTGCAGTCAAGACCACTATTTTATCTTTCTTTAGTTGATCAGATGCAAATTCCAAATTCATACCATTGGTAATGACATGAGAAATGACTACACGTCTGTTATTTCTACTCGTTGTCTCGGATATACTTTTCAAAGAAGGTTGTTTCTTTGCATTTTGGTTTTGAGAAAGGATGAGCATCATAATCTTTGCATATGAATGTGTGCTTGAAGATGTTGTTGGAATGAATTGAAAAACTTCGATCGTGTTTCTTAATGCTGCAGATATAATATCCCAATCATTTTTCAAAGAGTCAGACGCATATTGAAAAGCAAGACCATTCTGTTGAACGGCTTTCAATACCACCCACTTGACATTTCTATTTTCACTTGAAGCGTATTGAAGAGAAAGCCCATCTTGTGTGACAGCTGTCATGACAATATTCATATCGCTCCTCAGTCTCTCTGAGGCAAATTGAAGATTAGATCCTGAATAGAAGACCGCTCGCTCAACAATATGATAATCATCATTCGATAATTGGATAGGACAGCATTTCCATCCATGTAATATTTTCGCTAAATCATCTTTAAAATTCAATAAATCTTCTCTTGATACAAAGTTCAATATTTGCAAATATTTACAACTAACGGCTCTCAACAGACCAACCTTATTGCCTTTCCAAAACCGACATTCTTCTTCAAATGATAATAAAGATGTATTTCGAATAGTTGCCATCCAATTCGCAATATTTCTATATGGATCTATCTTAATGGGTGTGCTGTAAATATAAAAATGTTCAATGCATTCTCGATCATCCATAAACTCGAGAGGAATGAGTTGACATTCATGAGCCTTGTAATGATTGTTTGAAAAATCCTTTTTCCATTGCTCTCGGGCAAGTAACCACTTTGCAAAGCCTTTCGATTGATTTTCAAATTTGTTTTTCAATCGTTTGAAATTTTTGCAGCATTCAAAAGAATCCAAATAAAGTTCAAAAGCCTCATCCTGATGGTCCATCATCATTGATGAAGATGAACAATAAGCCATTCCATCGATGGATGGATGATGATGCAACAATCTGCGGAAATCAAAAAAATCAATTAAAACTACAATGGTTACATCCATTGAATCATCAGTATCATCATCATCATCGATGGTTGAATCCTCCATCCGAATATTCTCATGAATCCAAGCAAGCTTACAATCTTCTTCCGTTAATTTCAACATCTTGGAGTCGTGTGGTTCAAGCGACTGAGTCTCTGCAAGCAATCGTTTCATTTTTGAAAAGTTTTTTTTTTGAAATTGATTGGCAGGAAAGTATTTGTGACAAAGGAACGCGTTCGAGTTTGTCGTCTCTCCATCAAAGAATGGAATTCAAGTGATTTAAAGTGTCCATGCATGACATTGGCAATGAAAGGATGAAAGAAATGATCAAAACAATCACCAGATACAAGTATTAACTTTTCAGTGTCAACCTTTTTTTCTTTGGTGGTGGTAATTTTCCCTCTTTCCAACATCTCCTTTGTTGTTTTAGTTATTTTCTTGTTTGTGATAATAAGGACAAAAGTTTCAGAGTTTTCGAATGGTGTGTTGACAGCATTTTCATAATAATTCGCAATCTCGTCTGGAGAGAGTAAAGAGTCTGAGTCTTCTTGTTGAAATTTGTTTTGCACCACAAAGACAATTCTTTTGCCTGTGTCATCATTAATTAGAGGTCAAAAAACTCCCTTAATATCCTTCTGATTCTTTTTTACCTTTTGCAAGCAAGTGGATGAATGAATAGTCTTTGTTTTTTCCGTCCTTTGATGTTTTAACATCTAGACAATCATAGTGAAACCATGAAGGATTTGATGTTTGCAACTTGGTACATCCCATTTCACACTTGAAATGTGCCCCTTCAAACAACTTTGAAATTTTCGTTGTCATGGATTTGCATAGAGTGAACAAACATTAAATCTTGCCGTCATTGTTTTCTTCAATTGGTTCCCATCTGGGTTTTTTTGAGGTAATGAAATCAGACACGACTTGCTTTGGAATATAATCCTTCTTTGTTGCCAAGATATCAATTACTATGAGAGGACGTCCTTCAAAACCATATACTTTTCCTTCACGGATGTACTTGGTAATTCTGTCATCTTCTGCTCTTTGGTTTACCCGGATAACATTCTCAAAGCCAATTCGACAAAGTAATTTGTTGGGTTCTCTAAATCACTCTCGTATTGTCTTTGTACAGCTTTTGTTACAATATGATACATGGTGGATATTACAGTATCTGCATTGTCCATATCCACCAAAGTTTTTAATTCTTTCTTTTCATAGCCTTCTAAAGCCAACTGCAAATGTCGAGGAACAACTCCAATGGCATTCCAAAACTCTCTATTTCTCTCATACAGTGCTAATAGGCCCATTTCTTGCATAATCTCTTTGATATCGATCGATCTCAATAATGGAAGTCGCAATGTTGCGGGTGTATATTGTGTTGGTTCCATTAATACATCATTTTCATTCAAGGTTCCTCCAAAGGCTGGAAAAGTAAAATTTGGTCATCAAATTGCTATTGTCTCATATATCATCCTATTCTTTGTTGGATATGGGTGTGTAGATCTGGAATATGTCTTGTAGCCAATTGGTATTCATCAAATGTTTGAGCTATTTAACGATAATCCACTCTCGATAATAATCACAACAGAGGCAATTATTAAGGTTAGTTGCCATTGTGAGAGACATGGCCATGGTCATGAGATGAATCTTGTAATACACCTTCTACATGATCTCTAGGATGTGATGATGTTGTTTATTTCATATATTGTCAACTAAGTATGAAACGGTGAAGCTCTCCTCTTGGTGAGTCAATTTTAGCTTGAAGGAAAATTTTTTACGTTCAAAAATGATACAAGGTCCCAGCGAAAATGTTAAATTTCACTCATTAACGATAAATACATGATGACAACATGTGAAAACGACTTATGTGATGTCAACACGCATGTAGTACACTAAAATAGAGGAAATTGTTGTATTAGTGATATGTTGTGGATTATAACTTTGCGCTCGTGTTTTGGAAAATGGCATTCAGTCCTCTTGCGTTGCGAATGATGTTGGGAATTTCCGTTAAAATTCGTGATTTTCCAATTCCTTTTCCACCTTTTGCAATTTTTCATTGTTTATTACCTCCTTTTTTGAACCTGAAATGTGCTCCTGCTATGTCCACTATTAATTTGATCGCCTCGTCACGGTGTTTCATGTTAAAACTCGTCTTCTCTACTGCTACTGGGGGAGGCTTTGTCCTATCTTTAAGTGTATAGTTGTTCAATAACTCATTGAGTAATTCCTTTTCGCTGTATGATTCTTTAAGAATTACTTCAACTTTTTCTGGAAAGAACGGTGATTGAGATGTGAATTTCTTCATCTCAATCTTGTCTTCCAACAGAAATTGATGGATCCACTTGACAACTTTCGTGAATAAAGTCAAGTCAAGATTATTCACGTTTCTAATAGCCACAGATTCATCTTTGGATGAGATGACATCTCGTGCGATGGTATAGAGAATTTTTCCATCTAATAAAGAAACCTCATCAAGAGTCAAATCAGCTCCTCCTTTTGAAATTGGTTCACATAATTTTTCTTTGATTCGTTTACTCACTGGCTCCAAAAGCCATAGTGAATATTGTCTTGTCATCAATTCATTGATTACCCAGAATACAATAGTTTGACAAGTGTCAGAGAGTTTAGGTTGTTATAAGTGCTTCTAAGCTCATCAGTTGCGTAATATATACCCTTCATCTTGATATTCTCAACAATATTGTGGAGCGTTCCAACTCGTGTAATCATTGAAACTGAGAGTATGTTGTTGGGTGGAGGACGACTATCCTCTACGTTTGTTGATGCTTCTTTTTTCTTCAACCAATTTGAAGTGGTGAAGGAACGAATTTGTCCAAATGTTCTTGTATTGAATACATGTTGGTTGTTTGGTACCACCTTTTTCATCATATCCATCCAAGCATCATCATTGAAATTAAACTTGTTGGATGATGAAGAAGAATGAATGTCCGTTTCATGATAATTTCTTGTAGGATATCCTACATATTGAGTTGTTGTTTTCATGAGGCTCGCAAAGCTATTATTGAATTTGCGGTTGTAAGTCAAAAGGAAAACCATGAGCCTCATCTTGGAATTTTTTTTGAGTCTAAGGTACTTAATTTTTTTCGAGACTCTAAAGGGTAAATTATTGTTATTGATGAATTTGAAAAAGCGTGTCACATGCTGAATATGACTCCAATTTTTATAACCTTTTGTTACTACTCCTTCACAAGCCAACTCCAGGCAAGTGATCGGTGATCTTTTTACCTTTTGGTTTGCAGTAGCTCTTTCATCTGTTGTTTTGAGTACCAATTTCTGGTGTTAATTATCCATATTCATACGTTATCTGGAGACAAGCTTTATATTTCTCACTCTTCACTTTAATCTTCAACCTGCTTCTTTCAGCGAAATAAAAGACCAACAAACTGACATCATCATCAAAGAAATAAGTGCAAATTGGATGGCATGTGTTAGTTTAGGTATAGAACTTTCTTTCATGTAGCAGCTGACTTGTGTTAAGGTGTCCTTGTTGTTTTGATGTAACTTGTTATAAATGTAGCGATTGTTTGGTAATTTGATCAAAAAAGTGTTCCAGATCTTATTGGAGTCTGCATTATTCATCCACTTCTTCCATATCAACTTTCCTTGCCATTCCTTGTCCTCATAGGAAAATAATACAGGCTGTCTCAATTTCTCACCAACATTCATGCGCTCAAATTCCTCTGTATGATGGTGTTTTTCCAAGCGAAGTCATAAAACACGAAAACACCTCATCCAACACTTCCACATGAAAACAAGAAGGATCAATTTCTTGGACTATTGTGCGAACCAATCTGTAATTTTCTAATATTCCTCCGATGAAAGTCATATTTTCAAGCCTAGCATTGATGGCTTCTCCTCTAAATTCCCGGCAGTCCCATCCATCACATTGATCGTGTTTTTGATTTCATTATGAGGATGAGGGTGGTTATTTTTTAAGGGTGAAAAATTTTTAAACACCTCAGGATAGGCTTCCATATTGAATGTTGTATTAATGTTGTACAACGGATGTAATATTGAGGCAATATAAATGTAATATAATAATTGTATATATATATATATTATGTATGTATGTATATATATATATATTAATAGTAATCATCATTATTAGAGGAAGATTCTGCAAAGTTCCAAATATAGATAGCCATGGTAGCAGCAGCTAATGCAAAAATACCTCCCCAAATCAACAAGGATTGTTGTCTCATCTCTGTTTCATTTCTATATTGCTCAATCGTCTTTAAATCGATTCCTTTTTTTGATTTTTTTTTAGAATGGTTCTTTTTCATGGTGGAATATAAAATTGGTTGTCCTTGATTCAGTGTGGAATTGAGACCAATGTTATTCTTATTGGATCGATGAACAGGTCGAGTAGTGGAAGTAGTAGTGGATGAATGTTTGTCTGTAAATCCAAAGAATTGAAGAAGAGGTGAAAGTGGTGATTTTGGAGATTGAATAAAATTCTCTGCATGATCCTCATTCGAAGAAGAGAGAGGTGATAATGGACTTGGATAATTTCTCAAATATTCTTCAGTCAATCGTTGTTCTTTTCGAATTTTTGCATCAGAGGTATTGTCTTCTTCTTCGTCATGACTTGAAACTTGTTCTTCTTCATCCGTTGAAGAATTTTCTGAAAGGTTTCGAAGCAGTGATATTGAATTCAAATCACCATGATTCATCCATTCATCATTCTTCAAGAGTAACTCTTCTTTTCGAGAGCAAATATGTACGGAACAGAGTTTTTCAAAAGTTGTCAACAAGTTCATAAAATTTGGTTTTGGAACTTGAAATGGAACATTTCGAATGGGAATATTTTTGGCGCCAAGTTCATTCCACAATAAATTCTCAATCATGTCACGATTCAGAGAACCTGGACAATACACCATGGAAGCAAATACTTTTTGAAAAGTGACATTACTTGCTATGGTGGTAGTGTTCAGTTCTGAACGAGGTAATTCTTGTTGATTCTTCTTGTTGGATTGCATATTCTCTGACAAGGATGATGTGACAGGAAATCCCTCCACAAAATATCTTCTCCAATGTTGTGTGAATAGAGTGTGCAATTTTTCTTGAAATTGTTTTTCTTGATTTCTTCGAATTTCACTACCTGCTGATTTTGCTTTATGACCTGTTTGAATATCGTGTGACAATTGTCTTCCTCCTTGTTTCTTTCGTGAGACATAATTTGAAAAGGTTTTATGAACAAGACATTTTCCACTTTCAAAATCAAAAATTCCACCAGAAAAGTATCCACCATGCATGATACAAATAAATAATAAATTTGAAATAATTTCACAATGTTCTATATTATTATTGTTGATATTATTGTTGCTATTCATAGGATGAGAATCAGTGGTGAGGAGTTGACTGAATGGATGTAAAATTGGTGAAGAAGGATTTGTTTCATCCTCTTGATTGTACCAACAATTCCAAAAAGTTATTATTTTTGAATTTTCTTCATGTTGGTTGTGATCATTTACATGATGATGATTGATGGTTGAAAGTCCCAAGAGTCCTGGAATTTGATTATAATTTTTTTCTAACACGATTTGTTCTTGTTGATGTGAACAAGTCAAACTTTCGATGAGAATATTCAGAATCTCCGAGTCATTGATTTTATATCTCCCGAACGGGTAATGGTCAACATGGAATGTTTTTTGGGGTGAAGTGATGATCATTGTTGTGGTCGACATTTTTTGTGTGTGAAATTTGAATGTAATTGTTCTTGAATTTTTTGAGAGAATGGTTCAATTTCAAGTTTGAGCATGATGCTGTTTTAACTAGCGCTTTAAATGGTAATCATGATTTGGATTAGAAATTCAGTTCTTGAAGTTTTATATCATGTAATCAATGATGATAAGAACATGATGGCTTTAAAATGAAAAACGTGCACATGACTCAACAACAATCGCTATTCAATCGGATGGCCATTTTGATGGCAAAGTCCCTCTTAAATGTTTTGGATTCAAAAGAGAGACGTTGGCACGTCAGTTGTCACCCACCAAAAAAATGCCCAGTGACGATAGCTTGAGTATGGATGGTGATGCCGAAGAAGGCTTCGAAGTGCTTTTAGATGTATGTATCCTGAGTTTGATGTTTGGCTGATGGGTCTCATCGCAATTTCGCTTTAATAACAATAATCGCATATTCAACGAATCATCATAACAAATGGACAACAACAACAATTTTTTGTAACGTTCGTCCTTTCGTTCGTTCGTTCGTTCATTTTCTTACAATTTGTGTTTTTTCATTCCCATCATGATGATGACCTTCGGTGATGATGATGCATCGGTCCGATCGGTCAAAAAAACAATTCATGAATATATTCTTCTTCAACGATTAAAATTCAATGGACATGATGATGATGGGAAAATTCTTCTCCAAAATTGTTGGTCTACTTTTCGACATGATGTTCCCTATACAACCATCATTGCGATAACACACTACAACTGCTTGATGATGTTATCGAATGGCTCCATACTTGTTGTGCTGTGAATGAATGAATGAATGGATCACATACATTTCACACCATTTTGATGAAATGAAACAACCACACAAAACAACAACTTGCTCATGAAACACACACATGATGAATCGATTCTCATTTCGACCATCATCATCATCTTGTTCGCTCCTCCGTTCTTTTTCTCTCTTTCTTTGAAAACTCACACAATAGGAAATTAAAAATAAGGAAAAATCTCTTCGAGATGCTGTTTACAATCTCCACAAAGCAACTTCAAAAGAACAACGAGCCACACTCATTAAAAAAGCAGAACAATTCTACAAACAAGCAAAAGAGAATATCAATGTACTCAAAGATGATCTCTCTTCCTATAATGGAAATAAGAAAAAAACATATCAAATGGAAATGAAGAAACTCGAACAAGCGATTGCAAAGAGTTACAATGACTTGACTCAAATTAAAGAGAATCGAGAGACTCCAGGAAGTGTCACAACCCCAACAGGAAGTGACAATGGATTGTCAGCAACTACTCCCACGACTGGAAATAGAAAATCAAGTAGTAACATTTCAAAGACCACTTCAGACGATGGAATGACCACAACATCTACAAGTTCAAAGAAATCAGGAAAAAGAAATGATAAAAATTATGATGAACAAGATGGTGCTATTATTATGGATGATGATGGAGGAAATGGTCAACCAAAACAAATGCAAAAAGGTCACTCTCGTGTGGATGAAATTTTGACTATTTATGACAAGAATAATGAAATGTTAGACAACATGATTAGAATTGGAGATGAGACCATTCAAATTGGAGCAGCAGCTGCTGAAAAGTTAAAACAACAAACAGAGAGAATGGTTTTAATTCAAAAAGATTTGGATGAATTAGGAGACGGTTTGAAGAGAGCTAAAAAAGAATTGAACGCATTCATTAGAGGAACTAATTGTGACAAGGCAGTGATTTGTATTTTCATTATCATTGTTTTGGTAATGGTTGCAGTTATTATTGGATGGCAAGTTGCAAAATATGTTTGCATTAAGGGTATCACCAATACTTGCATTGGAGGTTATTCCAATTCTTCTTCTTTTTCTGTCAAGGGAAGTATGGAACCATTCAAAGTGGATACTTTAGGAGAAGAGTCCTTAAAAGTTTTGTCCACTCCCATCACCACCACGATCGTGGCTGAGAAGAAGGTGAATTGATCATCACAAGTACTTGTACAACAATTGTAGAAGGATTTCAACGATTAAATAATCTCTGAGATATTATTTCATGTGTGTGTAAATTCAAAAGGCATGAGGAAGGAAGGCCAAAATAGGTTCATATCTTATTTCAACAGCAACAACAAGTACGTCATCACCACCACCACCTCCATGGTGTGAAACAATGTCCTCATGATGCGGGCACTGACCTCTCTCAGTAGTAGTGAATGAGAGGATTTCATCAAAAAATAATATCCACATCATCTCTCCGATCGACAAACATGATAATTTCATCCTTTCTGAATCCTGATCATCATCATCAGGACTCCAACTCGGTTTTCCACTCCCTACGGAATGCTTCTCAATTATTTTCAAATTTCACAGCAAATACTACAACATTCACTGCTTCATTATTCGTTGCAGTAACAGCAGCAGCAGCATCATTAATTTGGAAATGGACTTGTCACATTTCTTATCCAACCAATAAGAAGAATGACTTTTTCAATAATTGTGTGGAGAAGGATGATGATGAATGTATGAAATTTGGAACAGACGAAGAACCTTTGTGTGAATTGAACAATTTTCATGACTTTTTCGATCAAAATGCAACAACAACCAACCAATTTGAAACAAGGAAATTGCGCAAAATTATCATCTTTTTAATTCCATCACTCTTTACAGATCATCGAATTTTTAATCATCAAACAAAAGTTTTTGGAAATTTAATTGAAACGATTGATTTAGAAAAATTGAAAGAAATGGAAAATTCCAAATTGACCTTACACAGTTATGCTCAACAACTTGCTCGTCAAATGAACACTATTTGTAGTGAAGAAATTAAGAATAATTCTGTTTTTGAAGGATTTCTTGTGGGTGGATTTTGTGTGGGTGGAATGATCTCAATTCTTCTCGCTCAGGAATTGTTAAAAAGTTCAACAAATCCAAAAATGTTAAAAGGAATTTTACTCATTGGAAGTTGTCCTTCATTTACTCACTGTGTCGATCTATATTACATGAACTTGAAACGAATGGTCATGAATTATCTTCCCACTTTTATATTTGAATTGATTGTGAAAATTTATTTATGGTCCAATAGTGCTGTGAGTGCGTGGATGGAGAAAAGTGTGTTGAGAAGTTTGTGGAATCAAGACCAAAAGGTAATGGAGGAATATCAGAGCTTGTTGAAGAACATGATGGTGGATAAGGATCCTGAGTTTGTCATTCAAATGTTGAAGGCTGAATTTAATTTTAGTTCTGAAGAGGGACAAGAGGATCATGTGAAATGGACCATTTTCACTGAGAATCAAATTCCAATCTTTCATGTAAGTAGTGGTATTAGTGGGTGGTAGAAGAAGTATTCAATGAACTCTTGATGATGCGATTTGACATTTGTGTTTGTTGTGTTTTATTTACAATGCCATACTTGTAAAAATCAATTTGTGTGATCTGTTGCAACCATACCTTTCATCCTCTCATGGCCGATTCAACCACCACAATGAATGTATCTTGTAATGCTCATAGATACACGGAGATCACGACTATTTGATTCAATCCTCTCTCTGTGAAAAGTTTGTGGAAGAAAACATCCGCCCAAACAACACCAATTACCATTTGCGTGTATTGAAATCATCAGGACACTTTCTACCATTAACACGTAAGAATGCTGTGAATAATTTTATTTACAATCTGTTGGATGGTATTTCGTCTTCATCAACAACATCTTGCAGTGAGTGGAATCGTACAACACAAATGAATTAATCCTCATGTACATAAATGTCTTCTTGCTGAGTTTCTCGTCCACGTTGTTGATTAATCTTCTTTTCTTGGACCAATCTTAATTCATAATAGTAATTACGAACAGCCCAAATGAAGTTGAACAACAAGAATACAGTCACCAATGCGGTGTATTCATAACGAATGCTCTTGAAATAGAAAGTTTCAGCGAGATAGTGAAGAATTGAAAAGCCATCTGCAAAAAGCGTGTAAGTGGTGAGGGCCTTGTTCTTCTCAATGCTGGCACAATACAAGTTCAAGAATCCTTCAGTTTTGAAAATAATGTGATGAGGCAATGGTGCAAATATTTTGTGGATATCATTGAAATGAGTGCCTCATGAAATGATATCATAAACATACCGACTACAAAACCAAGAACGGCTGAAGATCTTTGCAAGTGATCATTTCTTCCTTGCTTTGAAAATCCAAAGAAAATGTCAGCATGAAGAATTGTGGTTAACGTATCCACATAGAGTAAAACAGCATTGGCGATAAAGGCCAATCCAACGATAAATAAACTGGTGTTGAATATCCTTTTTCCGGGAAAGTATAATTGACGAAGATTTTCTTTCAAGACTCTCTTTTTACGGTCTGTCTCCTCTTGGATCTGACTTGGACCTTCCTTGTTGACTGTGATATCTTCTTGTTTGTTGGCAAATCTTGATTCAACCATTTTCTTTGATGTGTATGTGGTGTTGTTTTGTTGAAGTTGAAAATTGTTCAATATTAATAAACGCAAATTTGAATAGTGGAAACGATACAAAACAAGCTAGACTCAATCAAGCAACACGACATATAAATCGAAAAGAAGTCAAAATCGTAATTTTCCATTTTGATTTTAGAGGTCATCTATGCATTATAGCGGAATAACAGGAATTAGAGATAGGTAAGCTTCAAAGATACATATGATCGGGATTGATGAGAGCCAATTAGAACGCTTTTCCCCAATAATCCAAGTGGTGAATGTCTACATTTCTACTTGCTGTTCAAATATCCTGTGTAGGTCAGCCTTCCTTCCTTCACCGGAGTCTTTAGGGCAATCATGGAGGCCATGATGATGAAGGCATACAACGCCACACAAGCCAACCCTAACACGATCGACAAACAAACAGCCTTCTTTGAGTCCTTCATTTTTTTTAAAAATGTAAGAATTGAACTCGGTCGAGCTCTATTTGCAATGAATTCTTGGGACCAATCCAGGATGGTGAAGACTTTGAAGCTGTACACCCTAACTAACACCATGAAGTTATTAGACCCATCGAATGATGATGGGATGATAAGGAATGTCATGACCAAAATTGTAATGGTCAACCGTTAAATTGGCGCGATACGCATCCAAAAAAAAATCGAATCGGCGCTGCTCATCCCAGCCATCTCTCCTCTCTCTCCAGCGCTGCAAAGAATACACCATCATCACCGCAGCTGTTACATTTGTTTTTTTTATCATCATCCAAACTAAAACATTCCCACTACATTGAACGTTGTTGGAATCTTGTTTGAGTAAATACACATATACAACAACAACAAACTCATCATCAGGCGACGTTTTTTTATTTGTTGCTGATATCTTCCACTTTTAATTTAACGACGCAATCACTTTCACTTTCGTAAATACATATATACAGCATCATGTCCACTCCCACAACACCAACAGACATCGATATTGATGGTATCATTTTCAAATTGTTGGAGGTTAGAGGTTCTCGACCTGGAAAACAAGGTTTGTATTTTCGGTATTGTAATCATTTGACGAACTCATCATCATTATACTCTGTGCGTACTAGTGAACCTAACTGAAAACGAAATCAAACAATTAATATTAAAATCTAGGGAAATATTCATATCTCAACCTCCATTGCTGGAGCTCGAAGCACCTATTAAAATATGCGGAGATGTTCACGGGCAATATTATGATCTATTGAGATTGTTTGAATATGGAGGATTCCCACCAGAAGCTAATTATCTCTTTTTAGGTGACTATGTTGACAGAGGAAAGCAGTCATTGGAAACCATCTGTCTATTGCTCGCCTACAAAATCAAATACCCAGAAAATTTCTTCCTCTTGAGAGGTAATCACGGTATGTAGAGTGATCAAACATGTTTGTTATGTTTATTGTTGTTGTTAGAGTGTGCTTCTATTAACAGAATTTACGGATTTTATGATGAGTGTAAAAGGAGATACTCCATAAGATTATGGAAGAGCTTTACTGATTGCTTCAATTGTATGCCAGTTGCAGCAATCATAGATGAGAAAATATTCTGTATGCATGGTGGCTTGTCACCTGAACTTCACAACATGGAACAAATTAGAAAAGTAATGCGTCCAACGTAAGTAGATGCGCGATTTTACTGCAGCAATGAATGTACGAACGATATTTTAGTGATGTACCAGATAGCGGTTTACTTTGCGATTTATTGTGGAGTGATCCTGAAGAAGGAATTCAAGGATGGGGAGAAAATGATAGAGGAGTATCATTTACTTTTGGAAGTGATGTTGTAGAAAAATTCCTGAAAAAACACGATTTGGATCTTGTTTGTCGTGCTCACCAAGTGGTGGAAGATGGATATAAATTCTTCGCCAAAAGACAATTGGTGACGATTTTCAGTGCACCAAACTACTGTAACGAATTTGATAATGCAGGCGCCATGATGTCCGTTGATGAAACATTGATGTGTTCATTCCAAATATTGAAGCCAGCAGTCAAGAAGAGCTATTATTATTAAAGTTTTGCTTTTTCGTTGGATTGTATGAAACATAGCCATCCGCTTTCCTTACTCCTGTATTTCCAATTATTGGCCTATACAACCCAAGTTGTATATATTCCACTCCATAATTTCACACATGATTAAAAAAGATTCTTGTCTTTATTTGAAGTTAAGTTTGGAGAAATTCATTGATTGTTTATTTTATCAAAGTCTCAAATCGGATGCTTGAACATCAAGGTAGCGTGAGTATGGATTGACATTTAAGGTGTCTAAATTTTGCTTCTTGTCTTTCAGATCCTTCAAACACTTGACATATAAATTGAACACTTCATAATTGTTAAACAAATGTCTGTCATAGTTGATGGCTTTTCTTCTGATGAGATAATGTTGCTCCTTCAATTTTTGATTGTTGTCTGGGAATGGAACATCTACAATCATACTAATATCAGAACCAATCTTCTTCAAAATTTCAGCTTCTTCATCTAACCTCAATTGGCTAGCAAGACAAATTCCTCTTTCGTCAAGAGGCACATATTGTTGCAACTGCAGAACGTGATATTTGAGTTGAGGTAAGTTTTGAGACAATTTCTCAGCAACGTAGGGGGATACATAAATGGTATAACGTAAGTGTTGATATAAAATGTAAATGGATTGAAGTAAATGATTAATTAACTCCATATTGGCCTTTGTTGAGTGAGGGAATGAGGCAATCAGTACACTCTTACTACGGTGATCCAATGAAGTTGGTAAATTGGGGAATGCACTGCTCATGCCCTTTAAGAATGCATCTCTAACTGTTTGTCCGAAACATGCTACTTCACCTGTACTTGCCATTTCAACACCTAATTTAGGATCACAATCAGCCAATCGCTTGAATGAAAACATTGGAGTCTTGCATCCATAGAATGACTTGCAAAAACGTTTTCTTTGAATGGATTCATAGGTCATTGAGGATTTGTCAATCAATGCAACTTTGTGATTTGGAGTATGATGTTGTTGATTGTTGGAACGTAGTTGAGCAATTTCGTTCAGTAAGTTCATTTGCTCGTAATAATTTTGAGTGGGTACCTTTTGTTTGGATGTCACTTGTTCAATATTAGAAGGTAAAAGGAATGTGTTTGTGAAAACTTTTGCTGCTAAGGCAATAAAGTCCAAATCAAGAGTCTTGGATACAAATGGGAATGATCTAGAAGCTCTCAAATTACATTCAATCACTCTCAATCTCTTTGAAAGACTTCTATATAACTTGAGGGCTTCTTCTTGTGGATCCTCCTCTTCGTCACTCCATGAAGATGGTTGAGTATTGTTTGCACTGTCATGTGGAAGTTCATTATCAAAGAGGAATTGCATATTAAATGGTCCACTAATGTTGAGTGCTTTGGCAATAAGGGCTGCCTTTTCTCGAATAAGGTCTTGAATGTCAAAACTCAAGCTGTAAGGTGGACAAATTAAAGTGGCATCTCCACTGTGTGTTCCTGCTCTTTCTACGTGTTCACTGATAGCATCCACAATGATAAAACCATTTTGAGCAACACCATCAATTTCAATTTCTTTGGCGTTCTCATAGAATTTGGAAATGACGACGGGATGTTCACTTGAAACGTCAGCAGCTTCGTACAATTGTTGTAACAGTTCAGTGTCTGAGTATGCTACATTCATAGCTGCGCCACTCAATACATAACTTGGTCTAATCAGAACAGGGTATTGAACCTTATTGGCAAAATAAAGAGCGTCTTCAACAGTTGTCAAAGCAGCCCATTCAGGTTGATAAACAAGTTTTTCTCCTCTGTTATCAACAAGAGAATCCAAAAGCTGACTGAACTTATTTCTGTCTTCACACGAGTCAATGGAATCAGAACTTGTTCCAAGAATATTCACATTGCATTGTTTGTCGAGAGGAAGAGCAATATTATTTGGTTGTTGACCTCCAACGCTAATGATAGCACCGTAACATGTTTCTTGTTCATAAATATCCATAACTCTTTCAAGACTCAATTCTTCAAAGTAAAGACGATCAGGTTCGTCATAATCAGTAGAAACAGTCTCTGGATTGTAATTAATCATGACTGTCTTAAAACCTAATCTTCTTAACTCACGAATACACATGACACCACAATAATCAAATTCTACGCTACTACCAATTCTATAAACTCCACTTCCCAAAACCATAATGCCCTTGTCGTTAAATGAAACGTCATGATGAAGATGATGATCAGGATAAACAAACTTGGAATTGTTTTCCTCATCTGGCAATGCAATACTATTAATACCAGCATTATAAGTTGTATAGAGATAATTAGTTTGAGCAGGATACTCTGCTGCCAAGGTATCAATTTGCTTAACAATAGGTTGTATCTTGTGAATGTACTTTCTAACATATCTAATGATCAATTCCTTATCAGTATTTGTCAATTTATCTTTTGATGACAATTTGTAAGGGAATGATGAATCTGGAACAAAGTTATGGAATAGAGAGTTTGGAAGATAAGATGCAATTTGCAAATCGGAGAAACCTTGTTGCTTGGAAAGAATTAAGAGAGGGTAAGGAATGTCAACAGGAGAGTGCATATATTTGCCAACTCCTTTGAGTGCCTTTCTGGTTTGTACAATGTTATTGAGCTTGTATAAAAACCAACGGTCAATTTGTGTGAATTGATGAATTTGGTCTACAGTCATGTCAAATAAATCCATGGCAAGAGCAATGGCGAAAATTCTTTGATCTGTTGGGTGTAACAATTCTCTAATGACTCTCTGTTTAACTTCTTCCTTAGCATTGATAACAGTAGGAATAGCAAATGGATTGCTATTTGGTTGAACAATGTTATTTGGAATGGACCTCAATAACTTTTCATAATCAAACAAAGATCCAGTGGTTTCAAATCCTCTATGGCTAGTGTTGACCATACGAATGGCTTTTTGAATGGCTTCTTCAAAGTTACGACCAATGGCCATGACTTCACCAACACTCTTCATTGCACTTCCAATGTTTGTAGAGACACGAACAAACTTTTTCAAATCCCATCTTGGCATTTTGACAACACAATAATCAAGAGCTGGTTCAAAACATGCCGTAGTTTCCTTTGTGACAGAGTTCTTAATATCAATTAATTCCATTCCCAAAGCGAGTTTAGCAGCCACAAAAGCAAGAGGATATCCAGTGGCTTTGCTTGCTAAGGCAGAACTTCTACTAAGACGAGCATTGACTTCAATAATCACATATTCTCTACTGTAAGGATTCAAAGCATATTGAATATTGCATTCTCCTACAATTCCCAAATGTCTAATCACCTTAATAGCCGCAGTTCTGAGCATGTGATATTCATCATTATTGAGGGTTTGGGAAGGAGCAACCACAATAGATTCTCCAGTATGGATACCAACAGGATCAAAGTTTTCCATGTTACAAACAGTAATGCAATTGTCGTTGATATCTCGCACAACTTCATACTCGATCTCTTTCCATCCTTTAACACTCTTTTCCACAAGAATTTGAGGCGATGAGCTTAGAGCTTGAGTGGCTAATTCTCTTAGCTCCCTTTCATCATTGGCAAAACCTGAGCCAAGGCCACCCAAAGCGAAAGCAGCTCTCACGATGACTGGGAATCCAATTTTGTGTGCACTAACAATGGCTTCTTCGACATTGTCACATGCACTTGAATCAGCAACTGGTTGACCAATTTCTCTCATCTTTTGGTTGAAAATATCTCTGTCTTCAGTGTCAATAATGGATTGAACTGGTGTACCTAACACTCTACATCCTAATTTTTCCAAAATACCACTCTTATGCAATTGAACACCACAGTTGAGTGCAGTCTGACCTCCAAATGAAAGTAACAATCCATCTGCAGCTTCCTTCTCAATAACTTTTTCAACAAAATCTGGAGTTACTGGACCAAAGTACACTTGATCGGCAAGCTCCTTCGATGTCTGAACTGTAGCAATATTTGGATTAATTAAAATTGTAAAGATTCCTTCTTCTTTAAGAGCCTTAATGCATTGTGATCCACTGTAATCAAATTCACCTGCTTGTCCAATTTGAAGACCACCGCTTCCGAGAACAATAACTTTCTTTGGAAGTGGAGGCTTCTTGGAAATTGATTTATCTCTCTTTTGTGAAGGATCTCTCTTGTATTCAGCAGAGAATATACTCTTCTTCATCAACATTTCCTGTTGTTGGAAAATTGGAGTACTAATGTCTGATGTGTCTTCAATGGATTGCAAAAGCTCATTAAACTTGGTTCTCATGTTCTTATGATGTCTCACAAACACTTTGCTATAGTGAGACTCGAAGTTTGTAACTTCTAACAATTTTCCATTAATCTTCAATTTCATCAAGTCAACAAATTGGTCGAATAGGAAGAAGGTATCCTCTGGTCCTCCTTTGGCTTCAGGGTGGAATTGCGAAGTGAAAATAGGCATATTTGTGCAATAAATTCCTTCGTTACTATTGTCGTTTGCGTTAATAAAGTATGGTTTGAAATTATAGGGGAGGCTAGAATTGTCCACAGCATAACCATGGTTTTGTGATGTTATAAAACATTTTCTGGTTAATTGGTCAATGACAGGTTGATTGTGACCACGATTACCAAATGGCAATTTGTAAACAGCTGCTCCTACAGCCTTACCAACAAGTTGGTTGCCCAAACAAATACCAAAAATAGGAATCATTGGTAATTCTTTTGCTGAGGCCATTCTAATGTAATCCTTTAAATATTCAATTGTAGAAACAAAATTGTTTGGGTTACCTGGACCATTGCTGATAAATAGGCCATCTAATTGAGCAACCTCCTCTACCCAATTATAATTGAAAGGAACTACCTCCAATTCAATGTCTCTCTTGACTAGCTCTCTTATAATGTTATATTTCATTCCACAATCAATTGCAATAACCTTAAAGGTGTTTCCATGACCATATACCTTGACTTCCTTACATGTTACTTGCTTAATAATATCTGGATCTGTACCTGGATCATACCAACGAAGCTCTTTACCTAATTTGATCATTTCATCAGAAGCATTGATGTCTGTGACAATTCTACCAAGCATAGAGCGTTCATTTCTTAACTTTTTTGTGATGGCTCTTGTATCGACATGATAAATACCTGGAATATTATATTCTTGTAACCAACGATGAAGTGAACAAATTGCTTCATAATGAGAATAATTTTGAGAATAATCTTGAACAATTAATCCTCTAATGTGAATTCTATCACTCTCTAAACGAGGTAACAAACCATAATCATCAACGTATTCATTGGCCATAGTATTGCTCATAGTAGCTGTTGAAGGTAATTGATTTTTCTTGAATGGAGGAGCTCCATAATTACCCACAAGTGGAAAAGTCAACACCAATATTTGTCCTTGATAGGATGGATCAGTCAAAGACTCTGGATAACCAACCATTGCAGTGGTAAAAACACATTCACCGCTCACAGAGAATGCTGAATCCCAATTGGTGTCCTTTTCATTCATGCACTTGGTAGCTCCAAAAGCTTTACCATAATATCTTGTACCATCCTTCAATTCCAAATAACTATCAAATATGTGAGGTCCGAATTTGGTGGTGATTGGATTTAACACACCACTGCTCACAACCTGAGAGGATTGAGGTTGCTGAGGCGATTGAGTACCACCACTCATCAATGACGAATAAGTACTGCTTGCAGCATTCGGAGACAACAATGCTTGTGCTGAATTCAACAAGCTGTTCAAGGCTGAGTTGGTCGAAGAAGGACTACTATGGTGAGCATGAGAAGAATGGTGGTGATGGTGGTACTGATGGTGATGAGAAGAGATGTGAGAGGAAGGGTGTGGAGGAGTAGAGCCCATCTTTGGACTGTAATAACTCATGAAAGACTTGTTGGAGGGAGAGGACGAAGGATACATTTCCTATGTGTTGTTGTTGTTGTGATTAGGGTTTGCTTGAAAATGCTCGATGTATAATAACTCGAGAGTGAAAGTCCAATGTGTTTTTTTTCTGCAAGCTTGGCAAAGGTTCAATGAATGCATCAATAGCCATCATCGGAGTCATATATTAGGAAATTCAACAATGTTGAATGATGGTATTATTATTGCAATCACCACCACCACCAGTTGAGAGAATGGTTGTTGAAATGTAAGGTAGGAATAATAACAGATGGTGTTATTCCACGATGAATCATCACAATGTTACAAGCGGAAAAAAAGATTACCTACCTTTAATAGTCTAAACTCACACAGTTCTAATGTCGGAAAGAACAAGCTGAAAGAGGGATATGTACACGATGATGATGAACTCTCTCGAAAGAAGGGTTACTCCTTGGCTTTGCTCTCTTTTTTCGAGAGGAGGATTTTGAATTTCAAACAATTCTTGCAGGTTTTATGGTGTCCAACGTTTGTTGTAATCTCGTCTCGGATGAATATTGGTACCCACCAAATTAATGTGTTGAAAGCTCTCTCATGAGGATGTGTACACACAATTCTCCAACCTCATACGCAATGCGAGAAAGGAGCCCTGTGTTCACTCTGATTTATCGCGATATTCTCTCCTCTCACATGAAAGAATGAGAAAAAGTGCTGTTGGGTGATGATGGATACCAATATTCATCATTATTATCTATTGTTGCCGATTGGCTTACAATAAGAAGGTATCCGTTCACGTGCTTTCAATAAATTACTCTCAATTTGGTCCGACCTCGTAACCACAAAGGAAAAAAAGCTGAATTGAAATCATCCAAGCAGCTGCTTCATCTCCTCCTCAACAACCAAAAGACTCTTCCCTTTCTTTCAAACCAGCACACAAAAACATCACCACAATGATTTCCCAATCCACTACCATGCAACCTTCCGAAAGTACAACAAACCACTGCAAATTATCCCATCTCATCACGATTAAACAAATCACCCCGCAGCTCAGCGAAAGCCTTTGTCATCGGGCTTCTCAATTCAAACATTTTTTCATCAAGCAACAACATGACCAATATAATTCCATCCTCAAAAACAAGATTGTCAATTTGTTGTTTTTTGAACCTTCGACTCGAACCATGTGTAGTTTTCAGAGTGCTGTCTTGAGATTGGGAGGAAATCCAATCACTTTGGACATTCAAAGTAGTAGTAGTGTAAAGGGTGAGAGTTTGCAAGATACGTTACGAGTGATGGAACAATATGGAGATTTAACTGTGATGAGACATTCCAAGAGAGGAGTTCATCAGGAAATGACTTCATATCTGACGAAACCTTTGATTAATGCTGGAGATGGTGATGGAGAACATCCAACACAAGCTCTCTTAGATTTATTTACAATTAAGGAAGAACAAGAGAGAGTGGCAAAGTTGATGGATTTTAAAGTACAAACTATTTGTTTATTTGGAGATTTAAAATTTGGTCGAACGGTTCATTCTTTACTGAGATTGTTATACATTTATTTCAGAAATCAACCTTTGAAAATTTATTTAATTTCTCCTGAAGGTTTAAGAATGCCTCAATATGTCATTGATGATTGTGTTCAATTGGGTGACAATCATACACTTATTGAGACTGAATCATTAACACCTGAAATTATGAATGAATTGGATGTTATTTATGTCACTCGATTACAAAAAGAAAGATTCGAAAACGAAGAGCAATATTTAAAGTTGAAATCTTCATTCTGTTTAAAGAAAGAACATTTGAATACTTCTAGAAATTCTCATGTTCCAATCATTATGCATCCATTACCTCGTGTGGATGAACTCGATGAAGCTATTGACTCTGATGAAAGAGCAGCATATTTCAGACAAATGAATAATGGCATGTTTATGAGAATGGCCATTTTAGAAATGTTGTTAAAACAACAGTAAATTATTGTCAAATTCTCTAAAGAATGTGATGAATTGCAACAACTAATTCTTTCAACATCTTTATTTTAATTAATTGACTTGATTCGAAAAAAATGTATTCATCAGGAGCTTACTCAATCAATTCTTCTGCAGGATGGCCCTCTTCTTTTCTAGGTGGATCTACTCCTGTTTTTGGCAAACGGTTTCTTTCTCTTTTCTGGAGCATTTCATTGGATGATGGTATCATTTGTTTCATTTCCTTTTTGTTGGATAAATTATATCGAAGGCAATCCCGAAATCAATACTTGATGAGATATGAAAAATTAGCCGAGATTTTGAGAAGAGATTTATGTAATTATTTAAACCATGAAATTGGAGAATTGAAAATTTCTTTTAATTCTACAAATCAGGAAATTAGAATCAAAAAGAACAATTTGGAACATTTTGAAAATTATGATCATGAAAATTACTATTGGAAAGATTTTTTAAATTTGCGAGAAAGAAAGCAGTATTTAAATGAAATTATTGAAACAGCTATTCAGTTAAGAAGAATGGAAAATGATGATCATATAGATACTTTGAACATGATTAAAAGAAAGTCGTTCAGAATTATTCATCTCATTGTTTCTGGATTCTACTATACATTTTTCAATGCATTCAACGTAGAATCCATTGGAAATTTATTTATGATGTTAAAAACGTCGAACATCAGAAGGTTGCAACAAATTCCAAATAGTTCTACTCCACCTATATCAGACATTCCTTGGATTTCTCAAGTGATCAAGGCGATATTGAGATCTGTCTCTGTGTTTTACCTCTATGATTTACTTGATTCGATCATTGGACAGTTATTTACTATTGCCAAAACCAATTCCAGAACAGAGCGTGAACGAGAAATCGCTAAATATCATGGAGCTGATAGTTCAATTGGAAACAATATTTTTATTACTCCACACATACAAAGAAATGAAGAATTGCAACCAATTTTCAATCGATCTGAGAAAATTTATGAGCTGCAGCTTAAACTTGCTAACATTTTAACCACATTGTCATTATGCTCTGCAGGCACAAAAGACCCAAATTTATCAAACTCTATTCAAAAACTGGTTGAAGAAACAAAACTGAGTTTTAAAAAAGTAATCGGAACTCTCGAAAAGGTGGATGAATGGGCGTGTAAATATAACAGTCACAACCTTATCAAAGAAGATTTGAAAATTGTGACAGAAGATTTGGTGGATTCACCTGAAACCTTGTCATACACTCTTCTCACACAAACACGAGAATTGTTATCTGTTTTTAAAGAAACCATTAACAACATGAACAATGCTGTAAAAGAAGTTGTAGGAACACCTTCTGGAAAGCCTGCAGAACTTGATAAGGAGGATCAGCCTAAAAAGGTTAAGAAAGAAAAATCTTCAAAAAAGAAGAACCTTATTGTTGAAAAAACAATCAATGAATATCGAGAAGTGTTGAAACAATTTGATGTTCAATGCAACAAGATGTCAACTCTAGCATCTTCTCCTCCAAGCAGTGACATTCTTAGTACTCCATTCTATAGAAGAGAATCTTCCTTAAATGATAGATTACAGGTGTTTTTTATGAATTTACCAATTCGGACATTATTGGTGTACATTATGGATCTAATTCTCATGTATTACAGTGGCACAACAACGGATTTGATACCACATGATATGCAAAGGAAACCTTAGTGATTCATTCGAGCAGTCCTTACTTTTTGTAATCGATATCCATAATGATCGAGGTGTGCGGCAAGTATTTCTGAATTTTGTCAGTGACTTTACATCGCTGAACGTTGAGATGAGTTAGAAATGGCAATGCCGTTAATTCCTTCACACCCTTGTCAGTAATGGCTGCAAAGTTAATCGTCAATTGTTGAATCCCTCTTAAATGTTGTACAATGGCCTTGATGGTTTTGTTCGTCAGGAATTCATTATAACCGTAATGTCCACCATGAATGGTCAGAATTCTAATGTGAGGACAATTCTCAATGACTGGAATAATATTGTCATCCTTAATGTTAAAGCATCTCACTAAAAGCAAAGTTTCAAGTTGAGTCAAATTTTTCAAATAATCGAAACGATGGAGATGTTTCACATGAAGAATGTTGAAAACTCTCATGTTTGCAAATTTTGAAACATTTTCCAATCCTTCGTCCTCTAACTTGCTACACCAATCCAAATTCAGCTCACGCAAGGTTTCCCAAATGCGTGGAGTGTTTGCCAAATGTTGAAGTCCTTTTCCTTTGAGAGTTTTGTTATGAGCAAGAGATAAAGTTTCCAGCTGTTCACAATTAACGAGCCATCTCAAATCTTCATCCTTCATTTGCACATTGTTACTCAAGTCCAATTTCTTCACATGATTCAGTTTTAACATCCATTCAAAATTGGTGTACTCTCTCGATGCGATAAAATCCAACTGTTCCAAAACTTTTAGGTCACAGATCGCAAGTAATTGCTCCATCCCATACTTGAGTCGAATACATCTTTCAAAAGTCAAGGCAGAAAGCTTTTTCTTAACGGGAACTGATAGAACTTCACCAGTCTCGCTAATTGTTGAAGTAGAAGCAGGTTCTTTTGCATTTGTAAACAAGCTTTCAATTCGGCAACAATAGTCCAATGTGAGATGTTTTAAATTCATAAAGGCATTTTCTCGAATCAAACTTCTTGTCACATTATACATTTTCCCATTGTGAATATAGAGCGTGTGAAGATTAGGATAAATCGAGCTCTCAGATGACAGATTCATTCCTGTCAAGGTATCCCAACCTTCTTGTGTTAACACATCACCGCATTCATTGAGGACAATTTTTTCGATATGGTTTGACAATTCAAATAGATTTGAGCATAAAAATGGAGCTTGAACGCGGACAGACCTCGAGCATGAACCTAAATCCAAATGAATCTCCTTCAACACTTTCAAATGTGTGAGAACTTGTGTGAAATTGTATGGAATGTCATCTTGTAACCCTGACGCATGAAATGCAAACTCTGACAACTTTAAATCTTTCAAAGTGTCTTTGAATTTGTACAAGATGCTTGTCAATCCATTATCTTCTGTAATCAATACCGAAGATTCTTCCTTTCTTTTAGGGGCAGTCCCAAACGTCAATTCTGGTTTCTTATTCTTGTCAAAATGTAGAATTTCAATACCCTTGAAAATGTTCGAGCAAGCAACACATCCAGTATCTTGAATTGATAAATTATATCTGAATATGAGAGACTTTAAGGGAATGCTGTTTTTGTAAGACTTCTCACTCACAGCACCGTAAATTTTCAATTCATTTTCGCAATAGAATTTCAAATACTTCTCCAACATTTCAAATCCTTCATCTAATTGACTGCTTTTAGAAATTTCCAAATGATCTAACATTTGACATTCATTGGTTGATGGAATGTCTGTTTGAGACGACTGAATAAGTCCCATGTTTCTAAAATTCATCAAAAGATTCTTGTGTAAAATCAAGAACAAAATTTTTGAGATCAATTCTTTTGACAAGTTGGCATTTTCAATGGTCAATGATTTCAACTTGGGTAAAACAATTTCATTGCTTTTGAATTGAATATCGTTTGGTTCTGTTATGGATGACTCTTCAAAAAATTCAGTTATTAATTCATTGGTGTTCTCATTTCTACAATTATGGATATTCACCTTTAAATGTGTCAAATTGGGTAATTTGGTACAAATAAAATAGAATTCATCTGAATTAATGGCTGGTTTGATCAACAATGATTTGAGACGATTACTCTTCAAAGCAAACTTTTCACAAAAGAGTGTTGTAAAAGAAGTCAAGTCATGCTCTTTCTTGAACACTGCTTCATGACCAATACTCAATTCTTCGATAAACGGCAACGCTTTTTCTAATACTACATATTTAATCACATATTGCACAAATTGATAATTCCATGTTTGATCAATATGAATTTTGTTGGTACTAACCCAACAAAAGGTAAACCAGGTTTTAGAAACAAATCTCAAAACTCTTAATTTCTCTTCAAGAGAAAAGAATGAAAGTAAAATGGAAAGTAATTCCGAAGAGAGTTGATCGTTCAAATGTTGAGAAGAGGATGATGACTTTGGAGAAGATGATGAAGGGAGTGATGGCTGTCTACTGCCAGATTTATGGCCCGAGAAACACGCAAACATGTTTTTTTGATGTTTGACAGCTGTCAAGAAACAGAACTATGAACTTTTTTCACCATCCCAAGTTCAAAACGCCGTAATTAACATCTCATTGACATTTAACAACAACATACACACATTTACAACATCTCAACATGAGCACCAGGATTTCCCAACTCAACAATAGGATACAATGTCATACCTTTTGCAAGTAGGTCAAAAGCAACACCTTGATTTCTATCATCCACACAAAAAGAAATCCTTCCCTTTGCTGGATCATATGAAACCTTAATGATCGATCCATCCTTGATCTTACGATACACATACTTGTAGCCATATCTCGTGCACATTTTAGAACAATACAACTTGCCATCATGAACTATAGGAAAGTGTGCAGTGTTGTCTGAATTGACCTCAATCGATCGTGTCGTTGTAAATCCAATCGACACGTGTGTACAATTCTCTAAAAGTTTCACTGAAAAATCATTTCACTCTTTTTTACCCAAACAGGAACAATTCCAATCATAATCACCTGCAATCTTTCGAACTCTTCGGTGATCGGGTGAAAGTTCTGCATTGGAAGAGATGTAATTAGGATGAAACAACATATCTGGAATTTGAATACCGTACTTATTCATCAACATGGCTTTGCCATGACCACGAGGAAAGAGATTGAAAATGGAAGGGATTTGATAAAACATGACTTCTTCCATAAAGTTACTTAATTCATCTTCCTTCATCTTGTTCAAGTTGTTAGTAATATCCACTCCTCTCAAATGATTCAAAATCAAATGAAAGTGTTCATAGGGACGATCAATGAAAAAGGCTTGATCGTGTTGTTCTGGTTTCGGATCAAAGTAATCATTAAAATAGGCACCAAAAAAGGAATCCTTTTCATTCTTCAACGTGGAGAGAAAGGTACAAAAGAGTTTACCTCCTACATTGAGACGAATGACTCGATTCGGACCGAGACGATTCTCCAGCAAGCAAGTACTCGCCACTTGTTCCTCGAGTTTTGCAATCTTCAATTCTCGTTGAGCAAATTCGCTCATCATTTCCTTTCGCTTCTTCTCGACTTGTTCCGAGACTTGTCGTGAAACGTGTTCCTTCAAGGCTTGTTCAGTCTTTTCTAAATCGTGTTCTTTCAGGGCAATGGAGTGTTCTCTTTCATCGAGTTGGCGTTTTCTCTCCTTCCATAGGTGCTGTTCTTGTGAAAGAGCGTTTTTGAATTCATGTTCGTATTGATGGAGAACTTTGGAGAGGGTTCGTTTGATGGATTTGGTGGAAAGATGTTCCGAGAGAGGAGAGTTGGTGCTGATCTCTTCTTCTTCACTATCAACCACAGAAGATGGTGATGCAAAAGTTAAAGCAGTAGCAGAATTGAACATTGACAGTTGTGGTGTATGGATGGAATTTGCGTGTAAATTTGGTAGTTGATGTTTTTTTAAATTTTTAATTTCAAAAAATGCTTTCAATCCCATTCCTTGAAAAGCTGGAATTTGTGTCGAACTCGAGAGATTGTTGAAGGTCCTGAAAATTTATGAAGGTTCAATAGATTAGAATTCTCCAACTTCTCTCGTTTAGTATAATACTAGACCATTGCATATTCATGCATTTCTTTTAATTACTATCTTCAATGGTCAATTTTAAACTACTGACATTTCCATCCCAAGGTAAAATACTGACCATGTGTTGACCATTTACCAATGACACAATGGGTCGACAAATACCTTCAATACCTTCTTTTGATTCAAAATGGTGGATGACACCATTCGCTAGATATACATAAAAATCCACACGGCTTTTTTGATGTATGCATTTAAACCCAATTAAATGTCCTTCTTGATTGAGATCAGAGACGTTGTAAGATGTATAGGACTGCTTGACAATGGCATTCGATTTGATACAATAACCAAAACTCAGCCAAGTATTCAATGGTTCTGGAGCTTCACGATGGTTGAAATCCACACCCACTAAAATAGACCAACTATTGGACTGTAACCGATCGAATTGTGTTAACAAAATCGACCAACAATAAACTTCTTTTGGCTTGAGTCGACAATTCACAAAATAGGATTTCCAAAATCCAGTCTTGAGAGACATTACCGAATGATTTAAATGTCTGCAAACATCAGTGTGCGCTTCATCGGAATAGCTCACAATGTTACAAAATCTATATTTCTTAAATAATAAATATTGAATTTTCATAATGGATGTTTTAGCATCCTCTTGTATCTGTTGATTTTGAGAGAGAAGATCCTTACTCTTCTTTCTCCAAACATTGATCAAAGGTTCAAGGCTTGCTGATTTTTCGTCTTTCAGTAAACAATTACTATTATTGGAATCCAAACGAGTAAACATGTGGTATCGGAATTGATGATATCCTCTCAGAAAATTCTGGACAATAGATTCCTCCTTCCCGTCGAAGTGATTGAGAAATTTCTCTTCTTTGAGAGCTCTTTCAATATATTGATCTTGAAATTTCAATTTCTCTTCCCAAATATTCGGGTTGTTTACTATTTTGTTGTACAATAATTTACAGGTGGATCCGAAAGAGATCCATGAAACATCATCAAGATGAGCAATAACAATATCGTACAAAAGGACATTAAAGTCAATCTCTAACAACCCATGATGGTTTGATGACATTTTTTGTTCTATTATTAATACTCAAAGTTCAGAATGAATTCGGTCGAAAGGAAATACACAAAAGACGTTTGTCAAAAGAAATGTCTGTTGGATGACCATTAAGGTTTTCCAAGAGTTTGTTTGACTTTATAATGTTCTGACCAAGTCATCATCCTTTGTATAGAAACAGACAGACATTTTGGTTGACCAAAAAAAATGTTTTTTCACCATCAACAACACTCATCAAACAAGTTACGAAATTCAATAATTTTCTCATCTTGCCTCTTGTTGTTCATCGTGGTGTGTGGTTTTTTGATCGTACGCAAAGATGATCAGGCTTCATGGATGAAGGATCATTACACAAATTCCGATCCGAGGATTTTCCTCCTTGGAAGAGAGGAAGATGATTTGTTTTCAAAAGAACATTCCATCAAATCGAATCCGTCCTTCTCATCAAGGACCATCATCAAGAAATCCAAATGTACCATACATTTTCTCATCATGACTGCTCCGAGAGAAAATTTAAAACTTCTCGGCCATTCACCCTTCATGTATCTCAATCGAACCATGGATAGTATTTTAAATTTGGAAACATTATTCTTTCAACCATGTATGACCTTGTTGAATGTGAAAGGAGTTAAATTTAGAAAAGAATTGGAGCAATTAGCTTTTTATTTTGAAACCAAGATCAATGGAAAGAAGAAATTGTCCACAAATGAAAATTTTCACCAACGAATTACAATTATTGATCTCAACGAACAGTCTCAACACAATCTTTTATTTACCAGTGTGTTGCTACCTTTGAAAAAGAAACAACATTTAAATGATTTTTATTCCATTTTTAACCAAATCAAATTGGATTATCTCGATCAAATGGTCATGATTATGGAAGATGATTTTATCATGTGTCCTGGAGCATCACAACATTTGCTTTATATCATTCATGAAATGGAAAAACGAAAATGGAGTGGAGTGAGAGTTTCATTTGGGTTAAATGGTGTCATGTTAAATGGTAATGATCTTTACGCCATGGTGGAATTCTTAAAACAGCATAGTGGACGAGCAACTCCAGTGGATTGGTTATTGGAAGAATTTTGGAATCAATATGATAGTATGGGAATGAATTATTTTGGAAAGACTCGTAAATTTTACACGTATCGATTACAATTAATGGAACATATTGGATTCGTATCATCAGTGGGTAATTTACGTCAAATCAATCAAAATGATTTGGATTTTCCACATTGTTATGAAGCACAAATTGCTGCAAAATTAATGTTTCATTTCAATATGGATCAATGCTCACATTCAATGTTTTCTCCATGTGATAATGATGAAAATGTTTTCAATTCAGAAGAGCATGGACGGAGCTTCAAGAGACAATTTGCCCATGATCAATTTAACGAAACTCTTGGGTTCTCTCCTTCTTCCATGTTCTCTCTGGCCCATTTCAAAACATCCGTTAAAGCGATATTGTGTCAAGAAGATGAATCATGCGATCATTGCTGCCTTCGTAATGGAAAGAAATGTGACAGTGAATACTTTCCATATATTAATCACTGTTCAGAATTGAGGAAATACAAACCAAATTGTGATTGTCAGAGAGAGAAGTATTTGATCTCACGTGCTCCTTACATGGTCAGAAACACTTGTTTTATTGGCACCAGACGGAGTCGATTTGATTGCACCACAAGCAAAGCCATGAGCTCAAGATTATGTCCTTGCGCTTAAATGCACAATCGTATATCTATTGAAGATTGTGTTAGATTTTCATGGCTGTATGGTTTGAGTCCTCCTGATGAACTCGAGATTCAACCATTCAAATGCTCTTGTTAGAACTGTGGTAAAAGGATACTTTGTTATACCAAGTTTTGGATGAGTTGGATTAACAGTTTAAACCAGGTCCTAAATTTTACTTTGTGTTTTGTTGTGTTTGAATTTTGCATAAGAATTTAGCAGTAGTATCCAACCCCAAATAGCAATCAGAAACCACTCGCATTTCCAACTCCTTGTCATTCTCAGTAATTGGAAGATAAACTTCAGTAGAATTAATCTTCTTGTTGGCTCTCACTCTCTTCAATGCTAAAAGTTCTTGATTTGATGGATTAGAAACAATGAGCCAAAATCCTTCATCTTTCTGCTTGGTATACATGGGAGTGTAAGCTTGCTCTTTTGGCTTACTAATTCTTTCAATAACAATATTCACTTCAATCTTGTGCTCCTCTTCATCATGCAATACTTGATCCACACGAACTGTTAAATATGGAAATTCGTCAATAATTTTCATAATATTGTTCACCAAGCTATTCTTTTTCGTGTACTTGGAAAGTAGTTGTTGTAGAGCGCTTTCTCCATTCTTTGAAGAATATCTAATGTCAAGTAATTGTTTCAATTCAGTAATATTTTCCTTATTTCTCAATAACTCGACAAGTTGATAAACCTCGTCATTTGTGTTAGAATTCTCACGTGGACATGGTAAGCTACTAAATAATTGGAACAATGTTGAGTCTTTTTCCCATCTTGCTTGCATGATCATTTGTAAAATATGCATCATGTTCAAAGATGCTTGTAAATAACCCTTCTCAGCACAGATGTCAATATACGCTTGTGCAATACGGATTGTGGAATCTAACACAGTTCTAGTATCTGTAATATAATCCACAATTGGTAATTTAACTCTTTCAAAGTGAGCTTGCAATAACAAATAACATTTCACGTGAGGTGATTCAAAGTCATATAAATAAGTTCCTAATGGTATCACCTCGCTCAATTCCTTGTTTAACTTATCTTCATTGTGTCGAACTGGAATTTCAGCAAACTCTTTTGCTTCACAAAGCAATTCCAACAAATAATTAACACTAGAATCAGGTCGAATCAGTCTATTGAAATGAGAGGCAGTTCTATATGACAAATAATAGTAACTGGCAATAATACCTGTAGCAGTAGGCTCCAAGTAAATACCCTTTCTCTTTTGTTTTTCTTTTTCAGATTTTTCCTTCTCTGCTGTCATGGAACCAAATGTACTGCCGCTGTCAGTAGTCATCACTTGTAAAAGTTTCTTCCTATCCACAGATAAATCGGTAGCTTTTACAAGTCCAGCAAATTCTAAATCATCAATAATTTCAGAAATTTTGTTGGACAACCACTTATTAAGACCTTCATAAGACAAATCTTCAATACCATAATAGAATGGGTTTTGGACCAAACGACGGAACATAAATGTCCATGTCAAATAATCCAAACAGTCTTGTTTTGTCTTGATGGTTCCTGAAACAATTTCAGCATTAATGTGATCATGTAATTGAGTGTGTAAGCTTGATTCGATCGGGAATGGCTCGTACAGGAATCTCTTGTAAAAATTCTTTTTCACATCATGAACCATGATAAATACTCTTCCTTCTTCGTCAAATCCTGGGCGTCCGGAACGACCTGCCATTTGCAAGACGTCCACAAGTGGATAGTCCTCATATCGTTTAGTTTTTGGATCAAAGTATTCGGTTCCCTTAATAATGACAAAGTAAGCAGGCAAGTTAACACCCCAAGCCAAAGTTGCTGTCGCAATGAGGACTTGAATTTTACCATTCAAAAACAATTCTTCAACAAGCTTCTTATCCGAAGGTGTCAAACCTGCATGATGGATACCAATACCATAGGTCAAAAATTGTTTGAGATTTGTGTCACGAGCTAACTCACAAACTTGAACCAATTCATCATTATTCATGTTCAAAAATCTTTGAGGATTTTCATCAACAGTACAATATGCAATTAAATCCATAGCTGTTAATCTAGTTTGTCTTCTTGAAGATACGAAAATAAGACATGGCTTGTTGTTAGAATGTCTTAAAATTGCTTGATACGCAGGCTTATTCATCGAGTTCATACGAGGACAATAATTCTTTCCACTAAAACCAGAAATGCTAATTTGCAAAGGAACAGGTCTAACAGAACTTCTAAAGTTGAAAAGACCTCTTTGAGTGACACCCAACCAATCAGCCAAATCAGTAGCATTGGCCATATTGGTACTGAGACCCATCATACGAATTGGTGTTTGAGTGTGCCAAGAAATATATCTCATACGTGAAGTAATAACTTCAAGAATTGCACCTCTCTCACTTCCAAGCAAATGAATTTCATCCATGACAATAAGTCCAACATCTCTGACATAGGATCTATTTTGCCAATTTCTAGAAATACCATCCCATTTTTCAGGTGTGGTAATGACAATATCTGCTTGTTTCAATAGCTTGACGTCCGGAGTGAAATCACCAGTTAATTCAACCATTCGTTTTCCAAGTTTTTGCACAAATTTCTTTTCCCACTCAGTCAATCGTTCTCTCACCAGGGCTTTCAATGGAGCAATATAAATAACTTTAGATTGAGGTTTCAAAGTAAACAATCTCATCATACACAACTCTGCAATAGAAGTCTTTCCTGAACCCGTTGGAGCACCCACCAAAATATTTTCATCAGTATGATAGGCCATGTGGAATATTTGTGTTTGAACAGGGTTGAAATACTTAATTCCCTTGTCTGTAAAGAGTCTTTCATATTCTGGATTATTCAATGCAGTCACTGGAAGTGGATCAAGAGGCAATAGTGGTGTGCTTGGCGCAAAACCTTCAGGTAAAATAATATCCTTAATATTAATAGTTAATTGGGCTTCAGCACTAATCCACTTATCTGAAACTGCTCGAACGATGAAATACAGGGGTCTTGGATCTTCTTTGAATGGAACCACAAAGTTCAGAGTGAAACATGGATCGTCATCTTCACCTTTAGATTCTTTCATTATCTTTTCATATTCTGTTTGTTTCAAGAGGAAATATTCAGAGTGATAAACATATTCTGAATTTTCATCTTCCACCCAAATCCACCATGGTTCAGTTTCTCCGTGCAACTTTTTGTCCCAATTAAAGTTTGGTCTGATTTTAACTTGGAATCTCAATACAGATCTTGTGATTGGTTGAACGTTTGTTTCTAAATCAAGATTAGGGAATTTATCAATGGCTTCCATTATCACTCTTCCCATTCCTTTAACATTGATGACCTGATCCAACTCTGATTCTTCATATTCTACCAATCTTGAAAGTGTTAAATTCTTACTTTCAAGTTTTTGAATGGTATAAAATGGTAATTTTGGTACTTGTCTTAAAGGATGTTCAAATACCCATTGTCTTCTATCGATACATTTTGTGAGAGTTAAAAGTTTGTCCATTAATGATGACCATCTTTCTTTAACAGCAATTTCGAATAGAGATCGTACAATTCTTCCTACACTTTGGACAATGAATGCACAATCAGAGATCAAAGAAGAGTTTTTGATCTTCACATGAGAAATGTAACTTTGTATCAACACATTAACCTTTCCAGTGTAGTCTTCCAATCCTTTAACCTTAACAGGAGCATCTGTACACAATTGTAACAGTTCATCACTTTCATCTTCTCTAACTTTGATATTTTTGAATTCTCTAGCACTTGCAACAATTTGTAAAACATCAGACTCTGATAAATTAGCGTGTAACTTTTCGTTATAGAGTTGGATTGTTTCATAGTGAATATAGTAATGAGAAGCAATACGTCCCAAATCGGTTGCTGAAACCACCCCTGTCTTCTCATCATAGATAATCATTTTGCTTTCTTGAAGAACCTTACAAGCTTTTTCAATGAGACTTCTTCTTGTACCAATTAAAGTTGGATCAAGTTGAACTTCCTCAATTGAAAGTCCATAATTCATTGGATTTTGTCTCATTCTCAAAAATAAATACGTATAATTTAACCAGAGAGAACCTTCTCTCACATTAGATACGGTACCTAAAACAATTTCTGCACATAAATGATTTGCTAAATCTTGTGTCATTTGTGATTCAATTGGTAAATTACGTTTGAGTAAGTTCAAATATCGTGGCAATTGATCATAGCTTGTAATAATCACACCTTCACCTTCAACATCAAATTGAGGTCTACCAGCACGACCGAAAATTTGCATAATATCCAACATTCCAAGTTCAGTCATTTGACCTTTTTCTGCATTGTAAACTTCTGTTCCTTTGATAATACAGCAATAGGAAGGTAAATTTACACCCCAAGCAAGTGTTGATGTACAACAGAGAACTCTAATAACACCTTCAGCAAATAATTTCTCAACAAGATTTCGGTCCGATCTCACTAAACCAGCATGGTGAATACCAAGACCTTTTGGAACTAACTCCTTCAATTCTCTATTATGACATTTCTCTAAAGCTTTGGTTACCCATTTCTTTGTATGCTCATTCTCAGGTACTCCTTGAGTGAAAAATTCTGTTGTACCTTCTTGCATTGCTAAATCTAACAATGCCTTTGCAGTAGTTGAGGTTTCTTTTCTTGAGTGTACAAATACCATGACTTGTTTTTGTTTCTTTAAGTTCTTGAGAGTTCTATTGTAAGCAATGTTGTTATATTCCTGACTTCTCTGAATTGGATTTCTTAAACTAACTCCAATAAAACTCTGTTCAAGTGGTACAGGCCTATATGATCCGTCAAACCAGTGCAAGCCCGAATGAGGATTCACTCTTAAGAATTGAGCAACATCCATATAATTTGGCAATGTAGCCGAAAGACCAACTAATCGAATTAATGATTGAGTAGTTTCCATTTGTCTTAATGTTCTTGCAACAATGGATTCAATGACTGGGCCTCTATCTTCATTCAATAAATGAACTTCATCAATAATGATTAATCGAGTGAGTTGGATGAGTGCTTGATCGGTAGCCTTTCTTGTAGTAACATCCCATTTCTCTGGAGTTGTGACAATCATTTGAGTCTGTTGAACCTCTTGTTTGGTAAGTTGCATATCTCCAGTCATTTCTTTTACTACAATACCAAGGGGAGCAAGTCTTTTTGAAAAGTTCTCAACCATTTCAGCTGCCAAAGCCTTCATAGGTGCAATATAAATAATTTTAAATTCTTCACGTCTAATTTTACCACCTCTGAAATGTTGGCCAATTTCTCTCAATATTGTTAACATGGCAACGTTTGTTTTACCACAACCTGTTGGTGCACAAATTAGCAAATTTTCTGATGTTTTGTAAGCAGAGTAGAAAACATCAGATTGTACACGATTCAGATGAGTATATCCTTTGAATGCAAGTTGAGCCCAATCTTCAAAGATTGAGATAGGTACCAATGGTTGAGTATCTTTTCGTGGTTTTGGAGCTGGAAATACATGTTCTTCATAGGTTGGTTGTCTAATGACACGTTCTTGTGTTTCCTTGTCAGCTTCATTCTTTTCTTCTGGAATGACATCTCTTCCTAATTTCAAAACTCTTGCTTCGCCCTCTCCTTCCTTTAAAATAGTACGATCTTTTTCTTTCTTGAATTTTTGATACAATTCCTTCAATTCAAGTTGTTCATTCAAATTAACACTGCCACCAGAAAGATTGATTTTTTTTTGGTGCTTTCTTCCAAGTTTTTTTCCTTCTTTTCTCAAACCCTTTTTCGCTTCCTTGAATTTTGAAGTGGTCATCTTGACATGAGAGAAAGAGTTGATTCCTTCAATCGCATGTTCTTGCATTTGCTTTTTGTAAAAATCTTTCAAAAGCTCTGACTTGTGTTCAATGATTATGGACATCAACTCGAAAGCATTTTCACCAAGAATATCAAAAAGTCTTGATTGAAGTTCAACATCGTTTTGGCCCTTCTTCTGCAAAAGTTCCATCACAGCGTTTTCAATTCCTGCTGTTTTACAAACTTTTTTACATTCCTTTTCAAGCCATTCCATGCTGTACATGGAGGTTGGTTCTTCTTCCTCTTCTTCTTCGTTTTCTTCATAAATATCCTCATCATCTTGACCAACATAGGAAAATATGTTCGTTTGATCCAACACATTCTCAAGTTGACTCTTGGAGAAAACATAAAGAGGTCTAAATTGATGATATAAATGTGCAGCGTGTTCGGCGTCGTCCATTGATCCGAATTCTACATTTTCATCAAGGTCAAGATCGTCATTCTCGCCCTCGGATTTGATGAAATAGGTGTTAGTATTTTGCGATTCACCAGTTCCGATGAGTACTTTTTCAAGTTTGGAATATCTTCGTTCTTCTTCGTCATGTAATCCAGGTTTTGCAAATCTGTCAATCCAATCAACGAGCTTGTCTAAATATTGGAGGACTTTGATAACATTCCCTTCTTTTACAGTTTGAACAAGTTTTTGAGATTTAGGATCTAATGTTAAACCAATGCCCATATTCTGAAAATCCTTAAACACACTTTTAACATTCAGATTGTGTTTAAATTTTCTCTTGGCAATGTAAAGTTGTTTAGCAATAAGGCAAGCAAGTTGTCCTTTGGATAAACCGCTTGCAACACCATATTTGTTAGATGCCACTTGATCCAAGCGCAAGTTTTCTTCAATAGCTGTCAAGAAATGTTCCAATAAATTTCTTCCATTTTGTTCTTCAATCTTTTTATCAAAATTTGCATTCACTTTTTGTGAAATTTGAGAGAGGGAAATTTTTGGTTTCACAAAACTGTCCCAAGTTAATCCAAATTTTACCAAATCATCTTCCGCGTTTTTCTTTCTCTTATTTTCGATAGCCGGGAATAATTCATAATATGATTTTGTTTCATCAAATAATTGCAATGAATTATTACCAATCGTCTTTTCGCGCAAGACGTTCGACAATCTTGGAGGAGAAATTAATACGTCCATCATTGGGGAAGTTGATGATGAATCGGTATTACTTGTTCCTTCTCCCGAAAGAAAAGAAAGGCTTCTTGATCCTATGCCTCTCGGAAGCAACTTGACAAAAATATCAAAAGACGATGAAGAGGTCATTTTTTTTTCTTCAAAAATTCAAACTGGGGCTTGAAAGCGTGAATTTTATTTTACGACAAGATCAACTGTGAGTTTGAATAAACTGCTTTAATCGATGGTACGCTTACGATCCAAAGATAGCATATCCAATTTCACCTCCAACAATGGCCACAACGGCACCAGCAAGTACAATAATAGGAGGTGAGAAATCGAAATGGTTCAGCAAAAAGCAAAACATGGTACAGGCCGCAAGATATTGGTTCATGCCAACATTGTCAATCCACAAATCGATGGCATTTGAAATGACGTATCCAATACAAACAGCATTCACTCCTACCAATGACATTTTGATTACATTATTTTCCCTTATTTTTCTCCAAAGAGGAAGAAATCCTGTCATGGTCAAATAACCTGGAAGATGGAAGAAAATTCCTGATAATAATCCAAGAATGGGAGGTAATATGAAGAAGAGTGCGGTCCTATGTGTGGTTAAAGTAACAGATGATGTGCTATTGGTCACATTGTAAAAATCTGCATCAAATTGTGTCATGATATTGGTCACATTGGAAATTAATGTAGAATTTGATGTCGAATTATTAAGAACTGTAAAGGTAGAAAACTTCACACCAATAGAAGCTCCATAATATGCTGCGACATTATACTTGGGTCCTGGTAAAGCATTCGAAACAGCAAAACCATTCATAAATTGCTGTTTGGTCATCCATTGTCTTTGTATCATCTCTGGCCTTAATAGGGGTATTCCACCCACTCCTCCGCCAAATATGAAAGTTCCCATTCGATAGAAAAAAGACAAAACTAGAATACTTTCCTTGAAAACGTCAGCACCAGTGGGAGAAGCATGAGGTCTTTTGTATTTTTCGAAAATGGCAGAACAAACCAACAAGACCACAAACAACATGATAAATATGGCTAACATGGTAAATCCGAGCCAAAGTGGAGAATGTGTTCGAACTTGTTTGGTCATATTCGCATCTCTTGCGTGTTCCTCATGTTCCACATCAATTTCAACTTGAGTATTTGTCGTCGCAGAAGGTTCTTCTGTGACCTGATTGTTCACAATCACTGATGGTTTTGGTTTAACGAAACTTCGCAAAAGTATCCAAAGAAATTTCAGTTTTTGTTTCATGGTCATTGTTTCATCCTCAAACGTTGCAGCTCCAACTGCTTGTTCTTTGATATGATAATCCTCTATTCTCTTAATAATGAAAGCCTCCATTTTCAAATAAATGCAGCTAATAACAGCACCCAATCCAATTAGAGCTGGTAATAGCCACATGGACCTATAAATCATGGTGGTAATGGCAACAGATCCTGCCAATATATAAGGAAATACTTGACTCTTCATTTTAGTTAACATGCCAGCCATTCTCCAAGCCGATGATACAGCAAAAGCAATTCCTGAAGTGGCCAAACCGAATTGTAAATTTAAAAGCCAACGTGGCGAGTTTTCATCAATATTTACATCTGCCATTAACCAACCAAACAATAAACATCCCAATAAACCAGGACCACAAAAAAGAATGTTCGATAAAAATCCACTCCAAAAACCAAATCGAAGCATGGCGATTGAAAAAACAACTTGACTAATGATTGGACCAGGTAAGCTTTGGCTCAATGCATAAATCTATCAAAATAGGTATGTTCAATGATTATACAGTAATATTAGTAGTATTAGTAATATTTTAATATTTGTTAAATCATAAATGTATAATTCGATCAAAAACAAGTAATTCTGTTATGCACACATACCTCCATAAATTCATTCTCAGTAAGCCACTTCTTTTGATCAACAAACATTTTCTGTACCACGGCAATACCTCCCACAAAGGTTGTACAACCTAAGGGTAAAAAGACTTTGAATGTTTCCTTCAGCATGGTACCCCATGAAGTCTTTTTACGTAATTCTTGTTTACGTTGTTGTTGTTCTTCTCGAAGTTGCTTGAATAATTGTTCATGCTCTCCTTCTTCAACAAGTGATTCGCTCTCAAAAGCGCTTTCGGAAGGAGCTGATAAGTTGTTGTTGTTGTGCGCCTGATATCCTCCATAGTGTTGTCTTGGAGTGGAATCATCGTTGAAATCCCTCAACTCAATTTCTTCCTCAATTTCTACTTCATTATGTAGTTTATCATCATTACTATTGTTTCCGAGTTGGGCGTGTGATGACGATGGTGATGTAGTAACTTCTTTGATACTTCTGTTATTTTTAGTTTGATTTGGAATAGTATTAGTTAGCACAGGTTGATGCGAGGTAAATGATGAATATTCCCTTCCAAAACTAAAGCCATCTTGAATCGTTTCTTCAGGCATGTTTTGGCTGTGTTCATCATAATGATGGTCATGATTTTGGTTTGGATTGTCGGTTGCACTCCGATTATGAGTAGAATGGTAATTTTGCTCCTCCGAAGAGGCTACATTATCTCGGAAACCTTCTTGTTGTTTGTCGTAAACATTAGGGCTCATCTTGTTGTTATTCTTTTGTTGTTGGTTATTATTGAAGGTGGTGGGTTGAGTTTTGAAACCAACCACTCATCATAATTGAAGTCAAATTTTCCAAAATCATCAGCTGAATGTGCACATTAATTGTGGAGCGATCCAAATTGGAATAATTTTGAGACTATTATTCGTACTTTTAGTGTCCACTCAACGAACGTCAATTTGCATTTGGCCATAGAATATTTAGATTCAACACGAATTGGAAGATGGAAATTCAAGTTGTTGTGTCCTTGATCCGATCGGATAGAACGGATTTGCACTTCCGATAATCCTTGTGCGTGTACATTTGAAGATTGCAAAGTTTTGTTTCGAAAATTTCTTCTGTTGGCAAAGATATCTCGATAATGAATATATATATATTTTTTGGATCAGGATGGAAGTGTAAGAATAAGGTGTTCAGCTAATGATGAAGGTATAAAGACGGTGATTCAGATGAATGACACATTTTTCTGATTTTTTAATAGCTGTGGCGGGTCTGACCTCTTTCGCATCACTCAAACTTCAAGAGATCACATTGTTGACCTCTAGTGGTGAATGTCACCATTCTGTCTGTGTGAACTCATCACGAATAATCTCGTCATCGTCATCCTCTCGCTCAACAGAACAACAACAAAAAATGGAAGCAAGACTCAACGATCTCACTCCCGAAGAAGAGAAAATTATTTACAACAGCAGCATGTATGTGGCTTCTATGGAACCACTTTACAAGAGTCGTGATTCCATATTACGAGAGAGTGGCTGTTCCGATCCGAATCAATTACCTCCTATTCAGAAACAATTATACGATGCAGCCAACTCAAGTTTGAAGATGATGGAAGATCAATTATTTTCAGTTGGAACATTGGTCTCTTCCGTTTCAATGCAAATGCATAAATCACCTGATGTTGGTATCGAGCTTCGGACCTTGTTTAGAGTGTTGATTAGACATTTGGATCGATTAGGAATGTTCAAAACAACTTTCCTTGCCATGTTCATTCAGCTGACTTTTGGTACTCGTTCTAAAACGGATTTTTTAGTTGAATTGTTACATGATGAGAGAGTGTATCAATATTTGAAGTTAGAAATTGAGAGTACTGTTGAAAACCATGTTCTTCTTGCTCCAATAATGCCCGCACTTGCAAACAATGATTGGAGTTTGTTTGTAGAGAAATTTGAGCCCTTATACTTTACTTTAAATGCTACCTCTGGAAATGCATATTCCTATGCAGCAAAAGTTTATGAAGCTGTTTCAAAACATCCTGATCGTGTTCTGCCATATTTGAAGGAAGCAATTAATGCTCTTCAGGCCACATCTGAAAAAGAAAAGTCTGAAACCAAGGAACAACATCTTTTGAATTGTATCTTTAATTTGGTGAATGCTAATCCTGAAGCTCTTTTTAATGGTCCCGATTCCTCTGAACTGATTGACAAGATCAACAAGATCACTCCTCTACTTTTTGATACAAACAAAACGGTAATGACTGAAATATTTTCTATTGGTGAAAAATTGAAAGAATCTAATGCAAATGACTTGAGTTTCGAAGATGGAGAATATCTTCTTATGGTTGAATATAATGGAAAAAAGAAGAAAATTAAGGAGAAGAGCAATCAAACTTTGGCTTCATTATTGAAGGTAATCTTTGAAAAATGTCAAATTGAAGAAGATTGTTCTGATTTGAATCATCTCTATGACAAGGGATATATTGTTGAGTATTTTGAAAATGGTATTAATGATTGGGTTGAATTAGAATGGATTGAGGACATTCCAAAAACACCTTCTGTTGCAAAAATTCGAATTATAAAAGAAAAGGTTGAAAATGAACAAATGGAACAAATTGTTGAGAGAAATACCAACATTCAGTTAGTGAATGAAAAGTATCAAATTTTGAAGAGACTTGGAAAGGGTGGTTTTGGTACAGGTAAGTAAGGACAATGTTGCATTTTGGATAAGTATTTATGTAATGGTCACCACGACAATGGAATGAACGATGACATTACAATTATCCTAATTGCGCAATGTTGTTCATCCTTCTTCTAATTTTTAATGCTTTGACGTGAAACCAAATTTTTAGTATACCTCGCAAACAATTTCTCTGAGGTGATTCCAACCTTGGCAGCTCTTAAATACATTGAAATTGACAGCGTGATCAACTTTAACCGTTCCATGAGAGAAGGAATTCAAATGCTTCAACTCGATCATCCAAATATTGCGAAAATATTTGACGTCTTTGAAGTTCAAAGCAGTGATATTGGTTTAATGGGTGTAGAGACGAAACGTTATTTGTGTTTTGCCATGCCTTACTATAGTCATGGTGACTTGTACGACTTGGTGAAAAATGCACCACATGTCTTGACACCACTCATGATTCGATCTATTATGAAGCAATTAATGGAATCACTCACGTATCTTCATGATGAAATGAGCATTGTCCATCGTGATATTAAACCTCAAAACGTGCTCATTGACTCTATTAATATTCATGCAAAGACATTGAAACCAATTTTGTCTGACTTTGGTTTGGCAAAGACCCTCCTTAAGACGGAGACGCAAATTGCTGGTACAGGTATGTGTTTAATATGATCATGACAAGGTTTATGACTCATGATTGATCATGACAATATGTATGACTCGTGTTATGTATGATTAATGCTTCATGTTTTACAACAAAACCATGTGTTTCATATTATATATCGAATATAACATATGACTCACTGCAACACAATTGCACTATCGATTGGATATTTAATATTGGTGAATTTAAATATTAATATTTATGAACGAATGGTATATGTATTGCTGAATCATTTTTACAGCCTCCTACATGTCTCCTGAGATGACCTCTCGTAAGGGATACGACTTAAAGACCGATGTTTGGTCTATGGGAGTGATGTTTTACCAACTCGTTTCCGTTGGAGATTTTATCACTGATGTGAAAGGTAAAATTATTGAGAACGATACAGATTATTTGAGGACACAAATTCAGAGAGCTTGGAGTAGTTCATCAGGGTCTTCGGCGGCAGACATGGAAATCATCTCGGTTCTCGCAGACATTACTTTTGAAATGTTGAAGGTGAATCCCGACGAACGATTGTCGGCCAATGAAGTATTACAGAAATTGCAATAAACGAAGATGCTTGACTCAAAGAAGAAAAACCTTATTATCCAAAATATTGAGATAAATTTATTAAAGATGACGATGATGGAAATTCAGAAACCGACAACAACAAAAGGTTGTTAAGCCATCTTTTCTCGGCGAGATAGTCCTCTTTCCTTTTACTTGGACTCAGTCTTTCCGCAGCAACCGCCGTCTTTCTTTCCACTACAACAGCAGCACTTGGCAATCTTGCAGACCAAGATGGTGGCAGCCACACCAGCAACGAAACCATAAGCGAAGGATGTATTGCTTTGGGACATTTTTTTGTTTTTGCTTGATGAATTTGTAGATTTTGAATAAAGTTCATATTTGGTCATTTTCATTGCCCTTTGTGTTGACGGTGATTTTTCTTCGGGAGTTTTATTTCATTGGTCGAATCAATTACAACAGCGCTGTTAAGGCACTTTATTTGTAGTCATCGTGATGGGTTTTCTGTTTATATCAAGAAGGTCGTAAAATTTCACGCATATAGTCGAAAAAACACAATATTCTTCTTTATAATGTATTTCAATGATCGGTCTAAAAGATCGTTGTTTGAACACTTGTAAAGTAATTCATTGCATGTTGCAAATATCATTGACGACAGCTTCTTGTCGAGCTAATAATTTAAATGCTCTTTTCACCAGTATCTTCTTTAAAGACTATGTTGTTGGTTTAGCTTAAAAGTTGCAAACAAACTAATTCCTGTAAAGTCTGAGAAAACAGTTTCGATTAATTGTATAAAAATCTTTCTTGATCTTCTCTCCAACTCTCCCAAGAACCAACTTTGGCTCCACCTAGGGATGGATGGGATTATGGAGACAATCAGTGATCATACGAATAAATGGCAACCAGTTGTGGCCGTTTTGATTGGTCATCAATCACATATATAAAGCGACAGTTACAACACTGTATTCATTGCCCGAAGAAAATGACTATCAAGTGATAGACACTTTGGTCCAAATTTCTGAAAATTGTATAAGAGACAACAAACCATATATTTCAAACCAATGTTATTGATATTCAAATGTGAAACATATTTCTGGTGTTTTGACCCAATCAAAAAAACAAACTGATGGGATTACACATAATTGCATACAAACACACTATTTTGTTGAATTGACCAAACAACTACCCAAACCAAAACCACAAATACAATAACCCAACAAATCAACCTCCAAACCAAGAACAATCTTTTTTTGATAAGTAGTTGTTGAGATCAGACTCCAAGTATGTTTGTGTGCCATTATCTGTCATCTCATCTTCAAGAACTCCTGAACCTTACAATACAACAATCACTTATTGTCATCATCAAGTGAACATCACTTGTTCTTCATAGGGATCATCATAGAAATCAACAAACCTAGTTAAGGTAATTGTTGATTCTTCTATATATGGAAGTTACAATATAACAAACACAATGCAGTTAAACGACATTAAAAACTTTGGGGTTTATAAACTCATATTCTCTCTACTCTTGAAACCAACTTCCATAAAAACTTCTTCTTCGGTAGTATAGCTACAAGCCATTCCTGATGACATTTATTGCATAAAAAATTGCAGTACAGACAGTACCCGGTATATGAAACAATATCTTTTGGCATGATAAAAAAGGGGCATAATATTCACAACGTTGTGTTTTTTTTTCGATGAAACTTATCCAACAGGCTGTATAAAAAAGGAAATGATGGATTAGGAAAGTGTCAAAGATTTTATTGTAATTTGCATTAAAGTGTGAAATTTTTTTTTCGATCGTTTTGGGGTCATTTTTAGCTTTGTCTTTGCGATTTCTTTGTATATAATTGTTATCACTGTCGTAAAAAACGTCGAACATTTATTGTCTGCCATCAGATTTGAAAACGAAACAACCAGAATAATCATTTACAATCATTTACAGACTTTGTTCACACATGGACTATGCTATCTCAAAAGGAACACCAAGAAACAGAATAGTTTCGTTAACTTTTACTGTTGCATCTCAGCCTAACATCAACAAGAAGGTCAAGAAACTGAGTAACAAAAACTGTTTTGATGTCGGAAGTAGTGCATTCACTTTATTGAATGAGAGACATTATAATCCGATTGTTGTGTCTGAGTATATTAGGAGAGTATTGATATCACCAGTATGAAAGTTGCAGTTGTTAGAGAGTGGTAAAGAAGCGTCTTAATAATATATCATGTTGATATTCAAGAAAAACATTGAGAAAGTGGCTATCAATGAAGATGATTTTATTCTTGTTGAAGAAAAAACATTTATCAAAACGGTTGAGTACAAAACTCCCATCCCCATTTCGTTTGATGATATGGATCCATTTCGTTTGGCGAGAACGCTGATACTGATTTTTGACTAAATGAGAGCGAACAAGTATGACTGCGGAGGCAACTTCTAGATGATGAAAGAGATGAAATGTGTGATAATTGTTGGGTCTTATCAACCGGAAGGACTACAACGGTGTAAAAATTTGGGATTATGTCTTGGCTAAAATAGGTGTGGTTGATTCATAAGATTGTGATCAATTAGATTACCAGTGATACGACCGTTTTGTCAATCTCAACATCAGGCTATTTCAATTCACTGAATTCACAAGGCGAGCAGCAGTTAAAAAGGGAAATGCTATGAAGTCGGCCTTGTGAATGAACGTAATGGCAATCAGGAGATTAAGGTCGGTATGATATGAAGTAAATCTAAATCTAAAGGTGATCTTATTGACCAAGATCCTCGCAATCTTTCCATCTTCACAATCTTATCTAAAATTAATAACCCAATATTCGTTGAGTCGTTGATAATCTTTCCAAGACTAGGGGTGATGAGCAAAAGTGCCAATCATCAAGGGTTGCGCCGGATTACTTCCTACACTTCTGAATAGAGTAACCTCGGTACTAAAGAATATACTACTGCTAAAATTTCCTAATCGGAAACTTTGTCTTGAAACACTTTAGGAATGAACATCAATTGCTCACGTGATTCACATTGATTTGCAGCGACGGAATAACTTCTACGAGGTCTACTTTTACCCATATTGAGCAGTCTTAATATATTACCTTAGTAAGTGAACTTGTCTCAAATAGATGGGAGGATCTCTCACCAAGCTAAATGCTACACTCATGAATATTGATTGGACTGATAAGTCGTTGATCAGTTTAAAAAAGATATGAAGCATTAGTAAATTCGTTGACATGAGTAACATTTGTGAACCTGCTCACACTAGGAGAATCTTGAAAGATGATTACCAGGCGCATCAAAGTTGAAGAAAGTTTCAAAGTCCAACGTTCTCTTGAAAGATCGAATGAAGGGTCAAGAGGGTCCTTATGACGATTCTTTTAGATGGTCTCTGTTAAGCTTTACCAAGCGTACTTCAAACAACCAAATTATAGTATCCGGATGATGGAGTGAAAGAGTTGATCATAGTCAAAAGATTCATCTTGTCTATGAATTTGGGTCCCAGTGAATAAATAAAGAGTAAAAAATAGTATTCGGATTCACTAATGAGTTGTGCAATTATAAGAAAGAAATGACGATAAAGATAATCGTGAGGCTATTCAAGAGCGATAGAGACCCTGATGATGTTGGAAATTTTGTACTGTCATATATTAACAGAGACGAATAGAAGTAATTGGGCAATAAAGGTGTTGTTTGAGAGAGTAGATATTGAGAGAGTGTTGTTCATGAAGAGTTTTGAAATGTGTAAAAAAGTGAAAGAGGGATGAAATGATGTTCACAACACAAGTCACTCATAAAAGGTCCAAACTACATCGTCGACGTCCTTTCTTTCGACAAGTAATAATTTCAATTACATGAAAGAATTTCCAACAAAAAACAAAATACCTGCCACCAAGACTAAACCCAAATGCACTTTTAAAAGGTGCCCAAGCTGCATGTTCTTGAACAAACCATGTTCCCATCGTTCTTTTGTTGAGCAAGTGTTGGGGGAAGATTATAAATTTCCCAATCCACAAGGAATAATGAAGATAAAATTGACCACCATTTCACAAAGAACTAACATTAGAATCAAGGAAATTGTGGAAGAGATTATTCTTCCGTGTTTCATTCGTTCTCTCCAGAACTTTTTGAACAAGGCATTCGATGAGAAATCGACTCAAGAGAAACAAACCATTGAGTGGGACTATCAATTGTACACAGATGTGTATTCCTTGTTTATGGACGTCACTGATGAACAAGACACACGTAATGTTGAAGAGGATAATCCTCAACCTGTACAGTCCGCCATGGATTTCAATCAAGGAATGTCGAATTGTTTCCAAATGAGGAACAGATTAGATATGTCGAGAATTTGTTGGCTGCAGGATTAAGATATTAACCTTTGAGTTTCATGACCTTGGTCGAAATAAAGGACTTTCAAACATGTTTATTCGTTTGGTCTTTAAAGGACAAATACTTTGAAACGACCAAATTATAAACGGTTGCACTATAGTTGAAGAGGTATCTATAGTTTTTAGATAGGAAATGAAGGATGTAACTAAGCATTTCAGCAAAAAGAATCTTTACACCTTTTTTGAATGTTATACAAATTCATCATTCTAAAGTTTTGTTTGGAAGGTTTTTTAGATGTGGTAAGTATCATTTTCATCTGTTTGACCATTTTGATTAAACTGCAAGGATAATTACATTGAAATTATAGTTGTTTTTCTTTCTAAAGATCAGTTCAACCTGAAAACATAATAAAAAATTCATCTCTGATGTACAAAGGTATGTTTTTCGTTGGATGGATTGTAACGAAACAGATTACGTCGTCGTAATTTGAAAGTCATTTCGTACCATTGGTAAACTTTATTTATACTCCTACCAACGGCCATATTTCAATGTTCTTTTTATTCATGATCATCAGTTTCATATGTGTTTCTTATCACATGTCTATAGTCTTTAAAGACGCTTCAACAGATTTTCCAAAATTTTTGGCGTCTTAAAAATTTGCAAATTCCAAATTTTTTTGCAATTTGCAAATTGATCATTATCTTGTTTCAAGACACACGAAAAGTTCGAGTGTAAAATGCTTGAAATTCAATTTATGAAAATGATCACTGTATTGACGATATGTCTTTGACTGCCTGCCTGACGGTTGGTCTTTGACCATCTGAACGTGATCGCAAAAAACAACATGAATGTGATCCCTTCGAAATCAGCTGTCGGTTTTTCAAAAGACTTGACTGGAAGTCTTTTGTTGTTTTATGTGATCACGTTCAGATGGTCAAAGACAAACCGTCGAAAAGGCTTCTCTTGCAGTGATCATTTTCAGAAACGCATGTTTCGATGTGAACTTGCAGTGAAAGATATGAACGAGTCGCACCATCTCGTGATTTCGTCATTATCAAAAAAATACATTTTCTTCTGGTCATCACCATCATAACACCACCATCATCATTCATATTTAGTCATTTCATTCTAATTATTACTATTTTACATTTCTGATTCATAGTTATTGATCATCATCCTCGTAGCGAATGTCTTCCGAATCTGAAGGCGTTGTCGTCCAAAAGCCATCAAATAATAGTTCGTTAACAAATTCATTAACAAACTCAACCAATACCAACAGACAAGAAATATTGCGAAAAAAGTTTTGTAAAGACTACAATTTACCCATCTCCATCATCACAAGTCCATATTTTGAATATTATTTGGATTTGTATGATGATTATTTGGGATGTAGAAAACAGTGGAATACCATGTTACAGATTGTGGACAAACAATTCCGATCCTCCGAAGGATTGTTTTCTTTAGTTACCAATGAAAGTGTGAATCGTATTTTGAACATCATCGAAAACTCGGATGTTTATGTGAATCATTTCAATTCTTCCAAAGTGAAACCAGAAGAACTTTGGATTGAGAATTATAAACGTTATTATCCCATGGCCATTGAGTCTGTAGATCATTTGGAAAAGTTTTTCCCAAATTTGACCAACGTTCAACAAGAGGTTTACACTGGAAATTATGATGGATTTTCATTTGTTTCAGTTGATATGACAAGCGCTAATTTTAATATTATGAAATTTGTGGATACACAATTGACTCTCAATTGTAAGACTTACAAGGAATTGATTCGTGTTGGATTAAAATCAAAATTAGAAGATCCAAATAACAATTACAAGACCATGCACAAGTTGGATACTGATGCTTTATTGCAAGATGTTCAAAACGATGACAGTCCATTCTTTAAATATATTGTTGAAGCTAAATACTTGAGACAAGTGTTGTTTGGAAAGTTATCACCAAAGCGACAACAAGTCATTCAGAAATGTGTTATGAGAAGTTTGATCAAATTATTGATTGAGAAAGCTGAACAATGTGACAATCCAATTATCAAAAAGTATCTAATTACCGATCGATTTAGTGCGTGCACTGCTGATGAAATCGTCGTTCGAGTGACCGATACCAAGAGAGATAGGAGTTATGAAGAACTTTCTAAACAAGATCAACTTTTACACACCAATATTCTCATGAAATTTATTAGAGATACTATTAACAGTGAGCCATATTTGCAACAAATTACTTTCCGTGTGGAAGGTTTTACTCTCAAACAAATTAAGAGTCCAAAGTTGGGAGACAAAGCTGTTGGTTTTGTTAAGGAATACATTACCGATGCAATTCTTGGAGAAAAGAGCAACAGTGAACACAGAGGTTTGCTCAACGTTGAATTTAAAGGTGTCACTAATTATTTGTTCCCTCAAGTTTTCAAAAATTACTTTGGAAAAGAAATTGAAGAGAATGATCGAAAAATCTTACTCGATGGTCAATTCATTGCAACTCTCGATGACACCATTTTCTAATTAAATCACTGAATTTCGTGTCGAATTTCCATTTCCAATTTGAACTTTTTCATACGGTTCATTTCTGAGAGTGAATCCAAAATTGAAAATCACTTTAAAAAAAAATTTTCAATGTCATCGTCCTCCTTTTCCTCTTGCAAGAAGAAACAACAACCATTGACCATTCCAGAACAAGATCATCATCATGAGGAAACAATTTCAAACATCGAGGAAGATGACATTCTTGATTTCGAGCATAACGAAGACCATTCCTTTTCACACACCGATCGACTGTTATATGACATTTTGGAAATTGAAAAGGAAATTTCTCTCAAAAAACAGTACAGAACCATCCATGCCTCTTCTTATCATGACTCTCAATCTAAAACATGCCCTTCCGATCAAGAGGATCTTCCAATGATCAATCTTGATCATCAGGATCCTTCTTTTCGAATAATGAACATTCCATCTCCTGCTGCGGATCCATTGAAGGACACCTTGTCAATACAAGATCGATTGATGGGCTCTATTTGGGGTCATGCCTATGGTGACGTCGTAGGTTGTCCCATTGAAGGATGGAAAAGTGGAGAAATTCGAAAATTCTATGGAAATAAGGATTTACAAATGTTTGATTTTTCACAAATTTTAACCAAAGGATTTCCAAGCAAGGAATTAATGGCATCTAAAGATTTTAAACCATTAGAAAAAAAGAGACAAATACTTTCGAAAAAAGAACGAAAAGAATCTGCGACTGAAGTGTTTTTACGTCACATTCGTCCTATTGGAATTCACAGTGATGACACTCAACAAGGTCTTGCACTCAAAAAGCAATCATTGAATTTGTGAAAGTAAATTATCAAAATTTTGATGAACAATTTGTGAATTCCAACAACCAATTAATTCCCATTAAGGTTGAATTTGTGGAATTTTGGGCCAAATGGTTAAAAGCTGGTTTCACAGAAGGAGATTGTTTCAAGAGTACTCGTTCTTGTCATGAAAAGTCAAATGTCACACCCATTCGAATTGAATTAGCAAAGAATGTCAGAGCTTTCAGTCAATTTGGATCCAACACTTCGAAAGCTCTAAAAAAATTGTCACAAAAGAATTGCTGTGCCTACAACAGTGGATCGAGTACATTTGGAATTGGAGGAATGATGCGATGTTCTATTGCGCCCATTTGCTTTGCATTGAAAGATTATTTAATCCAAATGGATATATTGGGTGAATCGAAAAAATTCTTTGAACCGTTGAACCTTGAAGATGAACCATCCAAAAAGATGCAAAGAAAATCCAAACATGCATCTACTTGTTCTTTAGAACATAATCTAGGAGATGATGATGATCCAATTTTGAAAGCTATTTCCTACTTTTCCTATTCACAATGTCTCACTACTCATTCGACCATTGAGAGTGCGACAGTCACCTTTGCTTCCAATGTCATTGCTTACAAATTTATTGAATGTGGAAATCGAGAAGAGACAATCGATTGGTTATTGGATCATTTAGAATTTTAGCAAGACATGAAACGTATTGGTTTGAGAAGAGTTTTTGTCCTTCATTGAAAAGAAATCAAAGTGAAAAATATGAAAATCAATTTACATTGTATGAACCACTGAATCATTCCATTCATACTGTTTCGTCAATTTTGATGGAATTATTTGATTATATGAAGGAAAATAAGGAAAATGATCAACTTTTAAAAGTTCTTCGTGAAATGGTAAGATTTCTTTCAATGAATTTCACAAATATTATTTTCCTTATTGGTTGTGAACATGATGAACGTTTGTACAATGGAACTGAATAATATCATTGACTCTCATTGACACAGATTTCAGAGAATGCCAAAAAAGCAAAACAAAAGCCCATGAAAGCTTGTGTCAATCAGGGATTTTGTTTATTAGGAGGCATTCACTCTATAGTTATTGCCCTTCTTCCAGAACGAGCATCAATCATTCTTCATGCTCATTCATCCAAAGCACTCCTTCAGCAATCGAAATACAGTAATTCCATGAATTTCAATGATATTCCATTTCCTGAACTATTACTATATTCGGTAACGACCAATGGTTTTGACACTGACACTGTAGGCGCCATTAGTGGTTACATGTTGGGTGCAAGATTTGGTCGTTCTTCTTGGATGCTCCATCAATCATGTCTCGTCGATTTTGAACGTATTGAACAATATGGGAAGAAAATCGCACAACTATGGAATTTAAAGAACGAATTCCATCAAGAGGTTGTCATGTCTTCTTCATCGACGACATCCATCAGAAGTATTAATAGTAAGAATAACAACAGTATCAACAACCTATTGAACACGATTGAAAGTTTGGAAGAATACTTAAATCAAGAACGTTTACTTTCTGTCTATTGTTCCATTCAGAGACATCAAATCATGGATTTATATGTTCCCATATATCGACGAGTGAATCGATCAACAGCATTATTGAACAATAGTTTACAACAAGAGAATACTTTTGAAGAGGAAATGGTGATTAGTAGGCGAACGGATTATCATTCCTTGTCGAATGTTCACTCATTTCTGTCAATCGATCGAACCATCAATGAGAAGTATTATTGCTTGAATATTTGAGTATTTCTTGTCAACAATAACTGATTAGTCCTCTCTGACTTGAATCACTTTTTCGATACCTAATGCTGACAAGACCACTACTTTTACATCATGTGTTCCTCGATTCAAACCTTCCATGATTCGTTTCATCATTTCTAAATCTTGCAACTGAACATCACACTTCTCTTCTCCATGTTCTGTTAACAGGGTTAAATAAACAGGAACCTCTCGATGATTGTCGTGTTTGTCACTGCTTGCAGCACGTGTATCCATCACTAAATATTCTCTCCGATGTACATACGGAATTGGATCACATCAACATTCGAAGATTCATACAAATAATGGCGTTCTCCAGTGAAAATGTCACTCAGGAAAAAGAAAATCTTTGAAATGCGACGTTCCGGATGTAAAAACCTTCGAGAGAGCACCAAGCATGTTTTTCCTTCATAGACGATATAATTTCCTTCTGTGAGTGTGTCAGCTTGAACGGTGTAAGTCGTGGAAGTGTTGTTGTTCTGATGAATCATGACGATCGAAATGCAAATGCAGAATGGAATAGACAAGAACTTTTTTTTCTGAACTCGAGTGAATTTACAAAATTCTGAAAGGTGCGAACAATACATCAATCCAAACATTGTGAAATTAGTAGCTAGCTTTTGATGAAATAGGGCTAATATAGCATTATAATAGCAACCAAAAAGAAATTGTTAAATTTCAACTATGGTTATTGTTCAAAAAATCAGCGAATGAAAAAAGGCTACAGCACTGCAGGTTCCCAAGTTGTCTCCAACCTCAGTACTGATGCAGCTCGACGATGCTTAACTTCTCAAATCGGACGGGATGAGGTGCATTCATCGTGATATGGTCGTAGCCATTCCTTATTTTAAAGTGCTTGTTTTGATTACTCTCTTACCATTGATTCGCTGTTCCCTTCATAAAGCACCCATCGAGTGTGGTGTGAAGCCAATCTTTAATATCAAGAGTGCGTGTCCTTTCATGATTCATCACCAAACTAGAACTCAAGTAAATCGTCCTGATTTCTTGTCCTTCACAGTTCATACAACCAAAGGTTGTAGCAGGAGAGACGTCATGTTCCTGAGAGGCATCCCGTCCATATTCTTCTTAACAAAGAGAGAAATCGATTATTTTCTATATACGGAAATCCCTATATTCTGCCAAAGTTAATGTTACATGGTGCAACAAGATCTTTTAGATCCTTCATTGAACATTGATCCACTTGGTATTGCTGCGTGACGAAGATGTAGCCATTCATTGTTGGTTTCTCATTCCTTTGTTCGAGTTCTCGTGGATATCCAGTTTCAAGTAATGAATCAAAAAAACACTCAAGTGTTGAATGGTGTCTACGTCGAATTCTTCTTCAACTTTGAAAACTGCACGAGGTTTGGAAAATGAGTGACCGATTTACTGATTGAACTTTGAATTTTATTTTATGGATTTCATGCATGGAAATAGCTCAGAAAAGTTATCGAGAAAGTTCACAAATTTATCGTCGATTTTGACTCATTTGGATTCATGGGTTTTTGACATTCAGTCAAATTGGAAAAGTTGCTTATTGGAATAGTTTCTTAGACTTTTCTTCAGACAATCTCAGTTTAAGAATGAGTAAGATGATATTTCGCCAACGATGATCACTTGCAATATCGATTCAAAAATATGAAATGATCCTCTTACAGTTCTATAAACGAGTCCAATTCCTTACACAAATATCCATCCCTTCTCATGTCACGTTCTTTTGATTCTGGTTCGTCATTCAAGATCGATTCATACCTTGGAGCTTGGGATGTTTCAAAGATATTGGGTGACATTTGTGAAGATGAACTCACCAAAGTTCAAACCTTTTTCAAAACAAGTGACGTTCTGAAGAATAAACGTCGCTCATCTTTCCAAAAGAAAACTGCATTTAATGATTTTTAATGAGATAATGATCGTTTTGGTCTAATGAAATGTGATTGGTAAATGTCGTTTCTTCTTTTTGGGAAGCCAATTCATACTATTATAAAATGTCTCTGAATTCCAAGTCAACACCTGTCGACAATTTCGTACGATTGACTTTGTCTAAAGAATCCATCACAATACCTTTTTTGTCCATGGTCCATCCTGATCCAAAACGATGGCCATTCTTGATTGTATCAAACATCTTGTCTTTGTCCATTTCTATCCAAGGAATCGCCAATCCTCTCAACCTGGTTCGATTTAAATCATTGTCTCTCTTTCTCCACATAACATGGTTAAAAGAAAAAATTACAAACACCTATAAACAATAACATGAAATTCAGCTACGTCACCTTTGTGCCAAACAAACAACAACAACAACCATTGAAGGGAAAGCGATCCAAACCACTCACCATGGTTTCTTATTTTACAGACACTGCAAGAAACTCATGTTCTGATCCATTTGATGGATCCATGGATTTGTCTCTCCATTTCAATGTTGAAACTGAATTGCCCTCTTCGACACGTCGTCATGTACCTCCACCCGTTCAGATTGAAATGAATCCTCTTATTCCTCCTTCATCGCCTTCTGAACGTTCTCCAAAACAAACCTCAAAACATATTCTTCCTGAACCAATTGAGGCAATTCTTTCAATTCCTGTCCTTTCTCCAACCACATTTCCTCAGAATGTGTTTGCAAGTGGAAATAGCAAAACAGTCTTGTGTCGATCGACTCGTCATCGAAAACCTCGTTTTGAAGCTCGTCCAAAAAAGGAAATTTGTAATCGAGAACCAACAACCCTACGAACGAGTCCAAAAATTAGCAAGTCACAACAACGTTGGAGTCGAACCACACATACAACCACCAATCATTTCTCCTCAGTACTCTCACACCCAGACATCCAGCAAGCAATTCTTGTGGTTTCTAACAATCATGGACAACAGGATGAAACCAAAGAAACCTCCTCTGTCATTCAAAATTTACATCTGAATAGGGAACAAGCACTTCCAAACACCACATTAAGAGATTCTTCAGTTTTTTCTGAAACAACTGTCTCGAGTTCAGTACCAAAAAAAGTGAGAACCTCCATTTCCATATTCGAGTTGTTGAATCCTGAAGAATAAAGAATTGTTCGGAATTGAAAAATCATTAAAGCAAACAACTTTAATATATGGCTAGCCTCTAACTATAGTAAGAATATTTACAAATTGGTTTATTAGCTCTAAGAATGAAAGGAATAAGAGAATGAAAAAAGGCTACAGCACTGCAGGTTCCCAAGTTGTCTCCAACCTCAGTACTGATGCAGCTCGACGATGCTTAACTTCTCAAATCGGACGGGATGAGGTGCATTCATCGTGATGTGGCCGTAGCCATTCGAATCTCTCCAAACTTTCTAATCAACAATTATTGATACTCATAGAGGATACGTTAACTTTCCTTTTCTGAATCAAAAAAAACACTCAACTATTGAATGACGAACATGTTCTCGCTTCGAAAATGAGGCCGTAGTCCGGAACAACATTTATGGTTATGATTTTTTTTGCGTGGTTGACAACTTATGATTCCAGAATTCTGGACTCATCTCCTTTCCTAATGGACATTCATACATCAGTCAATTGACTGCATGTCGTCCTCAAAAAAAAAGAATGACATTCAGTCACCACTCACTCTTGTTATTGTGTACCTCTTCTCTCGTGCTTCTTCTTTTCACTTTCCCCTCTCGCCAACAATTTATTTCAGTCAGCCAGAATTTCACAGCTGCCTTTGATGCTGCCATTCAAGAGCTCGTTTCTAGCCCCACTTGGATTCAATACTATTCGGAAAATATGTTCTTTGCAGTTCCGAAATGTTCGACAAAGGTTGAATGGCCAGAAAAGGATCCATTCGTTGGACGCTTCAAAATAGTGACTTGTTTTGAGAGTGCAACATCTTCACCATGTAAGTAAGGGAGTTTTGGATGTGTGATTAAGTCGAATATATACATTGGTTATAAATACTGTGCTGTGTATTGATGTGATGTTGATCATCTTACAAATCATTTGGAAACTCTTGTCACTAATAATAGGGCTGGAAACAAAAACAAAATTGGCCGACAGTGTGGTTGCAATTATTAACAATCACTACAAGACCAATTACACCAATGAATTGAAAAGATATAGTACAATCGAATTGGGTTTCTTCCAAACGCTGAAAAACGCCGTAGCAACAGGAGATTGTGACATTGTGACAACACAAACTCAACCGATTGTCGAGAGAGCACAATTTGTACATTTTCAATGTGGATTTGGTTTGGCTTCGAAGGGATGGGTTAGAACAGGAAAAGATCCTCAAATTGTGATACAAAATGTTTCTGATTTGAACAACAATGGAATTCTTGTTGGAGGTGAGTTTTTGACATTCCAAATTTGGTTTCATTCACACCTTACGTCCACTTTTTATTTCCAATAACATCAAAAATCAACACATATAGCTTTGACGGGTACTGCATATGAAACCTTTGTGAAGAGCTCTCTAACTAAAGCCACTTTAGTTCCCTTGTTCTCTGTCACTTCTCAATTCGACGCTGTTTTGAATCAAAATGTTCATGCCATAATTGGAGATGCCATTCAACTCTTATCATGGAAAAAACAAGTTGGAAATTGCAATTGTGAAGTGAAGGCCTTTGATACTTCTTATGAATACTCCACTTTTACTAATGGAAATATTACCTATGAAAAAAATGCTGCTTCTTTTAAACCTAACACTAGTGTGGTTAGTTTGGCAACAACAAACAGTTTCGGAAATCAATATGTGATGCCAGTGACACTATTGATGATGGTTATTATGCTGATTCAAAGATATAAAGAATAATTTGAAAATTAAAATCCTCTTCATTCAACCTGTCAGAATCCAAGAAATGAAACATGTCAATTTAGGTAATTCTCAATGTGAATAACCTTGTCTTTGATTAAAGTTCTTGAGTTGGTTATGCTGAAGAGTGACAGCGGAGTCGGAGTTGCATGGAATGCGGGCAATTCTAATCCACGGTGTGTCAAATACAAGTTGGCGAAATTTTTCAAATCAAAAAATGCAACCACAACCACAACCACCACAACAACCTCGCATTCTCAATCATGATGAATTAAAATCCAAATGGGACGCCTTCTCAAAGACCTTTCAACAAGTGCTCGAGCCAAGTACCAACATCACTGCTCAATCTCTCATTTCTTCTCTCGCCTTATATGCGAATAATGAATGCTCTCGTCATCAGAAAATACACATTCTAGATATTGGATGTGGTGGAGGAGGAGGTTCCTTTCTCATTGCTTCCCAAATGCCAAATTCCGATGATTATGAACTGACGAGTATGGATCTCTCTCCGGAGATGGTCAAATTAACTCGGGAACGATGCCAAATTCTTACGCAAGCTCCATTCCATCGAAAGATCCATGTGGTGGAAGGCTCTGCAGAGAATCTTCCCTTTCCAGATGAAACCTTTGATGCTGTCTTTTCTAATTATTGTTTACATTTAGTTCCGAATCCAGATCAAATGTTAAAGGAAATTCATCGTGTCTTGAAGAAGGGAGGAAAGGCTTCATTGAGTGTTTGGGGTCGTCCCGAGAATAGTCCTTCCTTTACAGTGATGCAAAAAGCCATGATGGAATGTAAGAAGAGATTTAATAGTCATGATGGGGATGAAAACCTTGTTCCGTTGAGATCCCCTTTCCATTTGCATCAAAAGGATCCATTGCGAGAGAGAGTCTTGAATGCTGGATTTTCAAAATGTTTAGCTTGGTATCAATTTCAACCTTTCCATGCGTTCAGTGCTCGTGAATTTGCCGAGTTGAATAGTCTTACTCCTGATTTTAGAGCTCTTGTGGAAGGATCGGAAGAGAAGAGACTTGAATTGTTGAATGTGTTGGAAGGAATGGCGAAAGAAACCTTTGACAAGAATGAACCTATTGGAAATGAAGTGCTAATTGTCTTGATGAGTAAGGAATAGAAGATCTTGTAAAAACAAGTTTTCGTCTGAGCATCAGCACGGAATGGAATAAATAATCTTTTCAATCTTGGATCCAATCAAGTTGACATTCAAATCACACTACTGTAACTGTTGTTGTGACAATTTCTCTGAAGAACTTTTTTGGGAGTCGTCCAAGTTTTCTTGTTGATGATCATGTTCATGATTTTCCAGTTCAATGGAATTCTCATCATTGTTTTGGTGAAACTCAATAGGTCTACCTTCTTCAAGTTGAACATGTTCAATCCCTCGATTGGAATCTTTTTTCAAGTTCTTTCTGTGATAATAAATGATTTGGAACAGAATGAAGGAATCCATGCACACATTGACAGATGTTTCCAACAAAAACGGTAAACGCATCATTAAATACCTTCCATTAAATGAAAATAACCAAATGGAGGCAACATAACATGAATTTCCCAAAACTGCCAATGAGAAGAAAATTCTTGACACTCCTGCTGCACTTCCTCTTTTAAAATTCTTATAAATTTGAGGAGGTCTCGATCCCAAATACAGCAATGCACAAAACCATCCAATCGCATAACCCACAATGGAAATTGTAGTATTGGGAGGAAAAACGAATGCATCATGCTTGGACCAGTCATTGTCATCTTGTTCTCTTTGTTCTAACTGATGATATTTTTCAGAACTAAAGAGTTTTCTTCCAATATAAAAAGAATTGGTAGAGGTGTAAATTCGTTGTGGATAAACGAGTGATTGTTGGCTTTCATATTGTGCTTGCCAATGCATGGTTTTAAAGGAAAAAAAGAGGAGTAACATCAAAAGTGCGAACGCAACCTTAATATTCAGTCGGGTTGGACTGGAGGATTTTGTGACATTCGGATTTAGTAAAGTGACTTGATGATTGTCATGTGCTTCATCCTCGTGTATATCCTCGTGATGATGAATATTCGCATCGAAAGATGTGACATTTGACTTGGTTTGTTGATCCTTATTTCTTTTAGAATTCCACCATTTTTGGAAATGTTTTTTCATTATGGAATAATAAAAATACTGGAAGATGACAATAATGTCAGTACTGACAAAATACAGGGCCACAACGATTTGAGTGGCAAGTTGTCCCGATAAGATGCATGAAATTAAATTAGAACTGTCCGCTATGAATGCTTGGAATAAAAACCCCAAACTAAGAGAAGTTGCGTCCTGTACGATGCGAATGCATAAAAAAGATGATGATATTGAAACTACAAACGAACCTTGTTTTTGAAATTGGCATGAATTTGAGGAAAGATGGCACACATCCAACAAAACAAACTTGCAAGTCCAACATAAAACGAAGCTTGCTCTCTGGCTGAATGGACACACTCTCCGAAGACAATATAAATCCATTTGACATATTGTAGACCATCGGGATCGAATTCTAAACAGTTTTTAGTCGTATTTGAGGATGAATTGCTGTACAGCTCAGAATGAGCGAATTGAAATGTGCTTGGGCAATGTGACATGCTGAACCAGATCAGTGATTTTTTTAGTACTAACAATGAGAAAGACAATTCCCAAAACTGAGCAGGAAACAAATATTTGCCCAAAAAGAACCCCAAAACAAAAAGAAGCTAAAAACTGGATCAACAAACAAAAGAAAGTCTACAGCGAACGGGAATCGAACCCATGACCTTCAGCGTGTAAAGCTGACGATCTAACCGACTGATCTACCGCTGCTTACATTAAGGTTGTGAACATTTAGACAAATATTACAAATCATGACCAATACCAGAAACGAATGGTCGTTTCTGGTCTGCTGGAAAAACCCCTCCAAAAAATTGCTTACAATGAATTGGAATGAAGCAGCCGATTCTTTTCGGGCGAAGGTATTAAGGAGCGGATTGTTCGATTCAACACCACCAACCATTCCATCCACTTCTCAGGTTAACAGCCAAGCAAGTACTATCACAAATCTTTACTCTTCTACCAGCTCTTCCTCACCACAACAGTTTTTGTTTTCAAATATAAGAAGGGTAAATGATCAACAGCAATTATATGCAACAGGAACTCCTTCATCTAAATTTCCTCTTAATGATCAGAACTTTGTATTTTCCCTTCCGGTAGAGAGGCCATCAATGACCACTCCTCTTAAAGAAAACTTTTACAAGGGCACTTCTACCTCAAATGCGTTAAAGTTAAACGATAGATCTGCATCGGAGACGGATCCGTTTAAAAACTCATATCTGTCTGCTCGACTGCTGGAGGAAGAGCAAAAGAAAAAAGAATTAGTGTTACAGCAGGGGAAGAACGATCTACACAAAACCATCAACATTAGCCCCGCTCTAATCTATCCAAACTCAAGCTCTCCTTCCAAGGTTTTTATTAATAATAACTCTGGAGATTCTTCTCTTCAAGCTTCTTCGTATCTTTCGTCAAACAAGAATTTATTTGGAATGAGAATACATGAACCAAAAGCGAGCTCTGGTTTCGTCCCTTCCAGAATTTGTAACATTGACCTTGTCTACGAAAGAAATTCCCCCGAAGTTGAATTAGTTAAACAAAAGATCCATGAACGAGAAGTTAAGACACAAACTCCAGACTTTGAAATTGATGTTGCAGTTCAAACGGAAGAGTTTCCTTCTGGTTTCAATGAGCAGAGAGATAACTTTGTCAAACGTGTCGTCAAGATAAAGGACAAGGCAACAACGACATCAAGTTTTAAAGAAGAGGAAAAAAAGAATAACACCCTTCCAACAGCAGAAGCTTTAAACACAGAATGGATCAATGCGAGGTTTAAAGTGGAAGAACACTTGTTCGAGCAAAACAACGACCAGTCGTCTGCTCCAAAAATGTCCAAGTCCACAGGTGAAAATGCTGAAACCCAAACCCCAAGTCCTTCAAAAAAGAAAAAGAAGAAAACCAAGAAAAAGAAAGCAAAATCATACGATCTCTCGCAGTTTTTGTCTGAATATGAATTTAAAGAAGAGTCACGTTCTCCAGGTTCTCCAAGTTTTCCACACAAGGTTTCATCTGGGACACAATCATCTCCTCAAGTGGAGAGAAGAGAGGAACGAGAAAAGCAACCGGGGATCCATACGTCACATGCATCCACATCTAGTCCCAACACTTCTACTGAGGAAATGGAAATGCATCAGCTCAAAGAAAGTATTCATCTTAATGATAATCATGGCGATCCATCTAACATTTCAAATTTAACTCACCAAGACAGAGAAGTGGAGATATTGGATGAAGCCATTGCAGTTCCAGTGGACGTTCTTCAACACTCTCCTGAGAAGCATGAAAAGAAGGAGGATCACAAATTAAAAGAGCATTCCAGAAGCGGAGAAGATGTAAAAGAGACAAAAGACTCGATTGCCAAATTGGATGTGTCCGTTGATCTTGTTCAAAATAATGGTGAGGAACTCTTTATCTCGAATCCCCAAAGAAGAGATGTGGAACTGGATAATAATCGACCAGGCCTTCATCAGGATCAGTTATCCATCAAAGACCCCAACGCGCCTCAGATTTGCAAGCCTTCTCACCAAGAAATTAATTCTGTTCAACAGTTGGAAATAATGAGAGAAAAAGCTTCAGTCGACAAGGATAGCGACAGCAATTACTTTGAAAAAAATTTGGGAATGCAAGAAGACATGCCTATTGTAAGAAAAGAAGGAAACAACGATTCATCTTTAATTGAAGGATCAGATGAGCATGAACACGTTGCTGATAAGTTTGAGACAGACAAACATATTATAAACCAGGACAGCATGAATATCATTAATCATGATGTTCAGCATGTAACAAACAAAGAATGTAAAGTAGAGACAGGTGGTGTTAAGCAGGAGAAAGGAGATTTAGAAGATGTGTTGGCAGAAATCAAAGAACAAAGTAATGATACTCTTGAAATTCCATCTGTGGACGACTCTGATGTTAATGGTGATGTTATGAGGAAAACTAATGAACCACAAACTGAACCGCAATTTGATGAAGGCAAAACGCAACTTTTGGAAGACAAATCATTTTCAGAATTTTCAGAATCTCCTCGTGAGACAAATACATTGAAGAAATATACAGAAGTGGCTCAAGAGATTCCTTTCATGCAAGGAAAGTATACCGGAGAGGTTGAAAACGGATTGCCTTATGGATATGGAACCTATTGCTCAAACGATGGTACACTTTATGAGGGAGAATGGATTCAAGGAAAGAGAAACGGAAAAGGAAAAATACATTATCCAGACGGCTCCATTTATGAAGGAGAGTTTATGGATGATTTGAGACATGGTCAGGGCTGCTATACTACTCCCAACTATGTTTACGAAGGTTCATGGGAAAATGACAAGAAAAATGGAAATGGGGTTATTGACTACGGCTTTGGAGACAAATTTGTTGGTTATTTTTCCAATAACTTTCCTGATGGAAAAGGCCAATATTATTTCAGTGATGGGTCCAAATATGTTGGAGAATTCAAGCACGGTTGGAGACATGGAAAGGGTGTATTAAAATATGCAGATGGGATCACAATATATGACGGAGACTGGGACTCTGACAGAAGGACAGGAAATGCAACAATAACCTACGAAGACGGTGTTTATACTGGGCATGTTAAAGATGGAAAAAGAGATGGACATGGATCATTTACATACTCAAATGGAGATGTTTTTGAAGGGCATTGGGAAAAAGACAAGAAACATGGTAAAGGAATGTACTATTTTGGATCTTTAAAATCTGGAACCAATTTTAAGGGAGAATGGATTGAAGGAAAGAAACACGGAACTGGTGTTATGACCTCAACAAAATTCATTCCTGTGACTCCTCCAAAGAAAGGTTTCCGACCTATTTCAACTTGTTTCGAAGAGGTATGGCATGAAGGGCAGTTGATTCAAAAGAGATTGTTGTGAACATGTCAAGGGTCAAGTTCAACTATGGAATTGAATTCTATGAAATATTTAAAAAAATTCTGAACCTCCTTTCCACAATAAATGCCAAGATCACAAACTCGAGATCATCTTCATCATAAAATGTTGAAAAATCCAAAGAAACAAAACAACCCGATAGCATCAACACATGACAATTCTAATTCGTTAATATCTGTTCTTTCAAGCATCGGAGTAAAAGTCAATTTGAAACCGATTACATTTTCAAACAACAGCCAAAAAGCCAAAGAAAAACAATCTTTGAATTCAGCAGAGCAAATTAAAGAACATTTACGAATTGCATCAAACGATCACCCTGTTTCCATCTCTAAGAATGCACATGATGAATTATTTCGAATTAAATTCTCCACCGCCTCCATAGGACACTATCACTGTCCAAGCAATTTCCTCACAATGGGCGAGTATCAACAAATAGAACAGTTGTTAGAAAAGAAGAAGGAACCTATTGATGTGATAACAATAGAAATAGAATTTTTAAAACCTTCATATCAAGATCTCTTGAAATACTTTTCAATTTCAAAATCTGAATCTCCTGAAGAACAAATATTACGTCAATTAGTGGATACTATAGACGCGGATGAAATAAGAAAACATGTCTATATACGAATTTGGGTCCCTACGGGACTGGAATCATGATATTCCTGCTGATACTTTTGACCCAACCTATTATAGATATTTATTAATGGGTAAAATTGACAACTCGAATCATGCATTCTTATTTGACGTTAGTGGATTTTCACAAAACGATCACTCTGTTCCGAAATCTGTCGATCACTTATACAAATTGTGTACACCAGCGCATTTTAGAAATAGGATGTTCAACTCTGACCATAACAACGATTGTGGCATTCAAAGAATTCTCATTGGATGTTTTTTGACAAGTATGACCACCACAAAAAGGAAGAAGAAAAGATACGGCCCTTGTGGAACGTTGTCTCACCTCAACAGTACCTGTCCTGTGTATATATTTAATTCTTTTTCCACTCAAAACCGTGAACTTGTTGTTATGGCACAAAGAGAAGAGTGGAGTTATGACCGAAGGGTTATCTCTGGAAAGATCCACACGGGTTATTACAGTTTTGAGACAGGCCATCAGCTGAGACTTGTTTGTCATCGAGAATGTTTGTCTTTTTTCAAATCTTGTGTGATACAGACGATTCATCATACGCCATAGACAAATCATTGATTCATTTATTGGATGTCAGGTGTCAGTCGGGTTTGAATTTCAAACATCTTTGGACATCAACCGATGTCGTTACAATTATTTGCGCGCCCAACTGTAAACGTTGGAACCCTCCCAAAAAATTTTAAAAAAAAATTCTATTCATCCATAAACATGACTAGCGTTGCAAGTAGTAAAGCATCGACAGCCTCTCAGAAGAGAGAGAAGCTGAAGGCATTATTGAGCGATAAGGTGTTGGATATGATCAAGAAAGGGAATAAGGACGTTAAAATAACTCCCGAAGTGTTGAGTTTAATTTCAAAGGAAGTGGATGCTTTAATTAAGGACGGAAAAGGCTCCGAATCTGAATTGAAGAGGATTGCAACAAAAGCAAAGAATTTACTTCCAAGAAATACTAGTTCGACATCATCCGGATCGAAACCATCAGTACCTCCGATTGACACAAAAAGCGTTGCCTCCAGGCAAAGTGACTCTCGTAATGAAGAATATTCGCAAACAAGCGACGTGAAGCCATCTAAAGAGGAAGAAGAGGAAGAAATGTTGATCACCACATTAGGAGGTCAATTTGGAGGTGGTCTCAAGAAGTCAGTCAAACCAAAGGCAAAACCAACAACAGGCGACGACATTTGGGCTGCTATCGCTCTCAAGGACACGGAAGAGTACCATAAGGAACAACACGAAGAGTTCTTACGTCAAAAGAACAAGCAAGTTGAACTTCGACAAACTTTGAAACAACAATCAGAGGAGAATAAGCGTCAACAAGAACTTAAAAAGCAAATGGAGCAAAAGTATATCGAGGAGCAGCAAGAAATTATCAAGAAAGAAATTGAGGAAGAAAAGAAAAGGGAGGAAGAGCGCAAACAGCGAATTATCGAAGAGAAAAGGATTAGAGACCAACAATTAGAACAGTCCAAAATGAGAAAGCAAATGATCGAACACAAGAAAAAGGAGGAAGAAGAGGAGTTGGTTCAAAAATTGAAAAAGCAAATAACAAAAGAAAAGGAAAAAGAAATCAAAACTCGAGAACAAAATAAGAAAGAATTGTCTTCATTCCTTGCCTACAACGACACAATCAAAGCAAGGAAAGAGGAAGAAGCAAAGAAGGAGATTGAGGAAGACATTAAAGCTTTGAAAGCTTATGAAGAAAAACAACGTCAACAGGAGTTAAGGCGTGAGATGGAAATGAAAAAGATGTATGAAAGACAAAGTTTCTCAATTGCTTTGGCAACAAAGCTGGAGGCCAATTTGGACGAAAAGGCAAAGGAAGATGAGAAGAAGGCAGAACGTATTCAAGCTGAAATGGAAATGAAGAAAGAATTGGAGCACAAGAAGAAGCTTGAGAAATTGAAGAAGCAAAAGGAAGAAATCATGGACACACTAGCAAAGCAAATCCAAAACAAGTTTGACGAAAAAAGAGAACAACTTTCGCAAGAGCTAGAAATGAAGAAAAAAATCGAAGAAGACATCAAAAAAGCGGAACAAGAAGAAAAAGAGCGAAGAAACAGGCTGAAAGAATCCCTGAAGCATCAAAGAGAAGTTCTCACAGAACAAGTCAAGCAAAAGCAAGAATTTTCGGCTAAGATGAGCGCCATGTCGGAAACTGAAATGAAATTGAACAGTGACAGGCTCAAGAAGATTAATGTCTTGTAAAATATCATGCAGATTTTGTTTAAATTTTAGAGTAATAATCTAATTTTATAAATTAATTTTGATTGTACATAAATCCTAGTGGTCAATCTAATTTAAGCATCCTAAATAGTCTTCCTTAATTGTACCGATTGCGAAAAGTCCATTAGCCTCAGTTTTGACACCCATAATTTTCAATCGAACTTCCTTATCTTCCATAATTGATACCTGTATTACAAAGTGAGATGCAACAAAAAATTGTGGTTGTGTCTCTCATAATTTGAGGAATTATTTAAAGACTTACTTGTGCTTCCTCGGAAACAAATCTTGGTGGTGAATGATCTGGATCATATTTCATATCATCGGGAATACCGTGTCTACTCACAAATACAGGTAATGGGCCTACCAGTCAGATTAAAGATGATTTGAGTCATAAAGCATAGAGATCACTAATTATCACATCCTTGTTTCAATGTGTGATTGTCCTACCTACCAACATTAGCGAAAAATCCAACCTTTGTCACTTTTGTAACAGTGGCATCACAAACTTCTCCTTTAAATGGCTTAAACACTACTGCTTTATAATTGATTGGGAATGTAGCATATCCTGATGATTCACCAATCTTTCCCTGTCCAATTTTTGTAATTTCCGTTACGGAAACAATATATCCTGTTCTTCCTGTACATTGACCCTCCACATCGTTTTGAAGACGTGCACGAAGAGTACGGGTGAGCTCAGGGCCAAAGAACTTGGGATGCAAACGAATGTTCTTATCCAAATCCATCTAAGAGATTTGTAACAATAAGATGATATTTGTTCATGATGAAAATCCATCAAGATGAAATCATCGGATTCATTGTACAAGATGTTTTCAATAAATAGATTAAATATTAATAATACATGTTGATCATAATCATTCATTCATCGGTTCAGATTTGTATTTTCATAGGATCAGAAACATATCCAACAACAATTATCATTCCATATATACAATTCCATATATACAATACGATGATCATCACGAATGATGAGAAGGTAAAAGCCTCTGAATTATCGGGACAACAAATGGCACACAACAACATCACACCTACCAAAAAGAACATTTTTTTTCTGAATTTTTTTTATTTTATTTCACAACTTTCATCCGACAAGTCTTGTGATCGACATTGTTCATCGTCGTGGTGTTGTTGTTCTTGATATTCTTCTTCTTTCACAGTAAAACGTAAAAAGTCGTCATACATGAACAAGATGACAGCTCTTTCTATTTTGTCAAAAAATTCCAACTGTCCACATCTTGGAATTGACAACAGTTTGCTGTGACCAAAGAAGGTGCCGTGAGAGGAAGATGAATCCAAATATCGAGAAATGATTTCATTTTGCAATACCACTCTCGTTTGAACTTTGGCAACACTTTTGTAAAGGGAAATCTCTTCCAGGAATTGAATGCAATCTGCAAACTCAATATTGTTTTGATGATGTTTCTTAAATTGGTTCCACCTTCTCTGATCCTTCATCATTTGCGTAAAATGGTGTACTTTTGCACTTCTCTCTAGTTTGAGTTGTTGTTTAGAGAAGGTTGATTGTAACTCTTTTTGCTCTGATAGATTCTGCAACACAATCACATAAACATTCTTCACTTCACCTTGAAAAATAATTTTGGACTTGTTGACTTGTAAACGAACAGGAAAGCGTTGCCCTGAGTGAGAATTGAGAACTGTTTCCATAAGTTCTTGTGATTGAAACAATTCCTCCATCATTTCAAGCAGTCTTTTCCATTGAATTAAACTCCACAAAATAATGTAATACAAGTTGATGCCTGACCTCTGAAATTAGCTCTTGAGATTCAGTTTGGCTGATTGACAAGTTGTTGTTTGAACAGAATCCATTGGAGTTAGGAGAACAATTGTTCGTACTTGGTTCTTTTGTGTTCAGTATATGCTTTTTGAAAGCAGAATTCATGGTCAACATTGCACCATCAGAAGCATCAATAATTAATATAAAATCCTGAACAATATTCATAACACATCTTGCTTGTTCTTCTGCGAGAGAGATTCTTTCCAAAAGACTCTGCATGGTTTGGGTATCCAGCTCCATAGTATTTTGATATTGTAGGAGGGATCTCAACATGGTGTTAATATCTGCAGAAAGTTGTTCCAGCTCGTCATTGAATATAGATTTCGGAATAGTTTTTGAGAAATTGTTTTCGTTTGTGATGGTTCTCACGTGATTTCTAATGTTGATTAATCTCCTTATAATAACTATCTCGAAAAGTATAAAACAAATCATTGATACAGTAATAAATATTCCTAAAATTACAAGAATTGAGGATTGAAAAGTACTGCTTGCGATTTCAAATATACTTCTAGAAACGTCAGTCCTAATGGATAATCGTTTTTGGTTTTTAAAGTCATTGAAGAATTGGAATACGGCCATTCTAGTCGATCCTGAATTTTCAACATCAATCGAACACTTTCTATTGTATGAAGAAAGTATTTCGCCTGTCTTAAAAAAACTATAGCCAGATCCATTATCGATAACCATTCCATTACGTGTGTTCAAAAAGTTGTTAACAAGCTCTGACGTAATTGGTAATTTGTCATTCACAGCCATGTCATTCCATAATTGTTTAAAATCTTTAGTGATATCATAAAAGGTAATGCAGTAGTGGAGGTTCTTTTGGCTATACTGTTCATCATGCCAAAGCTGGTATATCGAGAAAAGAGTAATAAACCATTGGACTTGGAGCTGTTACTTAATTGAACAGGTATTCCTACAACAAATAACGTATTCGATGAGATATTAGTGTCATTGGGAAATAACATGATTCCAGATTCTGTTGCTAATTCCTCAATCGTTTTGTTTGGAGCTAGTATCGTTGTAACTTTAGATTGAGGATTGTCAATATCAGTTGTGAAATAAAGATCTAATTGTAAAAACTCGGAAGACAAAACGGGAAGCTGTACATCTTGAATACATGCTCTCCAAAACATCAGTCATCCATTTAAGAAATGAAGAGTGGCATAATTCACATCCATCTGTCTCAAATACTCGCATAACAAGTTTGTATTGAAAAAATCCTCAGCACGATTCAAATCGCCACTCTCAACCACGAAATAAAGATCATCCCAACATGCATAACCGAAGACAAGAACTTCTAGAACATGTAACTCGCTACGTATGATCTGTGATACTTGTTTTGCAATTTTGTTGGCTTGCTTGTCCTCAACATCATTCAAAACAACACTCAGAGAGAGAATAGAAGTTCCGAGAAATAACAACAAAACTCCAAGATGGTTTGAGTCATCATGTTTGATGATTGAAAAATTAACGAAAGGAGAGACCTGCTCATTGTTACGTGTTGGTAGAAGCGAGTTTTGTTGTGTTGAGAGTTCCATACTAAATCAGGTGGTTTTGTTTGTACATTATATCTCTGAATGATGGAGATAGTACTTGTAGTTTCGTTTCGAGTGAACCCTAAAAAAGTGGTTGAATCACACTGCATGGAACAGACAAGAATTCTTTGTAAATGTGAATTGCGCTTTCTGATGGCATCCTTTTGAGATTGTTCTGTTCAAGCTCATGTAGGCTAGTGATGATCAACAATATTTGTTCATTCGTAGACGTGTTGCTTGTTATTAATTGATGTTCTGAAATTTTTATTTTTTTCAATCAAATTCAAAAAATGGCAAAGAAGAAGGCAAAGACTATCCTCATCAAACTTGTGTCCAGTGCCAAGACTGGATTCTTCTACACGACAACAAAAAACACACAAAATATTCAGAGAAAGCTTGCTTTTAGGAAATACGACCCTGTTGTGGATAGACATGTGCTGTTTACAGAAGCCAAGGTGAAGAAGTAATTTTCTTTTCCGTGTATGATGATGATGGTAGTGAATCATGAACGTAACCGTATTTGCCAACAACCATTCCTGTTCACTATTTCTTCATCAAACTACAACACTTTCACTTCCGAATGTTCCTTCTCATTTCTAGTAGCAACTAATTATTTTAATTAATTGTCTAAACATTAAAGGATACAATTTTGAACAATCATCAGGTGTACTCCTCTACGCCTCTGTGTATTGGATTTATAATACAACTCATCATTCTATTGGTCCACAAAAATCAGACTTTTTAAAACAACACACCTACACCTTCAATTTCTTCCATTGAATATCATCAAAACAAAAAATATATTTTTGCGTCGACCGGGAATTGAACCCGGGTCACGGCGATGGCAACGCCGTATTCTACCACTAAACCATCGACGCTACTTACTTAAACTTAAGCATTTATAAATTATTATTTACATTGTAACATCAACAGGGAAATCTCTTGTAAATAATAAAAGGAGATAAGCCCAAAAGAAAAAATGTTCTCGCACGGCTCGAATACACCTCCTTACCAACAACAGAATCGTGCTTCATCATCTCCATACAACATCACTACCACCTTCGGATCTCCTCCTCCGTTTTCTGTTTCTGATTTGCAGCAATATTTGCAGGAGAAGAGAGTGGAAGAATTGTTCGTAAGCTTGATGCAAGCCATTTGTTTGGAACGTCCGCAACACATCATTCCGTTCCTTCATCAGAAATTGGCTCAAATTGAATGCTTTGCTGGTGTAGTTTCTCAACAACAAGTACCTCCACAGACATCATCACAACCACAACCCGTACAACAATTTTATACAACCACAGCGCCTTCATACAACAACATACAGCAACAGCCTCCACAACCACAACCCGTACAACCACAACCACAAGCATATTCTTTTGGATCCTCACAACCCAAGCAAGCTACTAGTGCTAAATCTCCTCCATCAATTGGAGCAAGCAGTACCGTACAGCAACAACAACAACCTCCAAAATCTCCTTCTCCATTTAGTTGGGACAATAGAAGTGCTTTCACCGAACCTGGAGAAGATGTTTCGGCTGAAAAACCACCAAAGGCCAATGGCGATTCTTCTGTTCGTTTTGCTGTGCCTTCTCCAAGTTCAAATCCTTTGTCTGAAAACAGCGCAGGTATTGATTGGAATGAAAGCGAGAATCGCAGAAGAAGATATTCCATTTCTGTGGCTAGAAGAAGAGCTGTTAGTAGTGAGGTTTTAGATGAATCAAAGCCATTAACCGCAGAAGAGTTGCAGGTCCATCATAAAACTCCAGAAGAAATGTCCAAGCTTAGGGAAGCTTTGGCATCAAACGCTCTTTTCACTTCATTGGAACCAGAGGATTTAAAAATTATCTTAGATGCCATGTTTGAAGTTAATGTCAAAAAGGGGGATACTATCATTCGCCAGGGAGACGAACAAGGTGATTTATTCTATGTGATTTATAGTGGAGAGTGTGAAGCGCTCAAAAAAAATGGTAATGAAGAGAAGGTCGTTAAGGATTATTCAGCAGGAGATGCATTCGGAGAATTGGCTCTTATTTATGGAACTCCAAGAGCAGCTACTGTTCGTGCCAAGTCTGACTGTAAATTATATGCTATTGATCGTGTCACATTCCGTCGTATTGTCATGTTAAATACGAAGCGTAAGCGTGAAATGTATGAAGACTTTTTGAAACGTGTTCCAATTTTGGAAACTCTAACTGATTACGAGAGAATGACTGTTGCAGACGCTCTCGTTCAAGAAACATATGATGCAGAAACTGATAAGGGCCGTTATATTATCAGACAAGGTGATCGGGGAGATGCTTTCTACATTATTATTGAGGGTGAAGTTGTCGTTAAGAAGAAAGCAAATCTTTCGGATATTAATGCTCCAGAAGAAGAGTTGACTAGACTTAGCGTTGGTGATTACTTTGGAGAAATTGCCTTACTAACAGACCAAACTCGACAAGCAAGTGTGTGCATTCCTGAGGATGCTACTGAAAATGTCAAGCTTGTGAGACTCAACAGAAAGGACTTTAAGAGCCTGTTGGGTCCTTGTGAGGAAATCTTGAAGAGAAACATGAGACTGTACACTCAATATGTGACTCAAATATAATAATGTCTAACTGACCTACTAATAATAAATAATTCTCAATTAACCCTATAGGAACTTAATGACCAAGAAGAGACGACTTTATAAGTCAAATCAATTTGATGATGATTCAAATCAGAAACTGCAACAATAAGAACTCATTATTGAAGCTTTCGCCAGGATGGAAAATTCGCCTTAATGTGTTCTGAAATTGTAAAATCAAAAGCAACAAGTGGCCAAAGAGGACGTGAAGAGGTGTTTGGCTGGTATTCCGGTCACGCATCCTCATTTGGCCAAGCTGATGATGGCTCCTCATGACTTAAATCCACTGTTTCATCCACAGAAAGTAACTCATCTCGATGTGAGTTTTGGTGCCAAGGGTCCATATGATTGGATATCCAATTTTTTACAGAAAACTTTGAAGCCAATCTTGCATTTGAAAGATCTAGATGCACACCACGATGAAACTTAAACCTATCGAAGATTTTCTTAACACCAATGATTTTGAACAATCATTTGAAGAACTGAATCCTTAAATTGTCACGATCACAAACTAATAAATCTCCTGTTATCTCATTCAAGCAAATACCGCGAGGGAAAGAAAATCCATCATTGGCTGATGATATGATTCCAAACGATTTCACAAATTCACCTTCTAACGTGAAAATTTGAATTCTGCCATTATTACAGTCCGACACTAAAATATTCTTTGTTTTCTTGTCCACCACCAAGGAAAATGGACCGTCCAGCGATCCTTCCTAAACGACCAAAGCGTTTGTAAAAAAAATGTCCGTAAACCATAATGAAAAAGAAGAGTCATCCTCCTCCTCCTCTGTTGCAACTCTCTCACCATGGGTGCTTCATTTTGTTCGCAAGTACGAGATGAAGCCTCACGTGGAAGGTGGATTTTATTCCGAAATTTTTAGACATCCTCTCACCACTTCAGTTGTTTTAAAGGAAAAAGTAGAAAAAGAACCTCCTCTTGTTTCTTCTTCGGGAGGAACTATTCAGAATGCTTCGGAAGATCGTCATCTTTCCACAAGTATTTTTTATTTACTTGCCGCTAATGATTTTTCGTGTTTTCATAAAATTAAAGCATTTGAACAGTGGCATTATTATTGTGGAAATTCATCATTAATTATTCATGTTTTGGATGGAAGGAGTGATGAAAAGAAATATGGAAAATTTATATTGAACAATGATTGCTCGAATCAACCGCAGACAAATTTGGAAACTTCTGTGAGACACCTAAATATGGAAGGAAATTTATTAACTCCTGCTTATGGTCATTGCAAGAATGATGTGAAAGAGATAATGAATTCCAAATATGACACATTTGTTGATATTTCATGCATTGTTCCACCTGACTGTTGGTTTGCTGCAGAAGTATTGAATAAGGAAGAAGATCGATTTGTCATGAGCGGATGTACCTGCAGTTTTGGTTTTGATTTTAAGGTAATTTATTGAAATTTTGAATATTTAACATTTTTTGAAAACTCGAAAATTATTTGTCATCAACACTTTACACCATGATTAGGATTTTGAAACAGGAAAACGTGAACAGTTATTGAGAGAATTTTGTGGGAATGACGTTGCTACGGACGATGAAAACAAACGAGAGTTGACAGCTCTCATCACCCGTCTGACCAGAGAGTAAAACTACAGCCAGCAGTTTGATTATTTCACACCTTTTTCTGGAGCTATAATAATACGTGTCATGTTTTTTGCCTGTGAAAGATCTATTAAACAACAAGTTCTCGAACATGCATTCTGTACAGAATCGCGAATTGATAATTCAGTTGCATCTTGTCCTTGAACTTTAAAATGACACTGAATGGGAACGCGAATGAATTTTAAAGACTCAGGGATTGCAATGTTTATTGTAAATACAACTCAACATTCTACTCTCTGAAGAACACTCAGAAATAGAACGATCATCTTTTCCTTGTCATGCCCAACTTCTTCATGACTCACCGTCAACAAGAATGTGACCACATGACACAGGTCATCATATCAAGAAATTCAAAGTCAACACCAGCCCTGTCAAAACCTACGAACGCAATCACACCATTTGAGAACTCTAAACGAGGTGTGAATGGCGTGTCTGGGTTTTCACAATTAAACCCATTTTCTCAACTCTTTCGATGCATGTTCCTTAATCGGTGTAGAGTTGGCACGATGGATGATACATGATTTGCCAATCGCCAACATGATAACGACCTTCTGGAAGTGAAGCATAAGATCTTGTTTTTTGTTTCTTTTGTTGTTGATTAGAAACCTCTTTGATACGAGAAGGATCTTTCAAAGTTTTTGGATTCACATAACGACTACTCTCCACAATGTCCTTCTTTTTCATGTAACACACATCGGTTCTCAATAAGTACTTGACACCACTCAATACATCATTTCCTTGATGTAACATTTCATGACAAAACACTAAAGCACTTCCACGTTCAGGTTTCACTTGAAAGGTTTCCTTTTTGGAATAGTAATCAAAAAATTGAGTTTCTCCTCCATCCTGGACGGAGTTGAGATAGATCAGCATGGTCAAGAAACTTTGTTCCACATATTGTGCCTTGACAAACTCTTCTTTCTTGTCAGAAATGTCACTTGTCAATTGTGAAAGAATTCTCTTATTGGTTCCATCAAAATGTTTCAAAAAGTGTTGTTTCTTCTCATACTTGTACAATCGAAATTTATCACTCACTGAACACAATTTCCATTCAAGAGCCTTCTCCACATTCGGACACACATCAGCACGATTCACCTCCTCAGGCAATGCCCTCAATCGGAAGGTCAAATCTTGAGGTAAATGTAAAGCAATTCGATCATACAAACGTTCACTCCATTCACGAGAAAAGAGAGTCGACTCGAGAATGATTCTCTGATTGTTACGAACCTCATTGGCATTCACTCCACACCAAACGAGGGAATTCTTATTTCCAGAGCCAGTCGGAGGAACCGATTGGAAAGTGTTGAGACGTTCTCCATGGTGGATCATGTCCAAACATTCTTGTTCGGAGAGAAGATGTTTGAAATAAAAGATTCCTGGAGCGAGTTGAGAAACTTGCATCGGTGAGATGAGGATGGAATGAAAAGGTTGAAAATGTTTTTTTCTTCTTGTTTGAAATTGAAAAAGATATTTATAGAAGTTACTTGAATTCAAGTTGATGATCAAATTTATTACAAAAAAATTGTTGTTCCGAGAGTGTTCGTTGGGCCCAATTAATTGTACAACAGTGTAGAATTTCTTCTTCTCTTACGAAAGGGACCTTACCACCACCACCACCACCTTACCTATGGTCTGTGCCAAAATTATGTTGATGGATCTGGAAATAGTTTCTTCGTTGGAGGACAAGAAGAGGCTATTGTTGGAGGATCATCAAGAGGATGAATTTAATTTTCTTGTACACATACAACATCAATTCCGAGAGAAAATGAGAGAAGGTATCCGACGCACTCCAAGACTGAAAAAAACCATTTCAAAAATTATGGAAATATTCTCAACACATGTTGAAATGTAAAGTTCCGTTGGACGTGAATATTTCGTATCAACATGATTGTATTTTGGTGAGCGATGTGATGAAAAAGAGTATTGAGATTTATGATTTGCAATATAGATCATTCGTGAAGAGTTTGAAATTTGTGAACAAAGATGTTTATGCATGGCATATTTGTGTGGAACATCAACGTTTTGAAAAAGATTCATTAATAGTGGTGTGCTCGGATTGTTCTGTTCACAAGTTTGATTTAAAACAATTAATAATGTTAGAAACTAATGATGATATGCAATCCATGTTAAGTAGTGGACTTGAAAAGTGGAAACTGTTATACTTTAAACCATGTGGAATCGATTCAGATTCCACATTCAAGTATGAAAGCATTGAAAAGCAATGTATTTACATTGGTGACCGTGGTACGGGGATTCGTGTAGTGAATTCATTGAAAGGAAATATTTTACAAACAATTTCAATTTCCTCGTTCGTAAAGAGTGTGAAAGTAATTGCAAATGATGAATTACTGGTCAGTGAGTTTCATCCAAATTTATCTGTGGCAACTTCCAAGCTACTCGTTCTAAAGAATAACCAAGATGAATGGATGCTTGAAAGAACTATTGGAACTCAAGGAACAGGCGAGCAAGAGATATATTTCCCTCATGACTTTGACTTTGATCATGTATCACAAAATATTATCGTAAGCGACACTTGTAATCTTCGAATTCAATTATTTGATTATAGAACTGGTAGGCATGTGGGATGTTTTAAAGATGTTGTGGAAGGTTATACTCACTGTTAAATAACAGACTTTTTGAAGAAATACTTTGAAATGCTGTTATTTTTTATTTGCAAAATTATGAATTACAAATGAACTGAAAGATGGCACAATTCATTGTCAACACATTCTTCTTCACAAGAATTTGGCAAGATTCGAAAGAACTGTATCTAGTACGGTTCCATAAAAAATATTCGTGACATCTGTCATCTCTCACTTGGCCAACCACATGAGTTCGTATTAATGGATCAGTGACCCTCCAATCGTGCACGGATCTGATTTCAAATTCTTTCCTCATCCATCATTATTTGAATATATTCATTTTGAAAATTTATTTTTCTTCATCAAATTCGATATCTTCCATTTCGATTCCGAATCTTTCAACAACATTCAATGAGCAACAACAACGGCCATCGTATGAACACTTCTCTTCAAAACCTCTACGATGACTTTTTCAGAGATATTGATTCGAATTCTCCATTACGGAGAATGATTCCGTCACCCGTTCGAATTTCGGGTCGAAATCATTCCACCACAATGTCATCATCACGATTCTCAGATTATCATTTGAGTGCTCAATTGAGAATTTCTAAATTCAAAACCATGTATGCACAACTACCGTTGGAAATGCATTATCATTTAATGTCTTTTTTGGATGAAGCTTCATTGATGAAAATGGCCATAAGTGGAAAATGTCTGATGGCATTAGTGACATTGTTTATGATTGGCGGAGGTGGAGCTGAAATGTCAAGATTCAAATCAATTTATTCGTATGAACGAACCAATTCAAATGAAATGGAATTTCACAACATTTCGAACAACAGCGGATGTCAAAAATTGAAACATCGAATTTCGAAACGATTCTTGTTGGTCATGTTACATAATTTAAATGATTTGGTTAAAAAAGAAAGCAAAAAAACCATACCTTCTTCAAGTTCGAATATGACCACCACTGTTAGTAGTAGTAATACCATTCGCACAAATTACAGTAGCAATCACTTGAAACAATCACCAAGAGGAAGTCCTGCAAGATTGGAAACTGTGACGTCTTCGAATGATCATCCTGTTGAAAAAAAACCGTCACTGACAAGAGTGAATTCTGACTTTAACATGTACTTGTCAAAGTTTGATTTTTCCAATGATGATGTCATGCACAAGATGCCTTGGATGGAAGAATTTAAAATTCAACCCTTTCTTTATGACTCTAACGCTCTTGATTTACAATATTTGACAAATGACATTCTGCTCGATAGTTCTGCAATGAACACTATGAGGAAAACTCTCATTTCCATTGGCGCTTTCAAGAATATTCAAGCTCTCTATTTAACAATCAATGACACAGTTTCTCTCGATGTTTTGTTTCCCTATTCTGTGAAAAGTTCATCCGGATTCTTTTCTAAATTAATCGGAGGAGGAGGAGGATCATCATCTTCAGAAGTTTCTCCAACAATTGGTGTCACTTCTTCTTCTTCAGATTCAACCTCGACTTCATCCTTTACAACAACAACATCATCAGTGGCCACTCAAGATCCCATCACTCCTTCATTGTGGAGTTTTGAGGATTTACTTCCACGAATTCGAGTACTTCAACTCACTAATTACATTCCAAAGAAAAAGTATGAACTGAATCAATTATTGAAACAAACAGTTTCACTCATGAGTTTAGAGATTGAATTTCCACTTCGATTTTTTGCTCAAATTGATCCTTTAAGGTCAAATGAGCATCTTGTCAAACATTTGACGTATCTTTCCATTGTCAAACCGCCACCATCCTTCATGTCAGAAGTAGATCCATTTCAAGAATTTCCAAAACTCAAAACATTGAATTACATTATTTTACCAGTTGTGGATAATGCTTCCACAAAGTTTGTTCTGATGAATATTTTGGAAGGAAATGTTGCAAGTGTGAGTGGAACGACCTCGAAATTAACTGCAAAACTTTTGGATTCCATTTCATCGTATAACAGTGTGGTTGAGAATTTTGTTCATCGATTGAAAAACTCAAAGCTTGAAAAGATTAATTTTGTACAGAGACCATTCAGTCTTTCTTCGGAAATTACAGAAAAACTTTTTACCTATTTAAGAAAAGCAGGAGAACAGTCACCTATCATTCTATTTCCCATGTTAAAAGAGTTAACAACCAATGACTCGACGTTCGAAGATTTTAAACGATATGGTGATTCATGGAGTTTATTACTTTCAGGAGGACCTTTGACTCACAGATTTCATATTGGAAGTGAAAATAGTTTGGAACTTTTGACCTATATTGTTCTCATGGAACATTTACCCTATGGTCTGATGAAACTTGTCAAACATCATTGCAAGTCCTTAAGAAGAGTAATTTTAGAAGCTCATACTTCATGTGTTCTTGATCATGCTTTGTTGAGTGTGGATTCAGGTCTCGCAAATTTGCAATACTTGAGTATTTCATCATTTACTGTGACAGATATTGTGAGTTTATTGAATCCGTTAATAAGAAGTCCAAAGTTAAGACATGTACAACTCAAAAACATGACGTTCCCACCATTGGAAGATTTAGATAAGAAAGCAATCAAAACTCAATCCTGTCACTCGTCTTTGGAAATGTTGGAAATTTCAAATTCCAGCATTCATATGCATTTTTTAGTTTGTCTAATTTATCCAATGAGAAAGACTCTGAATCATTTAAAGATTTCCAATTGTACAATGAGTGGAACTTCTCTAACCAATAACGAAATTTATCATTTAATTTGCTTAACAGAAGAAGAGACAAGGAAAGATGCATCTGAGTTTACACATGTAGATTTCAACACATTGATTCGATTTTCTTCCATGCATACACTTCATATTGAAAAATCAAGTTTGGAATTTTGTCACAACCTCTTCTCCATATTCGCGTTTCCATGTATTCATTCCGTGATCATTGGACCCGATATGAAACATAAAACGGAAGATCATACATCTCAGAGTGTTGCTGCATTTTCCACATTTATTAAGGGTTCAAGCGCACTTTACAATAACAATTTGAAAAGTACAGAATTGAATGGAAGGAGCACAACTTCTTCATCATCGCCACCGACTCCAACATTGAGATCCAACACTACTTTGATTGATACGTTTTTCATTCCATCTCTAGAAAAATTTTCCATTCTTGATCATCGATCCCAGGATAGCAAGAATGCATCATTTTTCAATATTGATTTACTGCAACAGATTTTCAAGTATCATTCTCATTCATTGACATGTTTGAAATTGAATGCACCTGTAAATATTTCTGCATCGACTTGGAAAGAAGTATTCACACAAAGTGAGAGATTATGTCACAATTTAAAAACACTTCATATTTATTCATACAAATTCTCTAATGAAGAGATTCAGAATTTATTGGAATTTTTAAGACATTTCTACAATCTTACCGATTTATATATTGAATTGGATGGAAAAAATCCAAATAATGAATTCTTTGAACGACTCGAAGAAAAATGCATTAATTTGGAAAATGTTGAAATTCTTGGAAATGGATCAAACGACGTCAGTTATCAAAGTCTGTTAAATTTCGTCATTCAACTCAAAAATTTACAATCCCTCACTTTGCATTTTGAACCAAGAGTCACCAATACCTTCACAGGAGTTTCCTCGATCGAAGATTTGAAAACTGTCTATCGATCACGAATTCACAAAGCACCTCCAAAAATTCTCTTCCAAGAACCAGTTTCAGCTTTGGCTAAATATCAATAGATCAGGAATTTATGGAACAATTCAAAAGTTATGTGTAAAATGTTTTGTTAAACCATGGGTTGTCCACATTAAATGATGGAATTTACGTTCCCTTTTTGGTAGTTGTAAACTTTGGTGAATTTCAAAAAAAATTTTTATTATCCAAAACAAGCCTCCATTCATCATCGACATCATTATGTGTTGTTCATCATCATCATTGTTTTAAAACCACTCCATTGCTGATTATTATAACAAGGACGTACAAAATACATTCCGAATGCAACGAATAATCTCACAGGATGATTCCGATGCGATGGTTGAGCCAGTAACACAGAGAGGAACAGCCGCAACAACAACAACAACATCAGGAACAACACTACCCTATTCTCATCATGAACTACCATTTCTCTCCATCAAAAATCCTTCAGCATCATCAGGCAAATACTTTGAAATTGAATTGGGAGAGGATGATTATATTAATGATATTCATTCTCCAGCCATGTTCAAACCTCCGACACCCATCAGTCCGACCAGTAGTTTTGGCTCTACCAGTGCAAAACAATTATTTAATGGACAAGTGAAGAAACAACAATCCACTACGTTACAGGCAATATTGAATGAATATTGCGACTTGACAATGTCGTCATCCACAGCTTCTTTGGAAGAGGCTTCAGAAGTAGATGATGAAAATTGTAAATATGTGCACGAAATTGCATCCATCAGAGGATTGAGACATCAATTTTATTTGGAACTTGTATTTTGGATTTTAGTAGCGTCAACTGCTGGTTTGTTGCTTATCTGTTGTCGATGGATTAAGTGGATGAGAGCGTATTTAACTTATACTTACAGCAACAATAGAGGAGAATCTTTTGAAAATGCCACAAAAGTAATTATTGAGTCCAAAGATCTTAGAGAGTGGACAATATGTAAAATCAAAAAAGGCTACATTAGAAATTATGACTCTGATCAGCGAGTTTCAATAGAACCTATTAGAATTAGATACTTTTTGTACAGAAATTTAGTATTTATTTATGATCCTGACTTGGATAGTTTTCATAGAGTTCGGTTTAACACTTCCCTTCCATACTCTAAAATTCACAAAATGGCAGAACAAGAGGCAGAAAATGAAAGAGATTTGAGAGAATTATTATTTGGAAAAAATTCAACACAAGTTCCAATGAAATCAATGATACAGATTCTCCTTGACGAAATTTTGCATCCATTTTACCTGTTCCAAATATTAATATTGGTACTTTGGTTTATCGAGAGGTATTATATTTATTGTATTACGATTAGTGTAGTATCCTTAATTGCTGTATTTTTCAGTTTTTGGAGGACGCACGATAATCTGAAAAAGTTGAAAGAAATGACCTCATATCACTGTTATGTGAATCGTCTCACTCAAAGAGCTCCTTCATCATTCAACAGAACTATTTATTCAGAAGACCATACCAAAAAGAATGAAGAAATTGAAACTATGGACTCTTTAGATCTAACTCCAGGAGATATTATTGAAATTACAAATGGTATGGTCATGCCGTGTGACGTGATCTTGTTAGGTGGACAGCTTATTGTCAACGAGTCTAAACTTACCGGTGACAGCATTCCTGTCAAGAAACGTGCATTACCTCGAGTGGATGATATCATTTATGATGCATCCAGGGATTCAACGTATACAGTGTACTCAGGAACCACAGTTCTTTCTTCACAGCCATCACAAAGTGGCCTCTTCGCTAACAAATGTTATGGCATTGTAAGTCAAACTGGCTTCCACACTCAGAAGGGAAAATTAATCCTCTCCATCCTCTACCCAAAGACTGGAGTGTTTAATATTTATAGAGACTCTTTCAAATTTCTTTTTGTGCTGGTATTTTCTGGATTTATTGGAATGTTAGCCACAATTATTACCATGGTTAAAGCAGGACAACCAAGTGGTAATATTATTCTTCATGTTTTAGACATTATCTCCATTACTGTTCCTCCATCATTGCCTATTGCAATGACCACTACCGTGACATTCACAATGAGACGACTCGCCAAACGAAGAATTTTTTGTACCTCTCCTGCACGAGTGAATATTTCTGGTTATGTGAAGATTGTAATTTTTGACAAAACAAACACCTTAACAAGGAGAGACATTGATGTGAATGGAATAATACCATCACAGAAAGGAAGTTTTGAACATTATGTCAAGAAAAAAGATTTCACAACAGCATTTTCGGCTGATCATGCATTACTACGCTGTCTTGCATGTTGCAATGATTTATCTCGTATCAAGACAAATCTTGTTGGAGATCCTCTGGATATTGCTTTATTTCGATCTACTAATTGGGACATACAGGAATATTCTGAAGCAGTAACAAAACATACTTTATTATACCCACATCGAAATATGCAGCAGGAAAAAAACCGAGATGACTCATTTTCTCGAATCATGGTTAATGAATTTAAGAGTAGCCTTCAACGAATGTCCGTAATGGTACGAGACAATACCACTGGGGATGTATGGTGCTTTGTAAAAGGAAGCGCGGAATCCATTAAATCCATTTCCAAGCCCTCTAGCATTCCTGGAGACTTTAACATTGTGCTTCGAAAGTATGCACAAAAAGGATATCGAATTTTGGCTTGTGGAGTTAAGAAAATGAACGAAGAAAGTATTTCCTCGCAAAAGTCTATTTCCCGAGAAGAAATTGAGAGTGATCTAGAATTTGTCGGACTCGCACTTGTGGAAAATAAGGTCAAAAAAGGAGCATTTAAAGCTGTTAAAACGCTTACTGATTGCAACATCAAATGCATAATGGTCACAGGCGATAATCCATACACATCCATCACTATTGGAAAGAAATCTCATATCATTGAAAGTAGAAAAGCAATCTTTCTAAGTGAATTGAAAGAAAATAGTGATAAGACCATTCCACACACCACAAATTATTCACAAAATATTTTTTGGAGAAATGTGGACACGAACCACAAAATTTCAACACAAGAACTTCTCACCATGCAAAACATTGAGCTAGTCATTACAGGAGAAGTATTCGAATATGTCTTAAAAGAACATCGAAAATTTGTGAAAAGCAATCGAAGAGAGCCATACATTAACACGAAAAAACCATCTTTATTGCATGTGATTGTAACTTCATGCAACATATACTCCAGATTTTCACCATACAATAAGAAGATTTTAGTTGAGGAATTACAAAAGATGGGTTATGATGTTGGAATGGTTGGAGATGGATCTAATGATTTGTTTGCTTTACAAACTGCTCACACTGGAATTTCTTTAGCAGACACAGAGACATCCATTGCAGCTCCTTTCACAAGTCTTAAACCGAGAGTCTCTTCGATTGTGACTCTAATTCGTGAAGGAAGAGCAAGTTTATTAACTTTCTTTCAAATATTCAAATTTACTGCACTCTACGCAATTACTAGAATCATTACTGTACAAATATTGTTGCAACGTAATTGCAATCTCAGCAATTTTCAATATTTGTATATTGATTTATTTGTTATTTTACCAACGACACTATTGATGACACGAACAGATGCAAGTTTAGCATTGAAGAGAGAAAAGCCTCCCAATACGCTCATATCTAGATTTATTTTCTTGTCACTTTTAGGACACGTTTTACTAGCTGCTGGATTTTTGTGGATGGTATGGACAGAAATTGAGAAAGAACCTTGGTTTCATGGAACGACAGAAATCAAATTTAAAATCTATAGAGATATTCCTTTGAGATCCTATGAAGCGACGATCATGTTTTTCATTTGCACATTCTGCATTATCAATATTGCTATCTGTATGAGTATTAGTAAGCCATTCAAGTTACCAATTATCACAAACAATTGTAAGTTTCTTTTGAAAATTCATTAGGATATATTCAACAACACTTCCTTTGCATGTCACTCTGAAATAGTTACCTTTACCTTCTTTATTATTGTTCTGTATTTGATGACCGCTTATCTGCTGTTCTTACCCACACAATGGATGAGAAATACTGTGAAATTGATTGCTTTTCCACTCTACTACAAGGTTAGAATCGTCATGTATTCACTGGGACATCTTGCTATTAGCTATTGTTGGGAAATGATGTTAATTGTGAGTCCAACCAGAAGACTCATCAAGAAATTTACACTCCTTAATTTGTTGTTGCTGTGCAATAGAATTCTGAAGGTTCTTAAAATTCCAAGTCCCCTCTTTTTGCTTGTTCTTATTGAAAACGAGCAAACCAAGCTAAAGGTCTACAAACAATTGGCCACTTTTAAAATGGTGTATCAAACATCTCACATGGAAGAATAGTCGTTCACAGTGGATCCAATCAGTAAAGTAATGGTAGTAAGGACTACTACGATTAAAAAGGAAATTATTTACTTCTTTTTTCTTTTAGCCAAACAAGTTTCCTTGTGTTTTGGCCAATGTTCTACCTGACACTTGGAAGAGCAATAGAAAACACTTTGACATGCTGAACATCTCTTGAGGGGATTTGTTTTGGTTCCCGCTTTGTTGCAGTTTGCACACCTGTCCACTCGATTTGTTTTTTCAACTCCCTTTGTTGCTGTTGCTGATGCTGGTGTGCCTTGCTGAAGTTGCTTTTTAAGTTGATTCTTCAACATTTCCATCACGTTCAGCTTTTTTCCATCGACTATAATATCTATTTGTGGCTTTCCTCTTCGAATGAGCTCTGCACCTGTTTGAACGACTTGAGCCAACATGTTATTAAAATTAGTATCATCAACCATCTGAGCATCACTTGAGCCGTTTGGATCAATCTCATCTGGAGCATAATTAATGACACAAATTTTGTATGGTGAATAAAGCTCCACTTCAACCATGACTCTTGGAGGTAAATCATGATGATGTGATCCATGCTCATCTTCCAAACCTCTGACAACTGTGCATCTGTGAGGTTTTGTGTTGGGAAGTACAGATCTACCATTCTCCAACTCTGCTTGATGAGCATCACGTGCCAAATCTACAATGCTGTCACTCTTTTCATCTTTTTGGAAAATACGTGTCACAACCCATGGATGCTCTCTGGAATATTCTGGATGCCACTCGACTGTCACCTCATACTCACCAGGGAAAATGTCGGATAATCTTTCCAAGTGACCAGCCATAACAACAGCAGTTGCTACAAATGATGCCCTTGCACCAGTTTCCAAGTCAATCAAGTCTTCATAATGCATTGATTTCTTTTCACTGTTAGCATAATTAACTTTGTGAATAATTCCTTGCATGACAGTAGCATTCAAACCCTTTTGTGTTTTTGTGAAAGGAATTAACAAATCCACAGCTAATCCAACACGTGGCTTCTTTCCCATATAGAAACATTCAAGGCAACCATAACTCCAATATGCTCCTCCGAAATCTACTTCCATTTTTCGATTTGCCATATCTCTGTGATGAGCAAAGAGTTGTGAAGGAACTCCTGGAGGGCCAATAATTTTTGGTACGTTTGGTCCCAAAATTAATAGTGGATCCTCAGGAGCTTCATTTTCGGTAGCTTTTCCATTGTGTGATTCAATTAATTTGGCAAGCTGTCTAAAGTCTCTCGAGACGTGCAAGCTTATATTTTTCATCATTGGAATGGTACTTTCTGGTGGTACGGTGAGAGCGAATGTGGTGAGTGGTGTTTGTTTTAGCATTCCAATTGCAGTTGCATTCACGTCGGCTCCATACTCTTCAACTAAAATCTTTGCAATTTCCAAAGCACGTGAGAGTACCATGAACATTTTACAAACATAATGAAGTGGTGTCTCTCCAAATAAATTTCCTTGATTCACAAGAGACTGAATGGTCAAATTGCGAGGATTATTTCCTGATTCCAATTTTTTCTTGGCACATTCTAAAAACGTTTTAATCGCTTCGACATGGCCTTCTCTTATTCCCAAAATGAGAGGAGTCATTCCATCGTGCGTAAGAGTTCTTTTATCAAGACGAGCTCCTGCTTCTATTAATTTCTCAACAAGCACAGAATTTCCATTCATCATTGCAAAATGTAATGGTGTAAAATTATCAACAGTTCGATCATTGACATTTCCTGGAGTTAATAACTTAAGAGCCAACTTTGTGTCATTTCTCAAACAGGCCAAAATTAATGGTGAAAAACTCTTTACAATCTTTTTGTTGTTGTGTTCATTTGCGTAGGGCATGATTTGGATATGGTGATGATGATCATGTCCATGATGATGGTGGTGATGATCATGATCATGATCGTGGCTACATCCTTCATGATGATGATGGTGGTAGTGGTGGTGATGGTGATGATGATGTCCGCAATTTTCGTCTTCGTGATGATGCTCATGAGTGCAAGCCTCACCATGCTGGTGTTGGTGTTCATGATGATGTTCATGAGTACAGTGTTCATCGTGTTCGTGATGATGTTCATGCCCACAACTCTCATGATGGTGATGTTCATGATGATCATCATGAGAACATCCCTCATGATGATGTTTTGGATCGGAGGAAGATAAAATGTTTTGTTGATTTTCAGACATTTTTTTTGATCTATTTTGTAAAGTTTCTCTAATCCGATCATCATCTCTTTCTCCAAGAAAAGAACCCAATTAATAATGAAGAGAACGTACGTACATTTCAATGTATTATTATTCATGTCGTAGTAATTGCTGATCATCCAAAAGTCGCAGTTTTATTCACTTAGACGGACACAACTTAGTAAAAGAAAAATAACAACACATGCCATCATCATCCTCCGATCCAAATTCCTCCATTAATTCATCATCATCTCAACAAGAAGAAGAAGAAGAAGAAAAACGAGATCCCAATTCTGAATACATTCCCGATGAAGAATATCAACGAAGGGTGAAAATTGCTTCGTTTTTGAAAGATTACGGAGCCATCCTTTCCGTGCTTATCTCTTTTGCCGTTTATTATTTTGTATTTCGGAGAGGAGGAGGAATTACAACGAGTAGTTTTGTTTCTAATTTATTGAATTCAGCAACCAATCAACAACAACAAGGCTGGGGATCAGAAAAAGTCCTAAGTTTGATGATTTTGAATGCGAGAATTTGGACAGGAGAAAGGCTTGAAAGCGCCAACACGAAGAGAGGAAGTGCACACTCATATGCCAGCACTAGCAACATCAAATGGGCAGAAGCTTTAGCGGTGCACAAGTCTACTGGGAGAATTATTGCAATTGGAAGTAATAGTGATGTGTTGTCAAGGTTTTCTCCATCGATGGCTGAGCATGTGTTAGATTTTAAAAAGAAAAAACATCGTGATGCTACAGGTGAAGAGAATGAAGTAGATGTTCCTTTAATTGTTCCTGGGTTTATTGATGCACATACTCATGTGATTTTGGGAGGAAAAGTAAGTGGTTTGCAAATAATGACAACAAATTTACTGATGTGACATTTTAACATTACACACAATAATGAAACAAAGGCAATTCTTGGAGTACAATTGAGAACTGTTAAAAACAAGCAAGAATTTGTGGATAAAATTAAAGATTTCATGAATACGCACCAATTAAAACCTGGAGAATGGATAACTGGAGCTGAGTGGTCAGAAACAACCTGGGAAATTGAAGGTGATAACAAACTTCCTCACAAAATTTGGATCGACTCATTAACCTCTGAAAATCCAGTATATTTAACACGTATGGATGGACATTCATGTCTGGTGAATTCCAAAGCTTTGGCTTTAGCGGGTATTACTAAAGATACTGTCATTCAAGGAGGATCCATTGACCTAGATCCTCTCACGGGAGAACCTACAGGTATTTTACGAGACAAGGCTCTAGAATTTGTCCAGAAAATTATTCCACCTCTGGATTCTGAAAAAGCTGCCTTAATAGCAATGGAAGAATTTCTTAAAAACGGAATTACATCGGTTCATGATATGGGAGCTGTGTTTAATTTAGGATCATGGGATCAAATTGCGACTTTTACAAAATTGCACCGTGAGAAAAAGTTGAAAGTCAGAATTTATGCGACTGTTGAATTAGAGACACACAAAAAACTCACTGATTACATTCACACAAATTTCAAAAAACCTAAACCCACACATGCTGCTCTTGTGGATGACTTTAAATGCTGCTGGACTGAAAGTCATGGAGGTCGAGCTGGTGACTCTTGGCTGAAAATTGGAGGTTTAAAAGAATTTGTAGATGGCTCTCTTGGTTCAAGAACTGCTTACATGTTCGAACCATTCGAAGGAACGACCAATAATACTGGCCTATTAGTCATTGATCCAGAAATATTCTATCAAAGAGTCAAGGAAGCTGATTCTAACCATCACCAAATAATTGTACATGCCATTGGTGACAAAGCAATTTCCTTACTGTTGGACGTATATGAACGAGTGATTAAGGAGTCCAACGATACCACTCGAGATCGAAGACTACGCATTGAGCATGCACAGCAAATTCGTGAAGAAGATATCGAACGATTTAAAAAACTCAATATAATTGCATCCATGCAACCAATCCATCTTAAAGACGATGCCTTATATGCTGAGAGCGTTATTGGAAAAAGAGCCAAACAACTTTATAATGTCAGAAAATTCCTTGAAAAGGGTGTCACTGTTGTAATGGGCACCGATTGGTATGTTGCGCCACTGGATGTATTAGATAACATTCATGCTGCTGTGACACGAAAGCCATGTCTCTCTCCCACTCATGTCGAGAGAAGAAATGAATCAAAGAATACCAAAGATTGTGCTCCATTCCTTCCGGAAGAAAGGATCTCCATTGAGGAAAGTCTTGTTGCATATACACAAAATTCTGCCTATGCTGCCTTTGCTGAGAAGGAGCAAGGAACATTGAAAAAGGGTTATTTGGGAGATATTACAATTTTAAGTAGAAACATACTGGCTCTCGATGAGAATAATGAGCAAGAGCTTGATTCGATCACAACAAAAACGAAAATCATGATGACCATTGTTGGAGGAAAAATTATGTATGAAAATGATGATCCATCTCTATCGTCGCTCTATATTCACAAACGAGCTTAAAATTGCACCAAAAAACCATTCCGTAAAATGTCATGCAACATTATTTAACTCACATTGGCAATTCAAAGAATTGGCATTTTGATGTATTTGGCAACATCTATTAATGTCATTTGTCAAATCGTTTTTCCTTATTGGCGCTTCAAGAAACTACAAAAAAAAAATACATTCCTTCACCTCCACATCATTCCTATCAAACTCCCTTTACATCGGAAACAAGCCTCTTGTATAAACAATGAATACAATACTCAATAACAGCAACACATCAAATACATCAATGCAAAAACAAACTGAGTTTCAAACGATGCAATTATGTCCTGACATGTCTTCTCCAAATGGAATTTTCCATCGAAGTGAAGACATTTACGAGACGACAACCGACACAGTAATGAACAAATTACGTGACGTATTGACCCTCTCTCCTCATGAAGAAATGAATTGGGAACAAGCTTTCAACGTATGGAATAGTTTACATACTTTGAGTACATCGAAACAATTCCTTCCTGACTTTCCGGAACAAATGGGCACGATTATGAAATATGTGACATTTACTGCTCAAGAATGCTTTAAATTCGAGTCACAATTTGCAGAAAAAGCCTCAACCTTCGATAAGGTAATTACCGAAATGGCAGCCATTTTAAGAAACTGTTCCGAGAATGAAGCTTGTAGAGCAAAGTTACACTCGTATTCTTCCGATATGATGTTCTTTGTTGGAATTGTCATTCGAATCGAACATTTCAATAAGAAACGATCAAACGTACTGAGTCTCTTTGATGAAAATTTCAAATTTAATTGGAGTTTTCCAGAAACAGACGAGACTCACATGTTGACGTCCATATCTTACTGCATCAACAACTTGTGGTTATCAACAGATAAGTCACAAATTGCTCTTTCGGAAAACTATTTTGGAATCATGGCCGATGCATTGTTGCAACTCTTTTGTATCGCTCAAGATCGAAAATCTTTGGAATTATTGCATCAAGTGTTTTCAGTCCTGTATGACACCCTCATCAATAATCCAAACAAGACATGTTCAAAGAAGACAATCGAAGCATTTTCCAAGTTTCTCACGAACAATTCTTTGGTCTTGACTGAGCATTTCACCATGTTCAACAAGAGAATGAGTTTGTTGACATCGTCCGAGTCCAATTAATCTTTGAAAATAGATTTGACATTCATTTCTAATGTGTATCTTTACAAAATTCAACAACACACATCCCTACATAAAGATTAAACATTTTGATCCACAAATGGTCACTCACAGCCTTTACTATTTAATTAAGATTCAATAATGAATGATGATTTTGTCAAAACAAAACAATTCTACAAAACAAAAAAATGTCAAAACGACGTCAACAACAATACCACACAAATTGTGATCACAATGAAGAGCACCATCATCCTCTTCAAATTCATGGACTTTCAGAACTTCCCCTTCACTCTCTCCAAATTATTTTCAATCTTCCCATCCTCACTTCCGTTTTCGGAATTCATGGCATTGTTTTATATCCCTTCATCTTATTTGCTTTACCAAAGGAAAATATGTATCAAGAACTCATTCAACATGAATTTATTCATGCCCGACAAATCAAACGAGATGGGTTTTTCTACTTTTATTTGAGATATGCGTTGGAAGTTGGAAATGGAATTTTACGGAATTGTTATTCAATGTTGAGTACAATGATTATTTCATCATCATCATCATCATGGTTTTCTATATTTGATCAAAAAGAAGAAACAATAACCACTAGTAATAGTACTACTACTGATCGATCTAGATCAACCATCATGATACGGAATAAGATTATTATTGAGGATATTCATCCTAATGAGAAAAACGGATGTTTGGGTTCATTGATCAAAGGCTTGAATCGAATCATGACAAGAGTGAGTTATGAAAAAGAAGCCTATTCATTGGAGCATATTGAGCTCTATGAATCGGAAAAGGCTTATTTGAAGGAACATTTTGATGGATTGAATATGGATGAATTGATGAGTGAGAGTGAGTGGCATTATGAACAACGAATTGGAAGAAAACGTAAAACAACAAAAAAAGAAACAACAAAAGGATGATGATGAATGGGAAGATGTTGATACCAATGAATAATGTACATTGATGATGGACTACCATCATTCATGTTGTGAGGACGACGAAATTGAATTTCTGGTTTGGAAAAGGATGATCATGACCACACAAGTAATATTCCTGGAATGGAAATTTTCTTAATTGCACGATGAATGTTTTAAATTCTTCTCATTTCACAAAAGAAACACTCAACAAAAATCAAAAGAAATGAAAAGATTCCTCTCCATCGTCACTACTCGATCATTACATAATAACAATTACATTTACAACAATAACTCAGTGAAGTACTACTTTTCTACAAGTCTTTTGAATCAAGTCGAAAAGAAGGACATGAAGAGCACTGAAAAGAAGGACATGAACACTGATACCAACCCAATGGACGCTGAAAATCAAAACAAAACTCAAGAAAGAATGAACATTTTCTCCAAACAAAGTGAGAAAGACAAGAAAGCAAACATTCCAGAATCAGAGTTTCCCATTGAGTCACCCATTGAAAGAGATGAAATTCACGTCGAAAAGCTCAATCAAAATACGATCAATCAACTAAAGACCGAACATGGAGGTGAAAAAAGTGCTCCAGGAGTTCAAAAAGGACGAGAAGGAAGTGAAGAACTCCATGTCAATCCATAATTTAACATGCCAGGAACAAGTATGATTGTGGTTGACACCACCTTCTTCAACTATTGGAATGTTCAGTTATTGATTAAAATTGAATTGCAATTTCAAATAAAAACAATAAATTCAACAAAAAAAATGTCTTCCAAGTATTTGATGTCGTGTTCATCAAATGGTTTGATGAGAACAAAAACATCATCATCCACTTGCTCAATGTTATCCGGTGCTCATCATCACCAATGGTATAGCAAAACTCTCGGCGGAAAGAACATTAGTTTTGTTCAATCACCGCTTACATTTTCTTCATTCCGAGGAGGCTCCTCATGTTTCAAGAGTCTTCATCTCAGTACCTCGGAATCCTATCATCTCATCAGATGTTATCATACTTCAAGCTCTATTCACCCAATGATGATGATGGCCAAACGAACTTCAAGTGGTGGTTCCTCCGCTGCTACTGGTGGTAAACGTGGTGCCAAAAATCCATTCCAAGAACAAGCCGAGCAGGGAGAAGAGGCTTTTTTCAACTCTACATTCAATACCACACCGGAAAAAGACCAGCCACAACAACCATCTGTCGATTCTTCTCTTGCGGAAAATACAGAAGCCTATGCCAAAATTTTGCGTAAATTCTTCTTAAAAGTTCACCCGGATTTCTTTCATCAAGATGCTGTGAAACAACAACAAAATAAGGAGTCCTTTTCAAAGTTGAATGAATTGTTGAGTTGGACGAATGAATATATGAAGTTGAGATTGGATGACAAGAATGTATCGGAAGAAGAAAGGGCAGAAATGGAACAACGATTGCATCGACTAGGAAATATTCCAAGTGTTGGAGATAGCTTTGTGTTCTATGTGAGAGAACAATCGAGAAATGTAGAACCTTATAGAATTGAGGTAGTATTTAAATTACCATCAAAGCTTCAATTTAATGGAAAACTTAAAAGTAGATTAATGCTTACTCAACGTTTGGAGGAATTGGTGACCTCTCTACTGGAGAAATCGAAAATTATCACAGAATCTGAAGCCCGTCACAGAAGAGAAACTGCTGTTGAACAATTTAAGCAAATGGAGGAAGAATCTTCTCAAACAGGAAAAAGAATCTTCAGATCTCTCAAAGAAGAACTAAGAATGGCACTACAAAACAATTTACAAGGTTCTATCAATTTAGAAAAAATACGAAGAGGAGAAGAGGATGAAACTGAACAATGGTGGTGGGATAAGGATGTTCCCACTATTGAACATTTAATTACGCACGGAATGATATTCTTCTCAAAACACTTGTCTCCAGAACAAACAATCAAAGCAATGACCACCCTAAAAGATGGGCTTGCTGAGATGCGGTACTTTGAATGGAGCGATATTCCATTAATGATTACAGAAAAGACAGACAAATATGCTGTGAATGATCCTGTTGACGGATTCATTTGCGTTCCATACAACTTTAACACCTATGATTTTACAAAACAAATTTTGGAGAACCAAAAGAATATGAAATTGCTCATTGAAAAACGTGAAATCACAAGAAAAAAGGCCGAAGCTATTCAAAATATTAGAGAAAAATTGATTGAGGAAGTAGGATTATCAGATTTATCCATTTCTCCAAATCTAACGTCAGATCAATTGTACACCTTTATTGAAAATTTTGAAAAGAGATACCTGAGTAATGAAAAGTTAAAATTGGTGCTCAAGGATTTGTGCCTCGTCATTGACAACAAATATACTGCAAGCCCTGATGGTTTTGTTTCTATTCATTGGAACTTTATAGAGCATGGAAGGGACAATTTTATTGAATTCTTGAGAGATTTAGGAGCTCAAAAACTCAAAAGTATCAAGGATATGGGTAAAACTCTTGTAGCAATTCGAAAATCAATTGCAGTTCTTGGAGAAGAAATTATTGGCAAGCTAAAATGTAAAGAATTCAATCTCAACAAGTATTCTGATTTTGAAGAAGCAACGCTGAAGAAGCATCAGCTATTGCCACTCACGAACGAATTCTTGAAGAAGCTGAGAGAATGTTGCTTGTTTTTAGAAAGATTTGATTGGTCCACGTATTCCTTCTTCATGGTGAATACGTTGACAGCACCGAAGGATTTAAAGCTTCCATTCAAACATATTCCTAACGTTCGAACTCAAGCCGATATTGATAATTTAATGAGAAGATTAACGCTGTATGGTGACACTGTTATTGACATGGGTGATCGTGTGGTTTACATTCCTATCAATTTCGACGAAAATCAACTCTTTAAATGCGTTCAAGCGCACTGGAAGGAGGTCAACAAAACAGATCCATCTTCGAAAGAACATTCTGCAGCAGAGAGTGAACTTGACTTTTCCGACGTGGTAGATCCACAAGGTTTCCAAAATTACAGAAATTTGTCAAGCATGCTTGTTGAAAAAGCAGAATTAGTATTGTCCAAAAAACGAGCTGAAAGATACAAAATGTTAGCAGAATTTTTGAATCATCTCGAAGATGCACAGTTATATGGAAAGAGTAAGCAAGTTCTTGAGGCTGCATTATATGATCCTGAAGACAAAAGATTTGTTGAGCTCTATCAAACTTGGTTCAGAATTAAGGATCTTCCTCTCGACGATTTTGAAACAAGTTAAATATATGATTTTTCATGTTTCAATATCTTAGATGTCATTGATGCAATTTTGTTTCTTTGAAAAATATTTCCCAACTGGTGTTCCCTAGCAAACATTCCAATGACATCTAAGATATTGAAACATTCCAAAATAAAAGAAGTGTCTAACTTAAAATCCTCTGAGACGATTTCATTTGCCTTACGATGCTTTTCTGTGTGTCGAAGTGCTGTCAATACCAACTCTCTATCGTTTGTAAGTTCATTATAAGAGCTCATGAGCGAACAATCCTTCTTAATGGCAGAAATGATTGCTTCTCTGTCATTGGTCAACACAAATTTGTAAAAAATGTCTGCAATAGTTCACCATGATGAAAATGATTATCAATTACTGCCATCATGCAGTCTCTGTCATTTTGAAATGTTCTTGGAATTTCATGAAAAGAGCATGGATATCTACTTTTAAGGGCTGTCAAAATAAATTCTTTGTCGTTTCTACCCCATAATTTTGATGCTTGTTTTGAAAACATTACGAGTGGCAAATCCAATCGTTTCAAAAAGTCTTCATCGTTATCTAAATTGTTTTCAAAATCCATGTAAATTCGTGGAATAACTTTTTCAACAATCCTATTAAATTCACCGTCTGGCTTTTCGAGATACACTTCAAGAATGGAATTCATAAATTTACCTTTTTCTTTTAACTTGCGTTGATACCTCTTATGTGCTTGATAATATTCATCTGGTAAGTCAGAGAGCATTTTAAACACTTCTTTCGGTAAACAGAGGTCATATGAAAGACAGTCGTGATACAAATCTTTGAGAAATAGTTGTTGATAAACATGCATCTTGACATCCATGGGAAGCTCATCTCGAATATTCTTTGGTATTAAATCATAGACTTCTGGAGTGAATGTTTCAATCATTTCTTCTTTGATTTTGCCATCCATCATGGATATTGGAGTGTTGAGAATTTGAAGAATAAATTCCTTATCATTTTGTAACTGGGTAGGAAGATGTGAAAATATGCAAGGATTTATCCGAATCATCTCCATGCAGAATGTTCTGTCGTGTTTTAGTCTTTCAGATGCATATTGTATGCAGGTTTAATTGTCACACAGGATAGCATGTCTTACAATTTCCTCGTTGTCACGTAATCTCTCGGAAAGCTGTTTGAACAAACAACGTTTCTCAGAAAGTGCGGTTTTAGATTCATCAAAATCATCAAGATCAAAGATAAAAGAGAATCCATAGTTTTTTTGGAAAATTCCTGACAATTCTTCTTTCCATTCAAATAACATCTCTTTTGGAATGAATTTTAACACTTGTAATCGTGATGCCTTAATGTGCCTCAAGATTTCACGTTTATATGGTCTCCAAAACGCAACAGTTTCACTCAGTTGTTTGTTTTCAGCACATAAATCTGAAATGTCCAACGACCGTCATCCATTCAACTGTTATTGGAAAAAAATTATTTTCAATACATGCCTCCACACATTCACGGTCGTTCATAAATTCTATTTTCATGTTCTCCCACTCGTCGTCAGGTCTTCGTTGTTCAATTTGTTTTATCCATTCTTCCTTTGCTTTTAACCATTTACAGAATCCTTTGCATTGATCTTCAAATTTGGTTTTCAGGAGTCCATGATAGCCATTCAATAAATTCCATAATGTTGAAGAACCATCATCAAACCTCCGAGGTTGAAAATCATGCAAAATAACTGTACCAGATGTACCAGAAGAAGAGGAGTTTTCACTGATTAATTTTGATAATTTTGAGTATTTGTTTCCCGAGGAGGATGAAGAGGATGAGGAGGAGGCATGTATTGAAAGATCATCATCGAGAACACGAGAGAGTCTTCGTTTCATTTTTTTGGCGCCTGAGGCTGCCCGCATATGGCCGAGTGGTTTTTCTGGAACTGTGGCAGCCAACTGGTCCAGCGTCCGAATCCCAGGGGTTGCTGCTGTTATCGTGAGCAGTTTAAACACCTTTACTTCCGGGGTGCCTGCTAGGAAGTCACTACGTATCTTACGTTCGGCTTGTAAATAATGTACATAAAACCATCGAACAACGTTTATCATCGAATAAACCCATCCCTGAATTTTTTTGGCGCCTGAGCCCTTAAAAAATACCGCAAGAGGAACCAACTCCATCAAAACAAGAAAAAGAATACAAGCCAAAGAACAAACCTCGCAAAACAAGAAGGACCACACAAGCTAAAAAACAATCATCCACCGACAAAGCCAAGCAAAAAAGAAAAACAAAGCAAAAGAACAAACTTCACGATCATACTAATCATGGACAAAAAGGCAAGATACTATATTTGTATTATGATGATCAGTGCTATCAACAATTCGATAAGAAACGTGTAATGAATGTAAGAACAAGAAAGAAGCATCTCACCTTATCATTATTAATTGTTGTGACTTAGAACTTTGAAGACAATGCTGGTAATCGATACATATCATTATTAACATATCATATCCATCAACACTATATATACCTATTCATGACCTTTTTACAATAATTGACGACTCAACCTTACAAACCAACGAAACCATATGCATTAACAGACAAAACACTGCTTTATTTTTGCCTTCTGTTTGAATCATGGACTCAACCCATGTTAACAGTTGCTCAACACAAGCATGTAATCTGTTAATATTTGATATATCCTGTTAAAAACATTCGACATTTAGAAGTAGTATCTAAACGAAAATGAAGTCCAATGTTGTTTTATGACAAGTATTGAAGCACCGAAGGGCCAATAAACAATATTTAATTTTTGATGAAATAATTTCATCTATATTAGTGTACTACATACGTGTTGACATCACATAAGTCGTTTCCACATGTTATCATCATATATTTATCGTATATGAGTGAAATTTAACATTTTCGCTGGGACCTTGAATCATTTTTGAACTTGAACGAAAATTTTCCACCCAAAAAATTTTCGTTCAAGCTAAAATTCACTCACCATGTGGAGAGCTTCACCGTTTCATCCTTAGTTGACAATTGATGGAATAAACAACATCTATACATCTTAGTGGTCATGTAGAAGGTGTATTACAAGATTCATCCCATGACCATGACCATGTCTCTCACAATGGCAACTAATCTGAATATTTGCCTCTGTTGTGATCATGGTCATCAATAAGTGTCACAACTCTTACTATACACCCTTTGTGATGTCTACTACATGTATCGTCAATATCAAGTTCAATTTCAAATCATGTTACTGACAGTGTCCCTCTTCCTGGGGTGACAAAATTCGCTGGTGGTATATAGTTGATCAATTATAGGGATGCTCCACGGTCCGAGGAGTGTCTCCCAACCTCTCAAATTTCATTTATATATCATTCATGAGTACTACTATCATTGAGGGATTATGGGGCATGATTGCATGTCTGCATCAATTTTTTTAATATATCAACCTGAGCGCTATGAAATTTACCGTTCCAGCGAAAACGTGAAATTTTTTCTTTCTTGTGAACAACATGTCAGAACAAATAACCGAGCAAGATCCTATCGTTATAGATCCTAAGACAACTAAATATGTTGTTTATTTGATAATTACAAATTTTTGGGATCACTGAATGGGCGATATTCCCAAACCCAAAAACCCAACACTTCATTCAGATCATATCATTGCTGAGTTGTTCATGAGGAGTTTATTGATCCATCATTGATATGTACTTGGTGTCTTCTACAAGCCGATTCTTTGTTTTAACTACCTTCTTACGTTGTACAAACGACATGAATGCAAAACCAATGAAACAGATGACAATTCCGAGGGTCAATCCTCCAATAATGGACCCTATCATTGCTCCGATCAGAGTGTTTTGAGAATACGTGATTTCTTGTGATGGATTGGGCTGATCGGGTACATTCATTCCTTCGTAAATATCCTCTACCCCCATGATATTCTTATTCACCTCTGGCATTCCCTTGAAATCGAAGAACAAATCATTCAAACACGATGTATCTACTGTCTTCACATCTGGATTTTCCATATTCAGAAAGTTGATGAATATTTGCAAAACACAGTCAGGTTTACCCTTCGTTTTTACCGGAGATTTGACCATAGTTCCATGAACAGCAAAGGGAACAGTAATCAAGCGATGTGTATTTCCTCCTATATTCTCATTTTGAGATTGTGCAGACCATAATGGTGTTTGTGGATCTAAGTCTCCATTAATCAACAGTACTTGGACTGTGTTTGTTGAAAATGTCTTGTTGTAATATTCCAAATCTGGATCATATGTCTTCCAATTAGAATTCTTCAGAATATTATACCACTTTAACGTATTACTTCTCAAAATATATTTTGGTTCAGTTTGGATTTGTTGGAGTGTGAGAGACTTATCCCAAAATTCTGAAAAAGCTATATGGTAAAATAGCACATCACTGTTAAGAGGCAGCTCATTCTTGAAGGAAAGCATTGTTTGAATAGAATTATAATATTTTCTCAAATTTTTCAGAACTGGAATATCAACGACCTTATCGCACCGATTCATTCTGTACAGAATTGCTGGAATTAATACTCTAGGATACTGATCCACAAGGAGATCATTCAAAAGAGCAGCCATGATCTCTCTTGGCATTGATTCTACCAGCTCTGGGCATGTGGACTTTGAAGCAGATGATTTTGATGGGTAGACTTGATCCATGACAACATGTAGGAATGAAACTGCATCACCCTTAATTTTACGGCTGCACAAAGAGTCATATTTTTGAACCATCTCAGCATCATGACAATATCTGAGAAATCTCTCTGAAATTTCTTTTGCAACAAAATCCCACGAACTAAAGAGTAATCGTTGAGTGGTAGCTGTTTCCATTGTCGAAACAAATCCATCCATTACAACACCCTTAATGACCTGTTGCATTAAATATTGATCGTACATTTCACAATATCTCAAAAATCTTGATAACCATGCTGTCCCGTATGATACTCCGTACAAGTATACCTCTTGAGGACTTGTTGAAGAAGGCACTCCTTCCACGTTAATTTTACGAATTAACTTGGCCAAATCGATTCCCCCTGCCTTGCTATTAAAGTGTAGGTAAGAGTTATCGTGAGACCAATCTTTGACAAACCCTTGAGCACAATCTGGCCACTCTGAATCAGTAATAGAGTAGCCACCATCACTTCCTGGTGTTTCAGATTGTGATGAAACGCATCCTATTCTTGTGCTTCTACCTACTCCTCTATGCTCTGTGGTGTAAACGTCAAAGTTTCCATTTGTCACTTGTACAATTAAGGGCATGAATGGCTCAATACCTGAAACAATTTAAAGTGAGCATTTCTGAGATTGTAAAATTATGAATTTGTGTACGTACCATCACTTGCAAAACCAGGGCCGCCTGGTAAAAGCCACAATGCTCGTTTAGCATAACCATTTCTGTTTGCTCTCAATCTCTTTACAAATAATTGAATAGTTTTTGTGGATGGGACTGAATTTTCATCCTTCATAGGATCCAAAGCAACTCTTACAAGAGAGCATTCAGCAATGAGTCCTGAATAATTACCTCTATATTGGAGTGGACAAGGTGAGAAAGAAACACTATTTCCGACATTCTGGGAAGATTTCGAAAGATTTTTGACTTTTTGTTTGTTGTTAAACTCCATAATCCATTTGGAAATTTCTTCCATTTCATATTTCCTGACCTTTATAACACTTGATGGATCTCCTTGTGGAACTGTACTTCTTAAATCAAGATGATGAGCACCTCCTTCAATGATCTGCTGCTTAACGCTATCGGGCAGGGAAGAATCAACAAAATGTCTATCATACTCTCCAGCTCGCCATGGATCCAATTGACCATGTGAAAGAAAAATGTCTATACATTGAGGTTGTATTGAATATTATCGTATTTAACCATAATATCGCTAAACTTACTGGAAATAGAACCAATTCCATTCATTCCACCATAGTAAAGGGCTGCCCAGTTTTCACGAAGCTCTATATTCGTAATATTTGGAAATAAAACCTTGCAATAAGCTTTGTGTGAATCTACACTCCACTCTGAAGATAGAAACATTGATTTTGATGCAGAGTTTGACATTGGAAATACCATTTCGGTACAAACTTGATAGTCCCATGCATAATTTCCTAATGAGTCTGAGTTGTAAGGAATGCTATCGAGTTCTGTTGTATCATTCGCCATAGATCTAAAGAAATCAGAACAAGCATTAAGAAGGGCACTCACTTGTTGTTTTTTGTTGATAGAACCTAAATCAATGTGGAACACAGTTTGTGGGTTTCCACCCACATTGTTTGGATAATCTCCACCATTCTTCATCTTGGTGGCCAAGATCTCACAAAAGTTGTTGACAGGATATCCAGGCAGAGGAGCAAAGGTGACAACAGGATAGGGATAATTCACTTGGGCGATGGTTGTTAACAATATTGGTATTAATTTAACAAGGATGTGAGCTTTGTGAGAGTCTTGGATATTTAAAGCTTCTATTTGCGAGAGACCAATCATGGCATCCTTAATAATGGCATCACAAGTTGCAGATGAATAAGTTGAATAGGATGTTGCATTATGGTAAACTTCATTAACAATAGAATAGAATTTGTACGGATCTGCCAAGCCGTTGAATAGCATCAGAGGGGCACTAGCTGCAATAGCTCCATCCACTACATTTGGATATTTCTATGTTCCATGTGTTGGTTTTTGGTTTCAATCATGGTTGTGTACGATGAAAAAACTTACCATTCTCATTCCAAATGACAATATACCACCATAGGAACCACCAAAAACAATGATACTTCTTGTTCTGCTATCATCAATTCCATACAAGCTTTGAAGTAAGGTGGCAAAGTCCGCCAATGCTTGTTCACTGCTTAAATATGACAGTTCTTGTCCAGAAAGAGATCTAATGGCACGGTCATCTCCAATGAAAGGTACAGACTTTCCATAATAGCGATGCTCAATGAACAGGACAGTAGCACCAAACTTGTTGGCAACTTCAAACATGAATCCACTTGAGAATTTGTAGAATTCCTCAATGGATCCTTCATTACCTGTGTACACTAATACAGGGGCGTTCTCATTATGGACGGGATTGAAATAATAATCACTCTTGAGATATCTCATCTGAAAGGTACGATTGTCTGAAAAGTCGAAATGATTCAACTTTTGTGTGAAATAGAATTCCTGGTAAGGAGGTGGATCATCAGTCGTTCCTGTAGTACTTGCGACCACAAATAATAACCCAACTTGGAACAACGCGAAACAGTTCAAGACAATCAAAACGACACGATTGAGAGAGGGTTTGGCGGATTCCATTTTTTTTGCGGAGAAATTGAGGAAATAGGAACCAAAACAATTAGAGGATGATTGGAACTGGCAAGGTCCGCATTGGAAGAGGAAGTCAAGCTTCTCCAGTCAAATCTTGTTTCCAACATGCTTTCGTTGTATATCAAAATTTAAGCCAAAGGGAGGTGGGGAAAACCCAAATTTATCCACAGTGGAGTTAATCCAAACAAAGAATGGCTCCTAGGTACAACAAAGATTACAATTGTTTGTCATGTCCTTGGTTTGAATTAACTCCATCATGTACAATAAGGCATAAGGGAATTTATCAATTGATTACTCGATTGGTATCAACAAAGCTATTTGGGTTTTGTAATTTGGCACAACAAAAAAAATGTCTGAAACTCAATTCACACAAATTCGAATGCGTCGCTTGAAGAATGAATTGGAACTTGAAGCTTGGTTTGATTTCATTCATAACATATTTAAAGAAAAAACAACTCGACAATATTTTGTAAATCATCATTGGAATGATCCGTACTCGGATTTGAGCTCAATTTTGGTGGCAACCATTCCGAAGATGTCCATCAACATTACCTCTCCGACAAGCTCACTCGATTCGGAGGAAATTGTTGCAACTGTAAAAATTTTCCATCGAAAAATTCAAATTAATAATATTTCAAAAAATAATTCAATGATTAGTGAATGTCAATGTGAAGGAATTGGAGAAGTTGGAACACGAGTTGATATGAGAAGAAAAGGTATTTCACATTCACTTCTTACCCTTGTCATTCAACAAATGAAAAATAATTTATTGAGTAATGCTGAATTTGTGATTTCAAGTTTGCATGCTGCTCCGTCTGTGTGCGAAGTATATAGGAAAGTTGGATGGCAAAGCATTCCTATGTATCACTCTACAATACATTTAAGTGTTTCTTGTTTCATGAACGATAGTAATGAATCTCACAAGAAATTCTTGGAATCGATTGCCATTGACAAACTCGATTTTTCTTCCCAGGAAGAAATCCAAGAAGTGATGCAATTATATTCTAAATTTTGTAAAACATATCAATTTCATGGTTGTGAAGTGAGAGGCGAAAACACAGAATATTGGTCTAAATGGGTAGATCACGAATCCACAACTCATCAATGCTCAGCATTAGCTCTCTATTCAAATTCTAATATCACAGCTTATTTAATTATTGGTCCAGATTTAAGCGTTTCAAACTCTGATAAACACGCTCTAAAAGTTAAAGAGTTTGTGTGCAATTCAGATTTCAATTCTGAGAAATGTTGGCTCGCTTTTTCGACCCTTCTTACCCACTATTTGCTGTCATCACTGACATCAGAACAGAAATTGCAAACATCAATCACTCTCCCACATGCACTCCTTTTACAAGTATTCAAAGAATTGTATGAAAGAAAAGAGAGTTCTACAGCAACTATCACCATGGATCTCAAGTTCCAAATCATCATTGATGGCATTAAGGAAAAATCTGTGACAGATATTGGATACATGTACAGAATGATACAACCTGAAGATAACCACTTGTTAAACCAATTGATACACGAAGACAAGCACTTGGTTTGGAAAACAGATGGTTTTTAACAGTGCACTATTTAGGTTGAGTTCCAACTTCTCCCACCATTCAAAAAATATTAAAAATGGTTTTGTGGAATCGTGACATGCCCAACAATCATCATGATTCAAAAGCTTTGAAACCCAAACAAATTCTAATCGTGGATCATCAAACATTTCCGAAACTTTTAACTCGATGCAATCTCGAATCCGTTCGTGGAATCGATCATGTTCACCATCACAACATTCTCATCTTCCTTTTGAACAATTTGTACCTCCCGAAGTGATCTTTCTCATATTCAGTTATCTCGACTTTAGATATTTATTTAAAACAATTCCGTTTGTTTGCTCCGAATGGAGACGTTTGATTATTGAGAGAGTTGACACCCTTCACATTTATCCAAACGTTGAAAACTATTTAGAAGAGTCAGAAAGTTGTACTAATGTTGTCGATAAGAAAAGAATTCAATACAATGAAATGATGGTTGAAAAAGATATAATTCCCTTTATCAAGTACATTACAAAATTTGTCAAATCAAATCACATGAAAATTTCGCACTTGTTTTTGAATGGTGGAATAAGTAATACCTTTAGAAAGAGACAATATGCTGAGCTGATCACGTTTTACAAATTATGTAATGCCTCTAATTCGAAGTTTTCTACTTATGTATTCAAATCACCAAAAGAATCAAATCGTGACGAATTGCTCAATGCCATGAAAAAAGAAGCTGGACAAGAATGTTGTTTCACTAATACATACACTATGCCATATTCTGATACTGTCAATGTTTCAGAATATTGTGTGGGTGGCCTTTCAGAAAATATGATTCTTTTTTCTGATAGTGATACTCCATCTCTAAGTGAATTGATACGAGTGGTGTCACCACATTTGAAAACTCTTGTACTCTCTCATTGTATTTTGAAACAACGATTTTTGAACTCCATATTTGTGAACTTGTGCAACGGTTTGAAAAATTTAGTTTTGGAACATGTCGCAACCTTTGGAGATGTTGATTTAAGCAAACTTCCAGTCGAATACTTGGACAGCACAGAAACTATCTCTGAAAAGTTGGAAAAGAATTGTGAAGTCATGAAAGGCAATTCAGTCATTGATGGTGAAATATTAGGTAATTTAAGAAAAGCATCTATGGAAAGGACGTCTTCTTCTATTTTGAGTCTTTTAGAGTCATTGAAAAATTACCATGGAGAGAAGAAAACAGAATGTTTGGAACTTCGAATTCGATTGGACGAGTATTCATATTTTGACTCGAATTGGTTGGATACAAGTATTGGAATGACTGGAGATCATCTTTACTCACTTATTGACAGTTTCAAAAAGTTGAAATCCTTTACAATTGAATTTGAAACAACACTCGATGAGCTTATTTTTCAAAAAAGAGATTCTCGGTTTTTTCCAACCACAAAGCTTGACCTTCCCTTGCTTGAAGAGTTGAGATTGAAAGGTAGATCATTTCTTTCGAATCATTTTGATGAATTGATTTCAATTCCATCATTGAAGTTGTTATCTTGTCAAGTAACAAGCGGTGAAGATGTTGAACAATTGAAGAAATTGTTGAAAAATTCAGAAAACCTTGAACAATTAGAAATTCAACTAGTGGCTGTGAAGTCTAAGGACTTTGAGATTTCTTTGATCGAAATGGTCACTTCTCTCGTTGTGAACAAGGATCAATTGAAACATTTGATTTTCCGAAATATTTCATTTGAGCATGTAGAATATCTTGTACAGATGATGAAAACGATATCCAATACTGAGAAATTGATCAATTTAGGAGTTCAATTTAAAGGACCATACGAGTTACCTACACAGATGCTTGTCGAACATTTGAGACAGCAAGCTCCCCAAAATATTCGTCTTTGTTCTAAACTCCATGCCACAATTAATTACAAAATCTTCAAAGAGTCTTGAAAAGAAATACAGTCATAACATGGAGGTGCATCAGCACAATGAAACCACTTTGATATCACTTGACCAAATTCTCAACAATAGAAAGAAATTTTCTACGTCCCTCCAAAAAAGTAACTATTTTGTGGCTTGATCGTTAAGAGAGAGAATTTTGGCACTCATTGTCACCTCTATCACACTAAAGGAGATATTAATTATTTGTCAAACTTGGCAACAAAAGTTGATTTAAAGAATTATGAAATGGAATGCTATTCATGCAAAGCGGTCATTTCAAGGAAAGACATGGAAAGCCATTTAAAATCGTCATGCACTAAAGAAAAGGTCAGACTCTTAATGGCACATTATGTAGAAGCAAACAAACAAGAAACACAATAATACAAGAGTGTTATATATAGAGTAATTCTGAAAATGTTTTTAGAATATATCGACTGAGTGTTTGTAAGAGTAAAGCAGTGCACAATTTTATTTCTTAAGTCTCTTTTCATCGAATTTCTTGGTCTCCTCGGCGATAATATTACCTAATGACAATGCAATACCTTGAGTCTTGCTACGAATTCTTACAACTCCTTCGATAGTGCCATCTGTCAATTTTTCTAAAGAAACATTTGCCAAAGCGTCCTCTCCAAAAGAACTTCTTGCATAGAGATTGGCAGACAAGAATTCACATTCACCATCAAGAGCACTATCTGGAGTAAGACAATTCATCTTTGTGATTGTCTTGATGAAAGAGAGATAATCTCTCAAAGGAACATCTGTTGTGAGAGATCTTACAGTAATCTTATTTTCCCATTCAAATTCAAACCACATTGCACGGAATTGGATGTCATTGCATGAAGCAGGGAAAATATAATCCATAATATTAATATGAATGTCATTCAAAATAATACAGAATGATTCTCCCTTGGGGGTATCATAAACAATATTACCAAAGATGATGCCATTATCTGTCGAAGATACCTTAATGTTGGCTGTAATGTGCTGTCTAGCTCCTGCTGCAAGAGTATATGTTTGAGGGCGTTCACACAACTTCAAATCACCAACAGTACTCATTTCAAGAGTCAAATTTTGGAATGTTTGATTTGTAGTATTCACAACTAACACATCCAGCATAATATCAAACTGATGAGTAACAACTTGAGCCTCAGCATAAACAGGATCAGAGAATCCAGTCAATTGAGTGACACGGCTCAATCTGGACATGAGTTTTTCATGATCAGAAGCCATAGAAGCAGATAAATTAGAGGTTGCTCTTGAAATATCAGCTGGATCATCTTCAAAATCAAAGGCGTCAAATGATTTTCCCTTCAATTGAGGAATAACAATGAGAGAATCGCATTGAATTTGTCTCAAATCCTTCTTTTTCTTGAGTCCTTCACGTTCGGTTGCTTCCTTTTCCTTTTCTTCAGTCAAAATTCTAGTAAAAGCAGATCTGTTATCCTTAATATCAACCAAGGATGTTTCTTGTTCATTCTTTGAAGCCAAAATCTTTAAACACAAGTTAATTCTTTCTAAGGTATCTTTGTCCATTTTGATTCCCTTGTGGCTGAGTTCGGCAACTCCTTTGGATGCTTCTTGATTCTTGGAAGAGCCAACATTGGAAGAGCTTAAACCAAGGCGAATGAGAACAGTTAAAATGTTCATAACAACTGCAGTAAATCTGTTCACTTCCTTTTGATCTTTGGATACTTGTCTCAATTTTAATGCCAATTTACACAATGTATTGGCAACAACAGAGACAAGATAGAAGTTTCGATCTTCAATTAAACCTCTCAAAGTATTAGCATTGGCAATACTTGCAGCATTTTGATCAGTGGAAGAAAGAGTATCAGCAAATTGAGTAACATAGGTACCATCTTTTCCAATAGCGCTAGTAGCGGTAGATTTGGTAGTCTTGGTACTCTTCAAACTTCCTGTATCACTCACACTATCATCTACATCATGCTTGTCAACAGGAAGATCAGAGGATGCTTGTAACAAGTCATTAATCTCTGACTTGATTGTTTGAAAAGCAGTTTGAATTTGTTCAACAGTATCACAATAATCGCCTAAAATCCATAAAACAATTCTAAATGTACGTGCGTTGTTAATCGTGGAGAAATTTTCACACAATTTTTCAATAACCCTTGCACGAAATTCAGGTGTGCAAAGTTCAACGACTTCACGAACCAACATTGCACATTCAACTCCACTGGCATCACTTAAATATTGGTCAGCTCCAATTAGAGTGAGAACGGAATTGCTTGTTTGAGTAGGGAACTTTCTTACACAAGTGTGAATAGTACGCATAACATGTCTACGATATTCTTGTTCAGATTGTTTTTCATATTCAACTGTTTCAGATCTAGACTTTTGCAATTCACGTCTCAAAGCAGAAACAACAGCATCTACAGTATGAGATGATATTAATTCCATTGCCATTTCAAGAATCTTCTTTCTGATATCATTATCTAAATTGACAGAGGTTGAGGCAGAAAGTGTACGAAGAAGTTCAAGAACGATTTGTTCTTGTTGCATTACGTCAACGCCAAACTTGTTTTTCAATTCATTCAAACGATCAAGACAAATCAATTTGACGTTACTGTCTGAATGATTTTGCAAAAGTTTGATGAAATTAGTAGCAGCATATTTGACAGATATTGGAGATGATGACAATGCAACCAATGTACAACAACATTGATACACAACAGCACTTGACTTGGATTCCAACAAGCTGCTAATAACCTTCAGATAGGTCGCCTTTTCACTTGGATATTGCTTACACATTTGTTTCAATAAATTAAGAATAGCTAATTGGAATATATCACCTTGTTGTCCAACAGTATTCATCATATTTCTGAGATATCTAACAGCACGCTCTTGGTCGCAATGGAACAACATCACAAAGGCATGACGCATGGCTGAAATTTCAGTTTCGCTCTTCAAAAATTCTTCCATCAACTCTGGAGCATCAGGAATTAAATTTTCACCGTTGGTCTCTTCAGAATTGCTGTAAATTGCAAAGATTGTGGTAACAGCACAACGACGGACATAAGATGTTCTATGCTCCAAGTTTTGAAGAATTGGTGTGATGAGAGGCTCCAACAAATCTGGTTCGCGAACATGAGAGAGAAATCTTAGAGCAAATCCTCTTACGTATTCGTTTGGATGAAGAAGATCATTTCTTACATGAGAGCTATAATATTTGTTGTTGTGATACAGTAATGATGATGAAGAGGAGGATGAACAGCAATACATTCCAAAAATTTAATGGAATATTTAAACCCATGATGATGATTAAATAATAAGTTAAATTTCCCATCCCAACAACAACATACCAGACCATCAAAAGATCGGGACGCATTCTTCCGGTTCCTACTTCTCTTCTGTTCATTGTTTCCAAATAATAATAGGCTAGCTTTTTCAAAATCTTGTTTGGATGAGGCAATACATATTGTATAATGGTCATCAACATGTGAGAGAAATCTTCTCCGTTCAATTGCATCAACAACAAAGTCTTCATTGCTTCAATTCTCTCCTCATCACCCACATTTTGAGGACTTGCTTCGAGAGTTTCCTTCAATTGTTTCTTGGTAATATTGGGTTTCAGATCATAATTTACGAGCATTGTACAATGCTTCTCTTGATTGAGATGGGCTGCACTGGTGGCAGACATTTTTGTGTATTTTTTTTGGAAGAAAATAAATGTCTTGATGATGACGTGCAGTTCGACTTGCATTACCTTATGGTGATTGTCTTCACTGGTGCAAACCTTCATGCAATGAGGGAACCGACAATCTTTGAGCTTCAAAAACAATTTCTTGATTCAAAAAAATGTTTGAAAATTTAGAGGAAGCCTCTTCATCTCCACAATCGTCGGAAGGGAAAAAATCAAATAGTGGAGCCTCTTTGTTTGTTTCGGACTCACCGATGAATTATGATGAAGTTACTCCTTTGAAATCATCACAGGAAGGTATCAAAAGTCCATATCTAATTCGATTAGTATTTGAAGCAAATGATGAACACAACAATGTTTATCATCATCGGAAAGATAGAAATTTACCAATGACAATGGAATATAGTCGTGATATTGGAAAAAGTAATAGTAATGATATAATTTTGAAAATGGATAATTGTTACAAACTTTATGACAACTTAGTGTTTGTAAAACCACACAAAGTTCTTCATAACACCAAAATGAGGCCACGATGGGTCAATAAGACGCTTGTAGAAATTTTGGGATCTGAATTCAAAATGCCTAAAGAAGTAGTGACTGAAATGATTGAAGAGAATGTGATATCTGTGAAGACAGCGAAACCGAATTCAATTTCCTTGTTGCAGTACAAACTTCGTCCGAATGATCAAATTGTGACTGTAGATTGGAAAAATGAAAAACCAGTTCTGTATCCCAGATTCATTAAGGTACTTTATCATGATGACAAATTTTTGGTCATTGATAAGCCAACATCCATTCCTGTTCATCCTGCAGGAAGGTTTGTGAAGAACACTCTTCATCACATTCTTGAAATGGCATACTCTAAAAAACTCTACTTGCTTCATCGATTAGACAAAGTCACAAGTGGCATTCTTATTCATACTTGGAATGCAGAATTAGCAACAATTTATGGAGAAAAATTGAAAGGTGGATCCGTAACAAAATGTTACTTGGGTATGTAGTTGTACGTTCAAGGGTTACTGTGTTATGATTAAATACGATTAAAATATAACACAATGATCTATACACTTTACACAGCTCAAGTGTACGGAGATTTTCCTGAAATAACAACTACAAACACAGTGGATCTAAATGGACAAACGTTCAATGTAGATGATCATGGATTTATCCATGTTAAAAACAAATTGGTTTATCATCAAAATGAATGGACGTTTATTTGGAGAGCAAAGGTTACTGACACCAATGAGAGCCATGAAGAAGAACCCACTAACAGTATAATTGATACAGCATACACGCTTGTAAAACGAATTTATTACAATTCTTCACAACATTCTTCGATTGTGTTGTGTGTTCCTATTACGGGCAGAACTCATCAAATTCGAGAACATTTGAGAGTTATGGGATATCCAATTATTAATGATGTTGGATTTGAGCTCACTAACGAGAAAGCTGAACAATGGGAAAATCCTTGGCCAGAAAAATGGTCAATCATGAAACAATTCAAGGATGACGATGACAAGTGTGCGGAAAGTCTTCTCAAAATGCAGTTTGAAAGACACCACAAACAGTGTTTCAAAGAAGGAGATTTTTTCATTCATCTTCATTCATATTATTATGCATTTCACGATGAAAACCCAGTAGAATTCATTTCGGACCTACCTAATTGGTGTCAAAATTTGGATCCATCTTTTCAACAAAACATCATTATTGATATGTGCAGAAAAATTAATTCAAAGGCTACTATTCAAAAATTCTAAAGATTCAATTGAAAACATCCCAAATACCACGTGCAGATTTTTGATGAATTGCATACGGAACTTCCAAAATTCCTCTTAACATCTTTAAAGCATCAATACCCTTAGAATTTTCACCAAAAGATCAGGGTAAGACTCAAGACAGAAAATGATTGTAACTTACCATCATCATACCAATCATTCCTGCTACCTCTCCAGCTAAACTTTCAAGTGTATATGTAATGATTTCAGCGATCTTATTTTCATTAAGAGTATTATATGCAAAGGATATTACCACCACATTGTCTCGAATATCTGTCAATCGTACTGTTGACAAGGTAGAAGCCTTTTTAATCATGGAAATGCAGCAGTGTAAACCAGAGTTGAGAATGAATTAACATTGATTACTTACCCATACCATTTCAACTCCATCAGGAAACTGTTCTGAAGGCTTTAAATGAATGGTTGAATATTTTGTCAGAACAAAATAATTGTCTACCTCTCGCACTGCAAAATTAGTTTCTGCAAAGACATTTGGTGTCGTTCCTATTTCATGGAAACTCACTTGCAATCCAAATCTGAATATATTGATGTCACATTAATGATTGATTTTACATGATGCAATCTTCAAATCCAATTTTTAATCCGTAGTGCACTACTAACCTTGCATCTCGATCTTGTGGTACTGGAGGAACATTGAAAGCCAAAGAAATGGTTCCTCCATATCCTGTTGCTTGAGCCGATAACGGATTATCTGAATTGTTATTGAAGACATAACAGCTGAAATATTGTCCCTCTTGCTCAATGTGCCTGTACTCGTAAGGCAAGTCCACGTCAATAACACTCCCATTCACAACTATGGTTGCATATAATAAGGTAAGATTGCAATACGCACAATCGTACATGGCGTTCCAATTACAAATAGTCACGGCAGGATAGGCGAGAGGAACCGTTTCTATTAAGGCCAACGATGTTGATGGTGAGACCTGAGCGTCTTGAAATTGTCCTACCGATTTTGTGACATACCAAATACAAAATCCAATGACGATGATCCAAGCAACGAATGTGATGGCTTCCCCGACGGTGAACGAGCATTTCATTGAGCGTTTTGTAACTATAGCTTGGACAGGAATGACATTGGCGTCATATGCTTGATTGAGTTGAGTTTGCGAGTTGACAGTCGGGATGGAACGAGATGAGTCAGAAGAGTTGCCTGATTGCTTATTACTCTCATTCTCTGCTTGTTGGTCTAAAGCGACCACATTATCGAGCTGCTGGTCAAATTCAGCCATTTTTGTAGATGAAATATCCTGACGTCTGGCGCCACGAAAGACAAGGAGATAACACTTTAAATGAATATCTCTCGCGTAGATAATTTACGAAATATATCTTGAAGATTTATTTGAAGTGGCGCCACTTATCCATTAAATTCATCCCAAATTGGACGGAAAGTCTTTTCCATTGCAGCGGTAGGAATTAGGAGAACAGCTCTCACTGCCTTTAAAATATCAATGCCCTATTAAATAATTTGCAAATCAAAGGTAAATAATGTAAATACAAATAACACGTCTTTCATTTCTTGATAACTCACCATTAAAGTGCCAAGCATGCCGGCAATTTCTCCAAAGAGCTGAAGTGGCGTCTTGGAAACTATTTCAGTAATTTCCTTGATATTTAATGTCGTATAGGCAAAAGACACAACGACAGAGGTTGAGCTATTTTGTGTTAATTGAACATTAGAGGCTCGAGAACTCCAGTACACAGAATTCTTGGGAGCTTCTTTCGTTTCCTTCAAACGGTTTGTAATAATTTTTGTCAATGAAAAGAAATTGTCTACAAAGGGAACAGCAAAATTTGTTTCAGCAAAAACTGGAGGAACAGTTCCGATTTCATGAAAAGAAGCTTGCAATCCGAAACGAGAATCTCTATCTTGTGGTGCATGAGGAACATCAAAGTACAAACTCATCGATCCTCCGTACCCAGTTGTACTCACACTCACAGGACTTTCCGTATTGTTATTGAAAACGTAGCATGTAAAGAATTGTCCACTTTGCTCAATAGTTGTCATGGTCATATTGAAAGGGCAATCAATTATCGTTCCATCCGTTGCATTGACCATTGTACAAGCCCGTAACGTTAAAGTGCAATAATCACAATAATAAGCTGCATTCCAATTACAAATTGTCACTGCAGGAAAATGAAGAGGTACTTGTTCGATGAAAGAAACTGATGTGCTGGGATTACTGACAGCATCCTGATACCCTATCGCTTCGATATAAATATAATAAATACAAACTGCTCCACAAACAATCCATCCAACAAGACAAATTATTTCTGAAATTCTCACTCCAGTTTTTCGATGTAAGTAATCACAAGTTGAGTGTTGTGATTCTAAATCTCGATCTCCCTCAAACCCATCACCAATGACTTGGCTCTTGTTTAAATTATTACATTGTGTTTTCTCCGATGGATCATTCATACCATCATTATTGTCTTCAACAGTAGGAACAATTTTCGGCATTCTCTAAGGACCTCTACGCAAGTTTGTCATATGCGTCATAGATGTAACAACAATATAATATCGATTCGAAATTGATCAGACAATGAGGCTATTATTTATCAATTCCCGAGATGATTTCCTTTTTTTCAACTTTTTTCCAGAGAGACTTGAACTCCCGCCAAAATCAAGTTCATTGTAGTTCGTAATCAAATGCCATTCCCATCATCCAAATGGACACAATCATTGCCACCACCACGAGATATCAACAACAGTTTGGCCATTTGTTCTTCGAGTTGTTTCATCATGATGGGCTTATGGACGACAGCATCAAAGCCAAAATTTGGTTTCAGATTCTCTTCATCTTCCCACACGTTGGCGGTCACAGCAACAATTTTGAGATCTTGCACATGGAGCTCACGGATGAGTTTGCAACATTCTTTTCCAGAGAGAAGTGGCATGAATAGATCCATTAAGATGATTTGGAACTCGTGTGGATTCTTTTTGACCATTTCTAATGCATGGAGACCATCTGAAGCTGTCAGTACAGAAAAACCAAGAAGTGTCATCATCCTTGACAATACTTTTCGATTCACTTCATTATCATCCACTACGAGAACCTTAATGTTTAGAGAGGAAAAGGAGCCATTCAGAGCACTTGAGCGTGGTGTCAAAACTTGATCCGAGGAATGGTTTGAAATGTTGGCGTTTGGGTCATTTAAAGCTGAATGGAGTGCTTCAATAAAATTTCGAAGTTTGATTGGTCGTGTCAAATGACGATTTAACTTGTTTGCAGATAATGTTAAATGTCCTCGTTCTGAAAGTGGTATAAAAATATTTGTTTCTGTCTTTGTCAAGACATGTAAGGCATTGTCATTGAGTGATTCAAATTCTTGAGGATAAATGACGAGAGTATTTCGTAAGGAATGGACAGAATTAGGTAGATAATTACTTAGAATACCCTTAAAATCATTGTCGTTTGAAAATACCTGTGTTGCACAGTTGGGAAAGAGTTGCTTGCAATATTCATTCAGTACATCTCTAATATTTTGATGAGAGTCATAAATGATGACTTGATGGAGAGGAAATTTCCATGTTGTGACGTCTTTGAGTGCTTCAATTTGGTTTTGCACATCCTTACACTCACAGCCATAGTTACATTTAACAACTGGTATGTACACAGTTATGGTAGTGCCTTTTCCAATCGTACTTTTCATATTCATTTGTCCCTTCATTAGATCAATGATATTCTTTGAAATGTTTAGCCCAAGTCCATTGCTGTCATTGAATGTAGAATTAGCCTGTAAATTACATTGCTTAAAATAATGATCAAACTCTTGAGAGCAATGATTGGAAAATGAATGGTAGGTGTTGAAATTGCTAACATTTTTCATTCCTACACCTGTGTCAATGCATTCAAATTTTAAAATTATAATATCCTTCAATGTGAGATTCTCAAATCCTGAAATCGAGAACTTTTCATCCTCATGCTTTCCTTTGAACGGGAAGTCTGGTTCGTTCCTATCACAAATATCGCATTTGAGAGTAACAAATCCTGTTGTTGTATACTTCACTGCGTTTGAAACTAAATTCATCAAAATCTGTGATATCTTAACATTATCTCCATTCACGTAAAAGGGAACTTTTGAAAAGTTGAACCATGACTGAATGGAAAGGCCTTTTCTATTTGCAATTGAAAAGAATACCGAAATAATGGATTCAATCGATTCAAAAACGTTAAATGGTTGATAGTTTAGCTTGATGTTTCCCAATTCCAAGTTGGTGACCTGAAGAGAGTTTGAAAATAAGTTCAACAGCATTTGAGAGCCATTGATAATGTCCTCTATTAATTCCAAGTTCGACATGTTTGATTGAATGATATGTTCCTTATTTTTTTCAATGTCTGAATTCGCCATTTCAACAATCTTCTCAGTTTCCATTTTCAGCAAGTCTGTGTTGTTAATAATGCCATGAAGTGGATTTCTCATCTCATGGCTCAAATTTCCAATGAATTTAGACTTGGAATAATTCAATGCTTTTTGTACCTGCACTTGGTACTTATATTTTACATTTGCTTCAAATTGCACTTCTATGACGTGTGAAAAAATCAGGCAAGACAAGGTGAGTATTATCTCTATCAACACAATGTCGAAAATGTTACTACAAAGTGAAAAGTGGGATGGATGATATCCTCTGATAAAAGGTGTCTGTTTTTCTACATGAGTTTGAGTCAAGAAAACTCCGTGCGTCACAACATGAAGGGTTGTATAATTTACAATAACTTGTCCAGTCACAGAGCTTGCAATAAGGGACAAAGTATGCACGATAACCATCCATCTCTTATTGTAATAAGTGTTGGCAAATCCAAAAAGTGAGTAATAGTACAATAAATAATAGGGAACTTGTGAGCCTAAATATGTTTGTGTCAACATTCTCACCGCGCTCAGTATTGCAAATCGACACCAGTTAATAATATCTCGTTGCACTAAGGATGAAATTGTGATCAAGTATCTTGTCATAAAAGCATTAATAAGAACATCTATAATCACCATAACAAAATAATTCATCCTAACAACACTCTCATCCACATATGCCAACATGAGAATGATATGAATTGACAGGAATAAACCAAAAAAGTAAAATCGTTTGTCGATCACTGCCTGGTGTATCAGTTGCAGCTTTTCATCTCCTTCCTCATGGTGCTGATGAATTAAAAACTCATCCATTTCCTCCGACAAACTGTCTTTCTGATTCATTCTCATCATCTTCCAAATGGATTCAAAAAGTGGTCAATCAACAATAGGATAATTGAATCAAAGACTCAACACGATGAGAGTCCTTTGATGAAGTCTCTTTCAGCAAATAGTATTATTTCTATTCCAAAAGAACTGTTGGATGATTAAATCTGAATCATCGGATTCAGAGACTGTAAAGAGTTTTCAACTGAAGTGAGAGAACAACTTTTGGTTTTTTTTGAAGAAGAGAATGATAGGAACAGATCTTGATGTGTTCTTCAATCCTCATCATATCTCTTTCAAGTGATCATATGAACGCTTCAATAGAAGTACTAAATATGAATTGATGATTCAATTATTTCATAACATCTCTGTTTCCGAAAGGTTCCTGCCCGGCAAGAATAATCATGTTGGTTGGTTCATTCCGATCATGATGATGATGAAAGGCTTTTATTTTAAAATATTTAAAAAAATATATATTTTAAAAAATTCACCTATTGTGATGATGACTCTCGGAGAGTCTTCTTCTTCTTCTTTGGATAGGAAACAACGAGCGGAGGAAGACAAACACACCAATAATCATCCACAAGTGGTACAACATTCATCATCATTATTGTGGATGAATCGGAGAGAGTCTATAAATATAGATTTCATGAGTCCGAAAATTGAATTATGTCATGTACAACAAGACTCTCCCGAATATTCTCTGTATCGGAAATGTGGTAGAATCATCATTGCGAAACAAGATATTGATGCTGGAGAAATTTTACTAATTGAAAAAGCCTATGCAAGTGTTTTGCATCAATCTGATATTCATTTTAATTCGCACCGGTTTTGTGTGGTTTGCCAAAAAAAGAAGCGAAATGATGATCTTGTGATAAATGCAACACATCATGATGCGTTTGAAAATTCTATCAATGAGGATAAAAATTGTAAAAATTATCGTCACAATCATTTTCGAAAGAGTAGGAGGAAAATTATAGATGAAAATTTGAAAGATGACAGCACAGACGATGAGAGAGATTGGATGATTTGTGACGATATTAATTGTGAAATTTTAAGAAAGAAAATATATCGAGAAAATGAAGTGGTTGACAATGAAAATCATTTACTAAATTACGGTGACGACAATTGTGATGGATGTGTGTATTGTTTTCTGACACGGATTGCAGAGGAATGCGGCGTTGAATTTTCTCTATTACTCCTCGTGTATAGAATTTGCAGAAAAATTGAATTCGACTCCAATGACGAGAATTGTCACAGCAATCTCTACGATAGAGCCAAAATGGAAAATCTCATGTCTCTTCAAACACACAAGGATGAAATTTATCCTGAACATTTATTTCTATTCCGAAAAACCTCTGAAAGGTTAAAAGAAACTCTGTTCAAAAATAACGAATTGATTGATACAGAATTACTTATTGATACCTTTTGTAGAATATTTGTCAATGCACACAGCATTACTCATACGAGATGGTGGTGGAACTCTTCAACCATGATCACCAAAAATTCCACAACCAATTCCTCTCTCAACATTAACAATTTCTTCACTCAACATATTCATGCACCCAACACTGTATATTCCCCATTTTTTATTCCAAAGTCACATTCAGATCGAGAAGATCATACTGAAAATAGTTGCGCCGATTTTAGAGATATTGGAACTGGATTATTTCCCATGGTCTCCATGTTTGATCACTCTTGCTCGCCAAATTGCTCATTTCAAACCTTTGATGACTTGAAATCTAACATGTCCTATTCTGGAAACGTTATTTATGTACAAACTGTTAAAAAAGTGAAAAAGGGAGAAGAGCTCTGTATTAGCTACATTGATATTATGAATCCAACTAGTATTCGAAGAAGAGAGTTGTGGTACTCTAAATATTTTGTTTGTAAATGTTCGAGATGTATGAGTGACACGGAAGAAGAGCGATACGTGAGAGCCTACAAGTACCACCATTCAACAACACGTGCTGTAAAAGAATTCGAGACCTCATTGACATCTGATGTCATGTCTCAAGTTCAATGTGATGGCTATCTCGTTCCTGTTTATCAATGCAACACGCTAGGTGGAGAAATGAAAGCAGATATTCGAGAATTTCAACCAAAAAATAATGTGAATTCAGAAACTGACTTTAATATTGAACATTTTGACGAAGAAGATTACGATAAGGCACTTGCCATGTTTGAAGATATTTATGAAAATCCTCCATACGAAGAAAATTCAGAATTGGAGAGCACACAAAGCAGCACATTTCATCATGATCAACGAGAAATTGATGAAGAATTTATTCAAAAAGTGTCGTATTGGAAATGTTCGAAATGTGACTGTAAAATTGATGGCTCTTCTCAGAAGGGTGAAGCATTTGTTGAGTTTGAGAGAAATCTTAATCAAGACATTTTGTTATTGGATAAAAAAATTTCTGAGGATAATCTTCCAGTGCAGAATTTGCCAAAGAGTGAGTTGTGTGAAATTATTTTGGGTGTTATTTGGGAATTGGAGAGTTTAATTCAATTATTGACATTCAAGGAGGAAGAAGAATTAAGAAATTGCACAAATGTCAAATCCAATTTTCTTCAAGACCATTCGAAAGAAAACACACAAAATCATTGTGATCAACGAATATGGCCCCACTCCAACCACTACCTTCTCTTCCAACTGAAAGGAAAATATATTTCCATGCTGATAAAATTGTTCGAAAAAGGATGCTTGTTGCATGAAGAAGACAAAGAAGCAACAAAGCTTTCAGAGAAGCATGTTCACATGATTCGGACAGGCTATAACTATCTCTCTGACATGATGCACAGTGTCAAGAGTGTATTTCCAACCTATCATACAGAAATCATGCTCTTTTACTGCAAAATGCTGAAATATTTGATATGGATGAAAGAGAATGACCTAGTTTCTCCCACCACGGATACAACTTCGAGAGGAGAAGAGATGAATGAGCAATACCTTCTCAGAGCTCTCACCGACCAATACAACGTGATTGTCAAGTAGCATGGGCGGCAACAAATAAATCTCGCATGATCGTCATAGAGCGAGAGTCCACCAAAAACAACAAGCAGAGTTGATATATTTGAAGATTTATTGTGGGTGAAGGAATTTAGATAGCCTTTTTCTTGGCACCAAGTTCAAAGTGCTTACATCTCTTCAAACCTCTTTGGTTGATTCTCTTGCATTCCTTACATTGCAATCTAAGCACAATCTTCTTTGTTGTCTTGGCCTTCTTGTGGAAAATAGGCTTGGTTTGACCACCATAACCCTTTTGCTTACGATCGTAACGTCTCTTACCTTGGGCCCAGAGGGAAGCTTTACCAGCCTTGTATTGGGTGACCTTGTGTTCCTTGTGTGATTCACACTTTTGGCAGTATGCCTTCAACAATTTTGGGAAGTTCACCATTTTTCAATATGGCACTGTTGTATTGATGATCACAATATAATGATAATGATGATAGGAGTGGGAGGTGTTGCATCAAAGTAGAAATATTTCGCTGGAAATAAAATGATGATATACGTACGTTGGTGGTTGTGGAATATTTTTTTCGACGAAATTTTTTTCAAAACTTGGTCAACCCAATAAAATAGTTTACAATAAAAAACATTCCCTGCGAAAACAAAGACATGTCAGCTCCATCATCATACTCACAGTTGAATCTTTGATTTTGATTTTCACCTTCAACCTGAACAGGTATTCAAAGAGTGTATACAGTCAAAGTGTACAGTCTATGGTCTTTTGTTTAGTCATCATCATCATGAATCGGAAAGAATTTCAATATCGAACAGGTTCAACACAAAATGATTTGTCTTTTCGTTTAATTAAATCTTTGAAAAGCTTTTGATTGGAAAACTTGATGAATTGGAAAAGCTGGCCGATAAATCCTTCTTCTTTTTCGATGATAGAGTTAAACTATTCACAAATGTGTTGTCCGAGTCCTTGGCGATGTCTTCCTTCTTTGAGTCGTGATGCTTCGATGGTGAATTCGAGGAGAGAATTTTCTCTTTCACATACTTTTGCATTTCTGTTGAGAAGGGCTCTGGAGGAGTGGAACTACCACTACTCATGTAGGACGAGTTGTAAACAAAGGAATCCTCACCACCCAAGTCAGCGTTCACATCGTTCAAGAGACCAAATGAATCATTTAAATGTGAAGCATGACGTTGCAGGAATGAGTCTGTGGTGTCGTGATGATGATGGTGATGGCTGTGGTGTTCACGAATATTCATGCTACTGCTGCTTGCTCTTGAAGAGGCGGAAGAAGATTTGGTGGGACCGCTCATGATGTGGTCTTTGGAAGCAAGTCCATTGGTTGCAGCCTTGGATGGTGATGACCTTCCTCTCAGAGAATAAATATTATGAGCAGAATGACTGTTGTTGGTTGTAGCCACTTCATTGGTAGCAGTAGTGGTGGATATGAAATTGGAGGAGGACTTGCTCACCACTTGTGGAGAGGCCTTTGATTGCATCGTTCCTAATGAGGGGACGGAATGGGTCGATTGTGAGAGTCCTGAACTCATTGAATTTTGAGCACCATTACTTGTTGTCGATACGTTCACTTTTGTCAGCGCTGAAGTGGAGAGATTTTTTGCCTTATTCAATGACGAAGAAGTTGGAATTGTTGGTGACTGGGAGGTCACATTTGGATTCAAATATCGTCCATGACTCGAACTATTGATAGAGCTATTATTCAATGCACCTCCACTGACATTACTAATGGATGAAACGTTGTGTTGGAAATTGATACTACTGTTCGTACTGGTATTCAGAGCTCCCATATTGCTGGCCGTTGTGGATCGAATGGAGGTTGTTGATTTGTCTAATTGAAAGTCTTTTGAGGACAATGAATTCTTGGAAGGCGTTGGTACAGGAGAATATAGTTCATTGGTGACATGATTGTGGTAATTATTATCAGGGTGTGGATCTTGTTGACTGACATTGTTCGTTGTGACAGTACTTCCATTCACCATCATGCTATTACTTGGAAAATTGTGCGTGTTGACACTATTATTTGAGTTACTACTAGGGGAACTAGATGAGTGATATTTTGTGGAAGGAGGAGAGTATGGCTGATTTGCTTGTGAAGTCATGCTCTTCCACGTGGATGATGTTGTGACATTACTTGGACGAACAGTATTGCTACTAGCACTACTAATACTCGAAATATTTGAATTAATTGAGGATCTATCGAGAGGATTTGTATGAGAGCTCGTTGTAGGCATTTGGTGTTGATTTGATGAGTTGGTAACATACTGAGCCATTTCAGTCGTGACTGGACTCTTCTTTCCGCTATGAGGGACCATTTCACGTTGAATGCTAGGTGTGTGACACATTTGAAAAGATTCCAATTTTTGATTCATTTCCTCCATTTGTTTAAGAATTAGCGAAATTGTTTCTCCTTGTGATTGAATGATTTGTTTCAACTCCCGAGTTTCTGTCATGATCTGTTCTTGAAACTTGGAATCTTTTTCAAAAAATATTGAGGAAGCCTCAGTGACAAAAGATTCATTTGATTGCCCAACGTCTGCATGATGACCATCTCCATTTGTTGGAAACATGCCATTTGGATGAATGAAGGGAAACCCAGATCGATAAGGGTTGTTCTTGATTGCTTCTTTCATTGATTCTGCATCTGTTTGGCTTATTCCATATGGAGAAAAGAAGGGAGGATAGAATGGAATAAATTGGAAAGGATTATGATACATTGGAAAGGTGGTTGGTTGTGGTTCTTGCGGTGTTTTTGCAGAGGGTGGTGTCTTTCGTTGTTGCTTCTTTTGGGAACTAGAAGAGGGAGTTTTAGCACTAGGTTGAGGTTGTTGGGAATGCGGTACACTTTCAAAGGCATGAGAAGTAGCGATTTTTGGAGGAGTTGGTTTTTTGATCATTTTGTTGTTGTTCAACTCTCTCTCTTCATCGCTGTCTTCCGATGGATTGTAGAAGTGTTTCATGATGCTTTCTCCATTCCTGGCTGATGTCGTGGAGTTTGTTGAGGGTTCTTGATGGTTGTGAGTGGTGCTGGTCGTATTTGTTGCGGTGATCATGGTTCTTCTCTTACTATTCGATAAGGATGTAGTATTTCGATTGTCATTACTATTGGAATAGCGGTGAGAATGTGGTTGTTGTTGCTGCATATCATGATAATTGTCTTCTGGTGCATTCATGTCATACTCTTCCAAAGTCGATGAGTCCTTGTTCGTGGTGATGATGATGATTTGGATGTTGTTGAGAGTGGTCCACGAGGATGCTACCATCTTCTCCGAACAAGATATTTTCTCCATCATGATTGACTGCTGTAGAGTCATCGTTGAAATACGAAGAAAGGCTATGAGAACTGTTGTGATGATTCTGTTTCGTTCGGGAAGACATTTCGAACGTATGTTGTTTTGTTATTTTTTTTTGTAATTGATCGGCGCCAAAATTTTGCACTTTTTCGAATAAGGTGCCAATTTTTTACAATTTACATGCAAACCGCTTTTTTCAAATAACTCATCAATATTCGGTAATAAGTAATCATCATCATTGCGATATCAATTTATTTGGTCAAAGCCTTAGCTCGTTCAAAGAGCGAATCCATCACACCATTCAAATTTGAAATTGTTTCCAAAGCAGATGGATAGCATTGATCCTTCTTGGTTTCTTCATATACAATAATACAGTCATTTCCTTGATCGAGAATACCATTTAGCTTGGTATCGAGAATCATTTGAGAGAGCTTTCTCTCCACTTGAGTACGTGGAAGATCAATCAATTTTGCAACGTGTGAAATTTGTACACGAGAGAATGGTTCAATAATTCTCAAAAGATGTTGTTCCAACAGATTGTCATACAACTCGGAAAGGTGAGCATTGATGATTGGATCTCTCTTCAATTCAACTTCATATTCAATGAGAGCTCTTTCAAAGGCATGGAGAGATCTTTCTTGATAGGCAGAAGAAACAGCCTTCATGGATTCCACTTCTCTGCCCGTGTAGTTGAGAGCAGTCTTTGAGCTGAGTAGAGTTTGAATATCGTCCATCTAAAGAGGGATGATTGTAATAGTTCATTTGAAATGGCAAAATAATTCATCATCATCACCATAACAATGATGTGTCATGAAATGTTGTTCATCACAACTGAAAACTTACGCTATTGGTACAGACTTTACAAAGCAACATGTACTTGAGACACATGATTGCAGTGTTGTCTTCAAGATTGCTGAAACCTTCGAATGCTTCAAAGAAATATGAGAAAGCTGTCTTGTAGTCCTTCTCTTCGGCATGCAACACACCAGATTGCATGTCAATATCTGCTTGAAGAAGTGGAGGACAATAAATAGCATTGGCATCAGTTCTTGCAGCTGTGAGAGCAGCTCTTGCCTTGGAAAGATTTCTCAATGAGTGATAAACCTTACTTTCGAGCAACTATATTTTGTCCAACAACGTGAATAAATATTAGAGACAAATAAATAACAAGTCCACAATTACCCGAATTATAAAAGTGTTGAAGTCACATATAATTTGTTACCAGAAGTGATGTTTGAAAATTCAATGGTGAACAGTATCCAAAAGTCAGATCACACATATAATTTTAAAAAATTATCAACCATTAATCCATCCATAATTTCACATAAATAAACGTACGTGAATTTCAACAAGGAGAGCCTTATCATCCAACTTTCTCACTTCTCTCAATAATCTTGTTATTATATTAAGTGCTTCAGCAAATTCTTTCTTTTGGAAATACAATGTTGCCAATCGTGATTCAATACGTTGACGTAAGAAACTTCTTTTTTCTGATGTTGCCCACTCAATAGACTCCTTACAAATATCAATTTGAACGGCATCACTTCCTTTAATAGTTCCAACTAATTCAATCAAAGTTCTCACAATCTTTGCAGTTTTTGCTTTTGGTAAATCTTGGAAGAATGGTCGAATTGACTTGTTTAATTCTACAATAGCATTGGCATCACTGTTTGATCAAACATTTACAAATATTGATTTGTAATAACATAAAAGGTCGGTTAAGCTGATTATGACTTGCACATACCCTCTAGCAGCATAGATTTTGCCGAGATTATAAATGGCCTCTTCCTTCTTCTTGATGATGATGTCATTCTTCTTGGTCACTACAATTTTTCAAATTTAAGAGATATTAACAAGTGTGTATAGACCAATCATTCATTTGATTCAATACAAAAGTGAAACAAAGAATACACATCAATCCCAAACATCCATCCGATCCGATCAAACATAATACAACTCAACTACATACTCGAACCATTAACAATTTCAGTAAACAACTTGATGGCTTCATCCGTATGTTGCTTTTCATACTCCTTGTTTGCCCTATCAAATAAATTGCTGTAAGACAATGCTTCTTGATCGAGAGGAACTTGGCTCATTTTTTTTTTTAATTTTTTTGTTTCAAACACGATAAAAATAGGTTGGCATTTCCTCTTGCTGTTTTGGGGAGAGGTTTTGAGGGAAGAGTATTAAGGTCAAGTAACTTCATGATGATGTTTTGAATGGTTGAATTGTTAATTGTAAAACCAACTCTGTTGATAGGTCATACTGCTACGCAGAACTTTTTTCAGAAACAAAAATGAAGCAAGTTAATTCTACAATAGCATTACCGAATTGATGTGCCAGAAGTGTCATCACGAAAGCAACGATGGATGGAATTTTTGAGATATTGAAAGCAGAGGTTATTTCAATGACATTCAGAGAGAAAGAGCATGCAGCTGAGCCACACATGAACCATTAAAGAAGATCACAACGCTGCGGCAGCAACTGAAAGACTTTCGTGCTGATTGTCATGTACCAATGTTGATGATGACGACGATTGGCCGCTGATGAAAAAAGTTTACTATCGCTCCAAACTCGGAACCATACTACTAACGAATTTCTTGTTGAAGCGTGGCCATTTTGTAAACTAAAGCTCAGGGATAAAACCTTGTTTTGCCCAAATATGGAGATTTTTAGAGCATCCATTCTGAATCCAAACACAAAAAAAATCCTCTCTGCTCATACTTGTTCCCTCTCCGAATCAACAACAACAACAACGAGGACTATCGATTCTTCTGTTTCTGTTGTTATCGAAATACACAATCTTCACAATCACCACTGGAAGGAACCCTCTCATCACCGACAAATCATTCCCATTACTGATTCACTCATTCTCTCTTTTCAATATTATTATTCATACTTCAATGAGCTCCAAATATCGTTCTCTGTTGATCACCCTCCCCCACAAGGTCGGATCTCTCAAATCCAATCTCGACATTTTCTCCAAATATAAAATCAACTTGACAAAGATTGAATCCAAGCCTTCCAAACTATCCACTCGGACCTTTGATTTTCATGTCGATATTGAAGAGAATGTCAATAAGGAACATTTAGAGAAAGCCATTAAGGAAATTCTCGATCAATCATTGGCAGAAAATATCAAATTTTTAGGAAGTGACAAACGTCCATGGTTTCCACGAAAGATTTCTCACATAGATTACTTTACCAGGTAAGTGATCAAGTTTCTTCTTATCCATGGAAGAGAAAAGATTTCATTCCAATGTACCTTAATGACTTTGGATGATCAAAAGACAAACTTTGGAAGCTGGAGGAGAGTTACAATCGGATCATCCCGGATTTCACGATAAGGAATATAGAGATCGAAGAAAAATGATTGCAGAAATTGCCATGAATTACAAGCATGGAGAACCCATTCCAAAAATCAAATATTCCAACTCTGAGAATGCTACTTGGAGAGTCGTCTATGAAAAATTGACAAGTCTCTATCCAAAATATGCTTGTTCTCAGTATAATTATCTTTTCCCTCTGTTTGAACAAAATTGTGGATTCCGACCACACAACATTCCACAGCTTCAAGATGTGAATGATTTTTTGGTGGAAGTGACAGGTTTTCGATATAGACCTGTTGCTGGCTTACTCACTGCGAGAGACTTTTTGAATGGTCTGGCCTTTAGAGTGTTTCATAGCACTCAATACATTCGTCATCATAGTGCTCCATTTTACACACCGGAGCCAGATGTAGTTCATGAGTTGTTGGGACATTCGATCATGTTGGCAGATCCTGATTTTGCAGATTTTAGTCAGCAAATTGGATTGGCAAGTTTGGGAGCGAGCAATGAAGATATTGATCGATTGGTTCGGTTGTATTGGTATTGCTTAGGTAAGTTGTTGATGCGTGAGTTTTTGTTTTGAGAGTTGACATGATTGGGGGAAAATTATGGAATATTCTTTTACATTCTTACTTGATGCATTATATAGAGTTTGGTCTAGTCAATGAAAAAGGTGAAAAGAAGGCCTATGGAGCAGGTTTGTTGAGTTCAGCAGGAGAACTTCAGTTCAGCTGTACAGGAAAAGACCCTGATGGAAAATTCTCGGCTCCAGAATACAAGCCATTTGTTGCAGAGGAAGCTGCTGAAAGACCTTATCCCATTACGCACTATCAACCACTCTACTATGTAGTCAGTTCATTGGAGCAATGTAAGGAACTCATCAAGAGTTATACTTTGAACAGTCTTGAAAAACCCTTCACTGTGAAGTATAATCCTTATACAAATACTGTGGATATTCTGGACACTGAGGAAAAAATTATTGCACTCACAAACAATATTCAATCAAACTTGGATATGGTGAAGAATGCATTAGGACATTTGAGAAATAATGTGGAATTTGACAACGATGAGCATCATCATACATGGGATAACATTTAATCTTGTGTGAAAAAGAAGCCAACGATGTTTTAAGGCACGTTAGAATTTACTTTCAAAATTGTATTACCACTTGTACAAATAATTGCATTCATTTATTGAGTAAAAACTGTTCGATCAATAGCACAATCGTGAGGAAGAAATACAATATTGAGGTTACCAATCACCATCCCGGACTTCATTAGCTTTGATAACTTTGACATTCGAGATGGCTATGGTGGTTGTGTCTTGGAGAGGCCATTTGTGTTTTTGTTTGTCGATTTGACTGACCGTTTTAACAGTATTATTCAAAATACTGCTCGTCTCAATGTGTGATCCTTCAGCATAATAATCATACCATGGATACTTGTATTGTGTGTAGGTCTTGGCCGATATGGGGCATGCAGGAGGATTTTCGCCAGTAATTTGTTTGTACATTTCACTGTTCACAATATGAACAAAAACTCTTGCCTTAGAGGATTCATCCCAAAAGTCATGTCCAAGTTTGTCCTCATAGATCGTTTGTTTCATCGTTCCACCTGCAGCAATTCCCATTTCGCATTCCTTCTTTGTCTTCTTTTTCTCCATCATGCAACTGCTTGATGCACATGAGCTCTTCATGAGTCTAAGACGTTCATATTGCAGAGTATGTCCATACTTTCGAATTCTCTTTTGCTCATCGGCGCTGTAACATACAATTTGAAGGCCTCCATGTTCTTCATGGCCTGTCACTTGTCCTTCCACAGTATAACCTTCCCCCAAAGGCATGGCAACAAATTGTCGAATGGTACCATTTCCGTTATTAATTCCATCCAACCATGGTTGTTTTGGTGCGACACAATAATCTTGAACGTTTCTTTTTTTCATACTTTCATCCCATTCCTCACCTGATAAGGCATTCACCTTTCCAACACCAATCTTAATAGCATGAGGATAATGAGACGATGCATTTGAAAAACTAATCCACATGGCCTCTCTCTGATACAATGGAATAAACACTCCACCATGCTTTTTCCAAGATTCAGGAACAGAATGTAAATAATCATCAACTTTTTTGATCGGGAAATGACCCAAATTTGGTGGAAGTGGATAAACCTTTCCATCCATCGGAATTCTCAACGTTCGGTGGAAAGTGAGAGAAACTTTATCCTTGGAGGAGTTCGATGGCTTGGAGAAGACGAGCTCTTTTCCATTCACGACAGAGACTTGTAAGGCTTCCGATAGAGGAGTTGGAATTGATTGCGGGAAGCTCTGAAAAGAGCTCAAACCGTTTGCTGCTGTTGTTTTCATAGATGATGATGAATATGATGAGAATATCAGTAGTGAATTTCGATCTCTTGTTGATCTTTTTTTTGTGAAATCTTTTCATCGGATCATCTCATCCTTTTCATCGTGTTTTCAGGAAGGGTAGAGTTCAGTTGTTTTCCTTTTGCGAGAGGGAATCCAGTTCATAGTTCCTCAACGCAACAAAATGCTCAGAAATGTAAACCATAGACCAAACCATTCATTGAAAGAATTCATATCTACTCGACTCATTATTTCACAGTCAAAGATCTTCATGAAGGAGTCTTCAGAATGGACAATCCATTGAAATGAATTGTCAAGCCCAGTTCTGATTAGAACCCTGAACCCGCCAACAAAATTTCAAATTCAAAAAAATTGAAAAAAATGTCTTCTTCAGAGATGAATAATAGCTATTCAGCATCCTCCTCGTCGGCTTCATCCCGAGTGATTTTTGTGGTCTCTCCGAAACATTCATCCTCTTCGGAAGGAACTGAAACTCTCAAAAGGCAAAAACTTGAAATTTTCTCTTTTCCTCATCCAAAGTATAAACAACATGTAAAGTTTGGACTTTTAACTCTTCAACCATCCAATGATGAAGAAAATGATGGAGAATCAAAAACAATATTATTGGAAATGGAACGAATTGGGGACAAGATATCGAGTTGGTTCATTGGAAATAATGTCATCTCCGATGGAAGACCTATTGTATTCACTCCAATGGATGTTACCTTTTTGTTGATAGCGATTTTAGAGTCTGAAGAGAGTGAAAGTGAATCCATGTTTAAGAACATGACAGATATTATACCGCCTGTGATACAACGTATTTCAAGTGTGAAAGACATGATCTTAAATATTTGTCAAGTGATGGAAGGTATGTTGTGTGTGAGGGTGGACACCTTTGCAATGTGTGAACTTGCATGATTTTTTTTGACAATAATTATTGACTGATATTTCGAATAATTCGGAATGTTTGTTGCAACAGTTGGAGACGATCTATTTGTACAATTAAGTGCTGAAAAAGTCAAACAATGGATGGTTGCCAAATGTGATCATATATTTAATCAAATCAACAGTAACAGCGAGTTGAAGAACAAACTGATTGTATCACAAAGCTCGTTCAAAAGAAGTTTGAAGAATAAGGATGCAGATGATGACCGAAAGATCAGAGCTGAGGCCATTCGGTTTCTCTCTGAGTACATGGACAGAAAATGGATTGAAATATTGGCTTCTCACTACGAGTAAGTTTGAAAATTTTCATGTGTGAAACAATGTCACATTCTTGACTTTTCTTCTCAATGGTTGCCAATTGTTCATTCTCATGACCATCCATGAATGCATTCTTTTTCACACCACTTGTAGCTTACTGACAGAAATATATCCAAGTAAGAATTCATTCATGCTGACAAATAATTCTCAAGTTTCTGCATCCTCCTCTTCTTCCTCTCAACCAAAATCTCCCAAACCATCCTCACAACATTCTCAAGAAACAGATGATTTTCTTGCAGACTTAGATGCAGTAGAAAAGAATAAGCGAAAACGTGCCGAAGCCACTGCTGAAAAGAGCAAAAAGACGAAATCTCAAGAATCAAGAAATGTACAAAGTTTGAAAAAGGTCAATACCAAAGGCATGAAGTCAATGGATTCCTTCTTCAAAAAGAAGCAATAATAATATTCAGATTCTACAATAATCACTACATTCACGGCATCACTTATTTTTTTGGATATTGAATTGGTCAGAATTGGTGTTAATTTTTGTCCTAATTTGTGTTGTTCAGTCCCCACATTTCCAACTGACTCACACGAATCCACCATTTCATTTGGATTATGAAAACAAGAAGAACATTATCACGAACTTGATCGTGTGTCATCTTTTGGAGACTCTTCATGATTAGAAGTTTACCATTTTGATCGAAAAGGTTACGGCTCAACAACAAGTGCTAATCTCACCCAATGGTTTTCACACTTCTCTTCCCAAAAAACAAATCACCTCCACTTATGATTCTCAAGAAACAATCAAGAAGACCTTTTAACCACAATACTTTCATTCGATTCACAATATTGCTCATCTTGGTCGTTGTTGGCATTTCCACCTTGTCGAGGGAGAATTTGTCCAAAATGTTATGCAAGTCGAAAATGTCGATATGGATATTGTTGGAATTACCCAGTCGAAATGAATAACATACTTTGTGAGTTCACTCTTTGAAAGTTTCACGAAGCTCAGAGTCTTTCACATGATCACTACTCCCACAAACTCTCTCCTTCATTGACATTCCAATTTTCAGTGTGGTTTCTTTTTGAATGCAATGAATATCACTAGTGGTTGGACTCACGATCATCCTCTTTTGCTCCCTTCGCTCACCACCATTCAGTAAGGCGCCAAAAAAATTCAGGTGTTCCAGAAAAACCACTCGGCCATGTGCGGGCAGCTAGTAAGGCGCCAAAAAAATTAAATATTGTTTATTGGCCCTTCGGTGCTTCAATACTTGTCATAAAACAACATTGGACTTCATTTTCGTTTAGATACTACTTCTAAATGTCGAATGTTTTTAACAGGATATATCAAATATTAACAGATTACATGCTTGTGTTGAGCAACTGTTAACAAGGGTTGAGTCCATGATTCAAACAGAAGGCAAAAATAAAGCAGTGTTTTGTCTGTTAATGCATATGGTTTCGTTGGTTTGTAAGGTTGAGTCGTCAATTATTGTAAAAAGGTCATGAATAGATATATATAGTGTTGATGGATATGATATGTTAATAATGATATGTTAATAATGATATGTATCGATTACCAGCATTGTCTTCAAAGTTCTAAGTCACAACAATTAATAATGTTGAAGGGCGGAGAGCAGTCTTGGATCCAGTATAAGGTGAGATGCTTCTTTCTTGTTCTTACATTCATTACACGTTTCTTATCGAATTGTTGATAGCACTGATCATCATAATACAAATATAGTATCTTGCCTTTTTGTCCATGATTAGTATGATCGTGAAGTTTGTTCTTTTGCTTTGTTTTTCTTTTTTGCTTGGCTTTGTCGGTGGATGATTGTTTTTTAGCTTGTGTGGTCCTTCTTGTTTTGCGAGGTTTGTTCTTTGGCTTGTATTCTTTTTCTTGTTTTGATGGAGTTGGTTGATTCAATGTTGATAATGTATTCTCATCTTTCTCAACTGGTGGATCGTTAGTTTTCTCAACTGATGGATTTTCTCTAAAGGTGATTGCGTCACATAGATGATGTTGTAAAGATTGTAACAAGTGATGCGAATGATCTAATGGCTTCCGTGCCTTTTCTTCGCAATTTCTGTTCTCTTCATTTCGTATATATTCATTAAGTTTGGCGTTTAATTGTTTGAGGGTAGCTGAAATGTAATTCGCTTGTTGTTCAATTCTTTCCAAACGTCTTTCTTTCCAGGCTGTGGAGCATGCAAGAGTCAAATCTGATGTTCCTCTTGCGGTATTTTTTAAGGGCTCGACACGAAAAAAAATGTTTGCATTTCACAAGGGTCTCTTGTTGGTGGCATCTGCCTTGTCCCTTTTCGTCTTTCTGATGATAGGAAGCATGTCCCATGCAGGACCAACATCAATCTCCATCAACACTGGAGCTTTATCAGAGAAACAACAACAGAAATTCATTGTTCCTCGGATCAAGAAAATCAATGCTCCCTATTCTGAGTGGGCTCACCATCATTTGGTGTGGTAAGTGTTCCATCCACAAACAAACCAAGAATTAGAGTTGAATGATATCCATGCGTTGTGAACATGTGAAAATTCCCCAAACAAATTTTCTCACATGAATTGAAATAACGACCTCATCACAACAGGATGAACGGTGAAAGTCAAAATCAACAAGCATTGTTGAAACTTGTTTCCACCTATTCTCAAAATGATATTCCAGTTGGAGCTGTGGATTTGGAAGCAGGATGGTCGAAAGGAATTAATAGTTTTGTGCCTGATCAGTAAGTATTTGATTGTTTCAGACACACACCCAAACTGTAATCCTTATCAATTATCTATTGCATTTCAATATATATGGTCTTAAATTTATTAATACCAATAAGGAGTAAATTTCCAAACCTCTATCAATTTGTTAAACAAATGCATTCCATGAATATTAAAGTTATTTGTTGGACGACTCCTCTCATCAATGTGGATTCTCCAAATTACAATACTGCTTACATGAAAGGATATTTTGTCAATGATGGAAGATCCATTGAATGGTGGAAAGGACGAGGAAGTTTCATTGATTACACAAATCCAGACGCAGTTCAATGGTGGCATTCACAAATGAATAATGTATTGGTTTTGAATCAAACGGATCCAAAAGAGGGAATTGATGGATGGGTATGTTTTTGGGTTCTAAGGGATTGAATACTCACGTTTTTAACAAACTTGAACATTATGAAAAAGAAATGTGATGGCTCAGATCCATATTTCTATGAATTGATCTATGCTTATGGCAAGAAGGGTCACATTTCAGAGAAGGATTATTCATACATGTATTATCATGATTTTTTAAATTATACCAGACAAGTCAGAGGTCAAGATTCTTTGATTGTTAACATTCCTGTGGATTCCATTTTAGGAATGGCCTTCTTTGAATTTGCTCCAAAAGATATTGTCTTTAATGGATGGGTTGGAAACAAATATGCCAATTACTTTGGTTTTACAGAATCTGTGAAAAACATGCTTCACTCTGCTTGGAACAAATATTTGGGATTTACCACTCCAATTGGAGGATATGAAGGAATTCGGAACTATGATACTGATCTGTATGTGAGATGGTTCCAGTTTGCTGCGTTTACAAGTGCTATGCATAATGGAGGTTATGGAACTCATGAACGTATGTATCATTGTGTGAAATGGTGTTGAAATCTTTAAAATTTTTATTTAATATTAACCATCATCGTCATGATTGTTTAATTATTAATTCTCCTGAATTTCTCAATTGTGAAATGACCTTCATGGGGTTTAACACAACAACATGGTTGTACAACTCGACCATCACAAAGTTATACAGAAAATTCACTCATGCTCACTATGAAATTGTTCCTTATTTGTACACAAGTGGAATTGATGCCTATCAAAATCGGGATTGTTTGATTACACCACTCTCGTAAGTACAAATTCAAAGTCATAACTTTGAAGCTGAATTTATTATTTCACTTGGAATATAGATCTTGGACTATGTTTGATCCAACATTCTGGACCTTCAAGCTTGGTAAAGACATGATTGTGACACCTGTCTTTGATTATTCCAATTGTACCAATGTTTTATTCTCTGAAGGCACTTGGGTGGACTATTTTGATCATAGCGTCACTTTTGCAGGTGTTTACAATGAAACATTTGACTACTCGATGACTTATGAAGAGTTTCCTGCTTTTTATAGAGCTGGCAGTATTTTACCTTTGAATATCACCAGTGATTACGTCAATGTATTTGGAAATTCCAAGTCACATTCAGGTTATTTGACTCTTGCGATTCATTATCCAATCATGAATGAAGAACAGAGTCAAATGATCTTCTCTCATGGTATTGAAGTGAGATATTTCAGAAATTCAAGAGACAACACCATGTCCATCACGGTCTCAGCACCTAATGGATTTAGAGCTGATTCAGAAAAATTCAAATATTGGACATTCGAGGATTGTTAGCTTCACAACCTGAAGGATTTACCGTTTATCAAATGTTTGATTTGGGTGGTGAAGAAAAACTTATTCCACCCCCTAAATCCGAAAATAGAGAAGAATTTAATGGAGCATCATTAGCAAAATTTGGTTCATTCCACCATGAAAAGGCTGTGAGCTATTACACTCACACAAAAGCAGATGGAAGAATGTTAAGACTCAAACAACAACATTTGTGGATTAAGGTCCATGATGTTTTGAAGGGTGTGAAAATTTTGATCAAATAGGGATGTCAGCTGAGAAGTCTTCAATTCTCGTTTCAATTTAAATTTAAATTTGGTTGTTGTAATTGAGAACTCTCAGTTCCTCTTAATGTTCCAAATAATCATATATATACAAAAAAGATTACTAACCAAAACACCTGTTATCCTGAAATTCGCGTTTCACAGTATTATTATAATCAAACAATTCTTCAAGCTGTCATTATAACCGTCAAGATCAAAACCATCCAAAAAAATATGATGTCGAAGAAGCTCTCTGTTGCACTCTTGGTGCTGTTGTTGGCGTGTTTTGCATGCATCGCAGTCCACGCCCAATACTATGATGAAATGGCTGACCGAAATGGAGGTGGTTCTCGTGGTGGTGGTGGCGGTTCTCGTGGCGGCAGCTCTCGTGGTGGATATTCGAGAGGTGGTGGTGGATTGGGTGGTTCACGAAGAGGAGGATACTCTCGAGGTGGATATGGAGGTCGATCATCCTACGGAGGAAGAAGACAATCCTACGGCGGTGCTAGAAGACCATCCTATGGTGGAAGAAGACAATCTTACGGAGGAAGTCGCTGCTCGTGCTGTTGACAGAGCTCTCGGATCACGAGTTGCTGCTGGACCAACCGGAAATGCCATTGCCAACAAGATTTCTCAAATGTATGGATCCAACAATAAAGCCACTGGTTATTGTGCTCGAGCTGTCCGAACTGCTATTGAAGCTGCTACTGGAAAGACGATCCAAAGAACTCAAAGTGCCAAGAATTATGGACCTAATTTGGAGAAGGCAGGATTCCGAAAGGTTTCTGGACCACCAAGAATTGGTGATGTTGCCATCTTCAACTCTGTTCCAGGTCATCCACACGGACATATTCAAGTGTTGACTGAGAGAGGTTGGGTTTCTGATTTCAAACAAAGAGATCAATATCCTGGACCTGCTTACAGAAATAGACAAGCTCCAATGCAATTGTATAGAGCTGAATAAATTCATTGGTTATCTTTGTCACCATTATTGGCGGACACATTTATACTTGCTTACATTCTCCCATTTTCAATCATTTTCCGAGGCGATTGCGCTGTTGATTTACTTGCAGGATTCTCATTCAAATTCCGAGGTGAGATTACCAATCAGTCGCACAAATTGATTAGCACTGAAAACCGAAACCCAATATCTTCGCAATGATTTGTTAATCACAAGAAAAAATGTCCTCATCTGCCCAACGTCTTGTGTCCATTGTGACAGGTTCTTCGAGAGGTATCGGATTTCACATTGCAAAACAGTTGGCTCTCCATCATGGCCATGCTGTCGTTCTCACTGGATCCAATGTTGAAAAGTTAAAGCAAGCTCATGATGAGATTTCAAAAGAAGGAGGTGTTTGTTCATACGTGTGCGTCGATTTATCAAAGCCAATTAGTGATAATAGTAAGTGATCATCTTCATGTTCAATTTCTGCCTTCATCATTATTTGTTCTCTTTAATGAAAATTATTTGATGGCCATCGATCGAATGATCTCTATCACAAATACAACAGACCCTCCTCATCCTCCCGCTTTTGATATTTTCCAACACGCGATGGAACAACATTCCAAAATTGATCGTTTGGTTTGTAATGCTGCCACTTTGGGAGCGATTGAAAAAATTGGTGAATGGGACACTCAACATTTGACTCAAGGACTATATGCAGCTTATAAAGTCAATGTTCTTAGCGCCATTCAGTTGTGTCATTATTGTTTACCAGAATTGAGAAAATCACGTGGTAATATTTTGTTTGTGAGCAGTGGTTTGGCCAGTAAGGCCTTTGAAGGAACAGCTATTTATGGAACCTCAAAAGCTGCCATGAATCATTTTGCTGCTTATTTGGATTGTGAAGAAAAATTGTATGCTCAAGGGTTTGGGATATCTGAAAAGGATCGCGTTAAAATTGTTTCTGTCAAGCCTGGAATTGTTGACACTGACATGCAAGCAGATATAAGGAGAGTTGGTAAGGATAAGATGAATGAACATGCCATGTTTGTTTCTATGCATGAAAATGGAAAGTTGGAAAGTGCAGAAAAACTTGGTAAGATTTTGAGTAGTGTTGTTTCTGATTTACCTCTGGAATGGAGTGGAACATTCAAGTCCTATCATGAAGAAGATGTGCTAGCTCTCTATAAGAAGAGTTATGATTTGTAAATTACAAAGTGTTGAATAAAGATGATTGTGAGGCAACCATTGAGAATTAGTTTCAGCGACATATAGTGTGCACACCAAGCAACACATGCGACCAATCATTCTCTCCAACCTTACATACTTTTGTTGCTCGCTCTCGTCTGATGCCGTTTGTACTCACTCTGATGGATGCAAGTGAATATCCAGAACTCTGTACGATCCACTGCTTGACCTTTATTACTATTATTATTCATCAAAATTTAACCCTCTCTGAAGTAATTCTGCGTCAATTAAAAAGATAAGATAAGAGTTGCCATCATCACCGTTTACTTGGGTGCAAGAGGAGACAGCTCCATTTGATGGATTACAAATAATTCTTCCCAAACAGTCAACGTTCAATGTTCTTCTTTCAATGGATTACAAATAATTCTTCCCCAAATTTGTGTGGTGTCAATTCAAAGATTTCACGACGTTCATAATCTTTCGACAGCTCAAAAAACAAAATCGATACAAAAACTTTTAGACCAGTTCTGTTGGTAGCCATGTCCATAATTATAAAAACCATAGGAAGTTCAACAAATATAATATTTATTCATACCAATTCGTGTGCCGGAGAAAATTTTTTTCGAAAGTAAATAGCAACATAACTTGCTAAAAATTTAGCAAGCGAAAAACTCGATAGTAGAGGTTTCATACCTGTTTTCGAAATCTGAATACTGGTATTTCGTCAATAAATCAGTTAGACTGACAATACTTGAAATCATGATTTATGGATAGCCAATAACCATGAATATAAAGTTTTGTTCAATAAAAATTACAGACAGAAATGTATGACTCTTATCTTTGACTTTCAAAAAGTTTTTCCAAGCTCACGAGGGCTTTTTCACTGTGTGGAAGGTTTTCCGGAAACTTCTCTTCCTTATCAAAGTATAGGCTGGAAAGGAATAGAGCTACTGTAGAATTTTGGTGCATCCGGCAAATATGCCAAGGGGTTAACGAGTCCTTGCCTCTGGTACCTAAATTTTTGTTCAATCCGTTATATTGATTGAGGATGGCAGACTCTCCATGGTCTTTGAAAAAGTTCAACATGTTAGTCAGAGTCACAGAGGCACCAATCTCAATGCTTTTTCCTAGTAACAAATATGACGTGCAACAAGCTTGAACAGTATTCATCAAATAGTAATATTTTGATACATTTCTTTGAATAAAAGTTGCTCTAGTCCCGATGAATTTTGTTGCAATCATCTCATATTATATTACTATTGTCAATGCTGGAATGAGTATGGTTGTAGAAAAAGAGACTGGAAAAATTCATACTTGCCAACTTGCATTTGGGGGAATGTTAAAACCGTTCCTGCTTCTAAAACCGTTCAATAGAATGACAGGAAACACTCTCTCTAATGAAACATGCCAACGAGCCATTAAATTACTTCAACAACATGTATCTCTCCCTCAAAACGTTCCTGGAGGAATATCTGAATATAGGCGACCCTGATCTTAAGCTCTTCTACAAGTTTAACGTTCAATTATTGAAAGATTGTTCTTGGAGACAACTCATTAAGGAAGAAAAAAGTGTACTCTTGTCTAGCTTCCATAAGCTTATCCATTGGACATGTGAAAGAATCAAATTGAGTTGAAGCTGTCATACATGACGAGGAAGAATTATTCCTCACGTGAGTCAGCTCATGGGATTTATTCTTGCAGAGACTGATCTTAAAGCATATGGTTTGGTCTTTTCCTCGACACAAAGTCCTTCTCATACTCCGCTCAAACCATGGTTGCTTCTATTTTGGGAGTTCCAGATAATAAAGTGATTGATTACCAAGCTGAAAAGTCTAGAAGGTGGATTTGGAGGTATGTATTTATTATTTCTGGTGGCATTTACTTTATACAAATATTTTAACCATTTTCAAACAATCAAGCTTGTCGCACCTAGAGAACTGCTTTTGACGCCAAATTTTATCAACTCTTATTCACTGTCAAAAATACTTTGTAATTTGAAGTTTCGAATTGCCTTTTCTTCGAAATTTGTTAAGCTTGAAATAATTAGCAGGTATGATATTTTGATCGAATAGAGTACTGAACTTGGCACATTTTTGATTACTAATAGTTTAAGCATTCAGAGGCCAAATCTTGATTGGTAGTGTAATCTATATAATACAACAGTTCCTTAGATTGTACAAATCTTCGATATACCCTATTGATGGAAATTTCAGTAACTTCATCATAATGCAATACAACGACAGTCCAGGACTAGGGGTAGCTCGATTTGACACACAGCGCCGGGCCACCCTGCTGCAGTTCGTTGTTCGTTGCGAACGAGTTGTGTTTCAAAAATCTATTCTCCCAGAATCAAGTGGATGTCTTTGTATTGATAACAAAAATCATCATCAGTCTTTAAAAATTCACAACAACACCATCAGCGATGATTCATTCATCAGTTATCATCATTTAAAATTCGGAATTTGGAATACTTCATCTCTACATGATCATCAACCAATAGTATTCATCATCGAGTGTATATGATGAAATATCATCAAGATTTAAATGTATTGGTAAAATTTTGAATGACTCCTTTTTGATATAGTGATTATGGAGTGCATTTGACCACTCTATTGTTGTTGTTATTGTTCAAAACTACTCTCAACCTGATTTAATTCAACAATATTTGTTGAGTTTTTCAACTTGAAAATTTCTTTCTTTACATCACGATATTTACCCGATCAAGAGAATCATCAAATGATAGGAGGTGATTGTATAGACTATATTAACAATAGTATCATTTCATTGAATGGGAGTCATTCGGAGAGAAAAACTTTGATGAAAATTCCGAGTATGATGGAAACATAATTTGAACTTGAAATCGTCACTACAAGTGTACAATAACATGTCCAACATGTGTACAAAGTTTGGTGAATTTCTGTCAAAAAAAAGTTCATCATCATGGTCAAATTTCGTTAGCTTGCGATAGAAATGAGGGTCAAGACATGTCTGAAAATCCACGATTGTGACATTTTGTGTGGTTTTCTGTCTAATATTATTGAATGTGACGAGCGTTGTTACATTGAATAATGGAAGGGTTGAATTATTTGGGTATGAATTGAATTTAACAAAAATGACATTTTGCTCTTGTTGTGGCAAGCAACACAAATCTATTGCAGGCAAGGCTCCCGAACAATTTCGTTTTTGCCAAGCTGAAAAGCAGAGATCGGATCAATGGTGTAATGAGTGCTACAAGAAGTATAAGAACGAAGTTCCAGCATCAACAACAGCCGCATCTAACTCATCACAAATAACAAATCTATTCGACACACCATCGGAATCATCACAACATATAAACCATCACTCAAACTATGATACAATCTTGTCACAATTAAATACGACTCAAAATTATGAATCTAATCATGAAGCAAATTCACAAAATTCATCATCTCCGATAACTATGGACTTTCAACATCAAAACAATTCATCACCGAATAATTTCTTTGAAAATATTACTCCTCAACAATATCAATTCACCAATATTTCTGAATATCCTAATATTGACAATAATTTGATACAAAATTCTGTAATTTATTCTGTTCCTTCATCATGGAATAAAAATAGAAACCCGTATTATTTGTCGAAGACGACATTTGAATGCCCTGTAGTAATATATGATGCCCAATATACAGTGATGGACAAGATAGCTCTATACAATTTCCTAACTTCAAAAGGATGCACTGTTTCGAAAGATGTGCATCAATGGTTGAGAGAAAAATTTGCAGAAGAAAAATCAATAATCGAATGCAAATAGAATATATCAAAGCTCAAATTTCGAAATATTCTCACAAGAATAATTGTTCTACAATTCAGGTGACTGATCAAGAGAAAAGGACGCCAAGTAGTTCCAGAACAGAGGATCCATCAAGTGACACATTACACAAAAAATCTCGAAAACCCAGTAAGAAAAAGAAACCCAAAGGCAAAGAGAAAAAATCATCAAAAGGACTAATTGCAACAAAGCCTTTGGTTTGGTTTGTAGTCATTGTGAGGGCGAATTTTTGAAACATAGGCCATTTCGAAGGGCAGTTAAAAATATTAAGGAAATGACAAGCCAAACTCACTTCAGAAAGACTTGTTACTGGTATTCAAGAGATATTGAAAAGTAATGGTCAACTCTAGATGACATTATTGACTATATATTTGACAAAGATCCAGATTCTCTTTACAAGAGAATTGATTATCATGTATCAAAAGGCCACACCAATTATACAAGACTAGCTCATCATTTTCAAACACTAGTATCACCTGAGTTGCAAGACAATTTATCACCTGAATGTGTTGTATATTTTACAGATACCAGATTGATGTCAGATCATCTTTTCTGTGAACACTATCAATACCATGCGTTGAATTTTATTGTCTGCACTAAAGAAAAACTGGAACAACAACGCAATGAGATGAATGAACAAGTTCAACAAATATTTCATATGTCTCATGATAGTAATTCTCTTCATGTAGACGTTTCGTGTTTATTACACGAGGTAGCTGTCTTTTGACAAAATATGCAGAAAATCCCACAAACACAAGGTCGGGTGTTTGGAAAGACCACAAACTCATTTGTTCCTTTAAATTAACCAAACGATTCTTGTTGTTTATGTCTTCGAAACATATCAAATTCATTAACAACCAAAAGCCTTGGCAAACATCAGGTTATCAAAACCAATACACATAAAGAAGATCGGTAACAATTACAATGGTTGTCAACAACAAAACACAAGAATTCTCTTAGTCCCGATCAATCAATACGTTACACATTGACATTTTAATAACAATTGATCACCTAATAATTAGCTGTGCTTGAATGGTAGATGTTTAAATTTTACTCCTCATAAGATTTTTCCCTAAGTTTGAGAATGTTGGCAATGAATGGATGGAAAAAGGCATCAAAACAATCTCCAGAAACCAAAATTAATTTAGGACATGGTGTCTCTTTTGAAGTTGGAATTATTCCTGTTCTAACACTTTTGGCTGTGTTATCAGAGACTTTTTTTCTCGAAAAAATTACTGGGTAAATATCATAACCTTCAATATCCAATAGTGCCTTGTTATAATAATCACATAATTGTTTGGGTTCGAGTGTCCTTATTTGTGAATCATCATTCATAAACTTATTTTGAACTACAAATAACACTTTCCTCCCACCAGAAACAAATACAGGCAAAAATCCATCAACACCTTGTTGATTCGGTTTTGCCTTTGTGATTACATTATGCATGTTTTCGTTCTGAACAAGTGATTTAGAAATTGTTTCTACAACTTCAACATAACGGTAGTAGGCTTTTGTGCCAATATTGGTGGTCAAAGTCATATGAGCAAGCTTATCTGTCATATGTGCTCCTTGAAAAAGTTCACCGACAGTAAAAGTATTTACAGGCTCAATTGGTTTCAGTTTGAGAATATAGTTCAGTTTGCAGGTAATTGTTTTCAAACATAGCTCTTCGAATTTTTCCCAATCCGGTTTTGTTGAAGTATAAACAAAGTCGTTGAATAAGCTTTTTGGAATTTTCTCATTTGATTCTGAAAGTATATCAATAGCAGGAAGTGGTAATCCAATATGGTCATTAGTTTTGTAAATTCTACCTTGGCTAGTTAATTCTTCAACTCTACTATCATATTTGAGAGCTTTGTGAGTACTATATGGAAATCCTGAAAGAGTAAGTATGGATAGATATTGATAAACATCTACTTCATCGCTTGGTTGATATATCTTATACACCTCTTTCACAACATTACCGTAAATATTGCTTATTTTTGTTTCTAGTGGCATAGTTGTATTGTTTTTAATTTCTTTGGCAAATCTAACTGCCCATTCTAAATGTCTAGGGACAACACCAATGATACTCCAAAAAATCTGATACTTTGGTGTATAAAATTCTATTAAATCTTGCTCTTTCATAATAATTTCGACATCCTCTTGTCGCAATGATGGTAATGGGACAGTTCTTATTTGGTAGTCAGTTGGTTCAAATTTGGCATCGGATTCCATTAACGTTCCTGAGAATGATGGAAATAAAATTAATCCCTGTTTTTTCTGAAAGTGTCTCATATACCATCCAATTTTATGTTGTAATTGTGTATTCAGATTTTGATTCAGTCTGGTTACTCTTTGATATTCATCAAATGCGAGAATAAGAGGTATTGGCATCGATTGCTCGACTTTCAATTGTTCGTGCAATTTTGAGCTTATAATTCGGAGAAGTTCATATAAAAAATAATCATTAGTTATTTTTGGTATTCGTTTTGCAATTTCTTCTCCTTGTTCAAAAGCAGCGTAAATGATTCTCGATGAGATTAAAGAAATAATACTACTGTCTCTTTCAACATCATTTTGCAAAACAAATCCATTTGTAAAGTTAAAGTAAATGATTGAAGAATTCTTAAAAATATATTGTGGTTCGGCCTTCGAAAGAATTTTGACAACCTCAGACATAATACGAGTCTTCCCACTCCCACTTCCACCTTTGGCAATCAAAAAAGTTAAGTCTTGTTTGTTAATTTTTTCTTGTTGACTTGCTTCGTATTGTCTTGCACTTAAATCTAAAATTGCTTGTTTTGCTTGTTCTCTATTCAGCATGTCATTGAAAATGAGGCGATCTAAGCCATGGTGAACATGTGATAAATCTCTCAATTTTAACTCACTGATCTCTTGCAATAAATATAATTCTTCATCAGAAAAATTTGGAATTATCTCTATATATTTGTCTGGAATGTATTTCGGTTTTGAGTCTACCAATTTCCGTTCATCCCAATAAAATGTAAAACAGTTGCACAAATTTCACGTGTGGGATTTTCATGAGCAAGATTAGTGTACAGTTATCCAAATTACTTACGTTTAGAAACGATTTTCAATAATGGTAATTGTATCTTATTTTTCTCTATCAATTTGTCTTTTATCCAATTCACGACAGTTGTGCAAGTGGATAAATCAATCTGGTTTTCAAAAATTTGTTTCACGATATCATTTGCAGAGAGTTCATTCCCATTTTGTTGAGCTTTTTCGAGTTCGTACACAATCTTTGAGAGAGTTGTTCCATCAAATTTTGCATCATAGAAAGGCTGAGCTTGCTCTATGGTTAATCCAGCCCCACCGTTTAGTTTTGATTGGCACAATGCATCCTTTGTTTGATCCTTGTCCCACAAACGAAAAAGTTTGGGCATTAATGTTTCATTGACCCAATTAACAACAGTCTTGCAAGTACTTGACGGAACTTGAGCACAGTCTTTGCTTTGAGACAAGGAGGCAATAGCAGCTAGCCTTCCGACCTCTTTGATATCCTTTACAATGTTATCAAGAGAGTTTCCTTTGAAACCAGCGTCAACGAGAGGTTTGACATCATCAACGGTCAATGAGGCTCCACCTTCACCTTTCTTCATACAAAGGATAGAAGCAACTTCTTCCTTTGTCCACTCATCGTAATTAGTGAAGGAGAGAACTATTGTGGACACTACTTGAATGGGAGAGTTATTATTAGCTGTTGGTTGTGGTGCCATATAGATTGATTTTTGGTTGGGATCATCAGAAGCAGTTGGTTGTTCTACATGGTTGTGCTCAGCACCACTTCCGTTTCCTCCCGGTCCGGTAGAAGAAGAAAGACTTTTTGTTGTTACTTCATCTTTTGCCAACAAGGAAGATAATGTATGGAAAGAGCGTACCGAAGTGTTCCTTGTATGATGATGATTGGACAAAGATTTCCGAAGCGAGAGGTTAGAGTTTGAACCAAGTGTATCAACACCAAAAACTACACCTCTGAAAAACCGAGAGAAAGAGAGTGCTGATGAGGCTTGTTTACCACGAAATAAATGGCTAGCAACGTTTTTCATCACGTCAAAATATTTTTTTTAAAAATTCCGATTAAAAAAATATCATCACGGTCCGTTCAGATGAGAGGGATGTCTGTGCTACTTGTGGAGGTTCACTCTCCTTAGTTTCGTCATTGGCCGTTGGACTTGCTTCTTGAGTATGGGGAACAATATGATCTTGAGATGACCCTGGTTCCGACATCCAAGTGTTATCGGAAAGTGGCGGCTCTGCAAGGTGTGCTAGACAACCCTCAAAATCTTCCAAGCCAATTTCAAGATCACTCATATCTTCCAACTCAAGTCTTTCCATTTCCTCTTCGATTTGTTTTGAGCAAGATTCATCTGGAATCACCTCTGGTTGTTCCATTGTTAATTGATGATCATCACCAAAAGAATATGGTTTCAAATGTGAACGATGGTAAGTTGCTGTGCTTCCAACGGTCTCAGTTTGTCTGTATCCTCCTGTTTCTTGGAAACGAATTTTATAGTAGCCATTACCACAATTTTCGACTACAACAGCCTTCTTGTTAAAACCAGAATCTTTTGTTTTTAATTGAGCTGTAGGAGGAGCCACTAATACTGCACAATCAATTGCTATTGGTCCAGCGATGGTTGCACCACCAACAGTAGCTCGTCTTATTTGGTTCTTCGTGTTTTTAGCGTTCTTATGTGCGATGTTTTCACGGAGTTCTGCGATTAGGATTCTTCGATCCATTGCTATCTGAGACATCCTTTGTTTGGAAATTATGTCATCAGTCATAATCGGATGAAGGGAGTTCATGACAAATTCTGGCGAATAGCCAGTTGAGGTGTGAGGACGTATATTAATATTCAAAATCACTGTTGGAAAATAAGTTGGCCAACTACGAGATTGGAAGTATTTCAAAATTACACGTATCATTTTTTTGATGGTTTTTTGCAAACGTTCAACCATACCATTTGCTTTTGGTCTCCCTGTTAATACATAATGCCATTTAACCTCAATGCCTACTTGGCTGGAACAAAACTCTTCAATTTCTTGAGATTTGAATTCACCACCGTTGTCAGACACAAAAGTAACCTTATTCACACCTCTTGCCTTGAAGAAATCAATTACTTGCTGGGCATGAGAAGCAATAACACTTGACTTTTTGCTAGAGTATAATATAAATCCAAACACATATTTGGATAAACCATCAACAAACACTTCCCAACCATCAGTTGTTCCACATTTGGGAAAGAATGCACATTCAACAAAAACTAATTCTCCAACACAAGTAGGATCATAATGATTATCCAATACGATATCTTTGGATGCCTCTGTAGTTCTGCAACTCTCGCAAGAACTTTTTACCTTCTGGAATTTTTCTTGGAACTTTGGAATGTAATACATTGATGAAGCAACTGATTCACAAATATCTCGACCTGCATGACCTTGATTGACATGAATATCGATAATAATGCCTTCATATTCATGTTCTTTGAGAATTTGAACCCATTTATCAGTTTTGATTGTTTGGACATCATATACATCCTTGGGGAGCTGTTGAGTCATGTCGATAATCCTTTCTAATTGCTCATCTGTGAGATTATCCTTAAGGACTTTCTTTTCTTCTGATTTGTACTTGTTGAAGTAGAGAATACCATCTTGCAATTTAAAGTAAGGGAGTATCTTCTTAACGTGACTAGTGATGTTGGTTGATTTGGATTCTAAGGCTGTCCTTACTTGATCGATAACTTTCTGAGTGACGCTAACTTTGCCATTTAATGGATTTCTTCCCATTTTTCTTTATTGAAAATCGAAAAAGTTGGTTTGTGGGAAACAATTTGGAGGGAATTGAACTGTTTATTAAAAATTTATTTATTTATTGATCTATTAAATCAATATGTAACGGTTGGATGAATTTGTTGATGAGATCTTGTTGAACTACTAGAGGAAGCGAATCATCTCAATCAATACAAACAACATTAATATCGGGGATACTTCAACAATATCCTCAATGAAACTGGTTTGAATGCAAAACAACCTCGTTGGCACCATGTATTGAGCCCGTTTCATCATGCCGAGGATTGATGTTGAGAAAATATTTCAATCTGAAATTTGCAGGTCAAAATTTTGACCTGCCAGTCCAGGTGAAATTTTGACTGACTACAACAATGGCATGACAAGACAAGAAGAAAATTCATTTATAGAATTGATAGTCAAGAAGAAAAGAATATGTTTACACAATGGAGTTTGGGTTTGGGTTTGGGTTTGGGTTTGGGTTTTGGTTTGGGTTTGGGTTTGGGTTTGGGTTTGGGTTTGGGTTTGGGTTTGGGTTTGGGTTTGGGTTTGGGTTTGGGTTTGGGTTTGGGTTTGGGTTTGGGTTTGGGTTTGGGTTTGGGTTTGGGTTTGGGTTTGGGTTTGGGTTTGGGTTTGGGTTTGGGTTTGGGTTTGGGTTTGGGTTTGGGTTTGGGTTTGGGTTTGGGTTTGGGTTTGGGTTTGGGTTTGGGTTTGGGTTTGGGTTTGGGTTTGGGTTTGGGTTTGGGTTTGGGTTTGGGTTTGGGTTTGGGTTTGGGTTTGGGTTTGGGTTTGGGTTTGGGTTTGGGTTTGGGTTTGGGTTTGGGTTTGGGTTTGGGTTTGGGTTTGGGTTTGGGTTTGGGTTTGGGTTTGGGTTTGGGTTTGGGTTTGGGTTTGGGTTTGGGTTTGGGTTTGGGTTTGGGTTTGGGTTTGGGTTTGGGTTTGGGTTTGGGTTTGGGTTTGGGTTTGGGTTTGGGTTTGGGTTTGGGTTTGGGTTTGGGTTTGGGTTTGGGTTTGGGTTTGGGTTTGGGTTTGGGTTTGGGTTTGGGTTTGGGTTTGGGTTTGGGTTTGGGTTTGGGTTTGGGTTTGGGTTTGGGTTTGGGTTTGGGTTTGGGTTTGGGTTTGGGTTTGGGTTTGGGTTTGGGTTTGGGTTTGGGTTTGGGTTTGGGTTTGGGTTTGGGTTTGGGTTTGGGTTTGGGTTTGGGTTTGGGTTTGGGTTTGGGTTTGGGTTTGGGTTTGGGTTTGGGTTTGGGTTTGGGTTTGGGTTTGGGTTTGGGTTTGGGTTTGGGTTTGGGTTTGGGTTTGGGTTTGGGTTTTGGGTTTGGGTTTGGGTTTGGGTTTGGGTTTGGGTTTGGGTTTGGGTTTGGGTTTGGGTTTGGGTTTGGGTTTGGGTTTGGGTTTGGGTTTGGGTTTGGGTTTGGGTTTGGGTTTGGGTTTGGGTTTGGGTTTGGGTTTGGGTTTGGGTTTGGGTTTGGGTTTGGGTTTGGGTTTGGGTTTGGGTTTGGGTTTGGGTTTGGGTTTGGGTTTGGGTTTGGGTTTGGGTTTGGGTTTGGGTTTGGGTTTGGGTTTGGGTTTGGGTTTGGGTTTTGGGTTTGGGTTTGGGTTTGGGTTTGGGTTTGGGTTTGGGTTTCATTTGGGTTTGGGTTTGGGTTTGGGTTTGGGTTTGGGTTTCAGGTTTGGGTTTGGGTTTGGGTTTGGGTTTGGGTTTGGGTTTGGGTTTGGGTTTGGGTTTTGGGTTTGGGTTTGGGTTTGGGTTTGGGTTTGGGTTTGGGTTTGGGTTTGGGTTTGGGTTTGGGTTTGGGTTTGGGTTTTGGGTTTGGGTTTGGGTTTGGGTTTGGGTTTGGGTTTGGGTTTGGGTTTTGCGGGTTTTGGGTTTGGGTTTGGGTTTGGGTTTGGGTTTGGGTTTGGGTTTGGGTTTGGGTTTGGGTTTGGGTTTGGGTTTGGGTTTGGGTTTGGGTTTGGGTTTGGGT